ATGTGCATACTGTATATTTTTACAATATATAGCTCCACTGATATTGGGGGGGAAGTGAGCACCTAAGAAGACCTAGCCTTCCCGGTACTATCATTTATAGTATTTGCATCTTGTTAGACAACTCATTATAGAATTGTCACTATCACCTAAAAAATATTCGTGATTAGTCTCGTTTAAAAAAATATCCAAAATGTTTAACATGTTTTTTTAATCATTTCACCTGAATTTTTGAATGTATATAAATAATGCCATATTTTAACTTTTAAAAGGTTAACTGAAACTGTTACGTTTTGTTAGCTATCAAATATTCAAAGAAGCAATGGCAATTACGTATAATTAATAAATTATGTAATCTTGGTTAGATTATGTTGTAGATCGTAGAAAATAATATGTCTTTAAACATCCATTTAACATATTTATTTTGTGTTGAAAATATTGTCTATGGTGAATGATGATAGCTACAAAAGGTATTTCGTATTAAGATTTATTTCTATAGATTTCAGTATAATAAAAACATTTACACATGATAAACAACAAAAGATTTCGTGCAAATCAAGAGGTAAACATATTAATTTGAACTCTGACCTAGGAATTTATTGATTAAATATCACATGAACAGCTGGTGAACGTTTAGAAAATAGTTGATCAGGAAATTTTGTCGAAGTAAACAATAAATAAAATGGTTGACTAAAAATGAATAACGTTTTCGTTTTATCATCACAAATACATATTAATCTAAAATTAAAAGTAGATTCATTTTAGTTTTGTCAATTTATAAAAAAAAACAGAGCCACGTGTATAAAATACATGTGTGTGTGCTCAGTCAATCAGTAATATTTTTTATAATAATATTTTAATTAACTACAAATAAGCTATACCCAGTAAGGCTTTTTAAAAAAAAAATATTGTGAATTTTTATGAAACAATAATATTTTTCAGTATTTCTTAGATGCGCATAGTATTTCTAGTTTTGAAATTAACACTCCAAAAAATATTTTGTGTTTTGTACTATAAGATGTATGTTGTATAAAGTATTGTTGGTGTTTAAGCAACCTTTCTATTTTAACAGAATTCTGCCGCTGAGTGTAGGGTCGGTTAGGTTAAAGCTTATTTACAAAGATTATGACAAATCATTTGAGTTACTCGATTATCGTTATTGTGATAAAGGTATCAAGTATTTAATTATTGCTACCTTTATTGCAATAATTGAGTAAATAAGATAGTAATATATTAATAGAAACCTACAAATAGTAATAGAAAATGATTAAAAAATTTGAACGCCAACTTTTTAACACGTTTTTCCCTTACTTAATTAATTTATCTAAGATTATATCAACGAGTCTCACAAACGAACAAACATTTTCACTTTTTATATCAACACAATGTTTATCATTATCGAAATATAGTAATTGTTTTTTTCTAATTATATTTGGCTTTGGCATAATGGACATTAGCGTTATGCTAATAACGTACATTACTAACATGGTTGGCATGGACGACAATATTTTTTTAAATAAATATAATGTACATAAGATGATGAATAGAAAAATAAATAACAATATCAGCACAAATTTAGTATTTTAAAAATATATATTTCGCCACCGTTTGAGATCCGTGCTTTTGAGTAAAACAAACAAACTAATGATGGCATTACAAACGGGTCCCATGGATGTGAAAATTTGGTTTGATGTGGAAAATGTATTCCTTTCTTCTATGAATGCTCTGCATTCAGTCAGAATAATATGGTCAACAGTTACCGTAACGCATGTTAAGCATATAGGAGAATCCTCTTTAGACATTAAATAACTGTAGTCTGTGCGTTACTCTCGTGTCACGTGTGACCAATTCTCATCCGATTTAAAATACTAAATTTTAACTTTCTGTTTAAGAAGACTACTTAGGCCCAAGGAAGTATTGAGTTTTTTATTCTGTTTAGTTTGATGTTTTGACTGTACCATTGTGTTTGCCATATTTTAAGGTACTACTTACTTTTTTATAAATAATTGGTAACAATAAAATCGTTTTCATCCAACAAACAAATAAATAATATTGCATTAATTTAAATTGTAGAAATCATGTTTTATTAGTATCATTTAACAAACTATTTTTTTTCTAAATTTGTTGTCTGAATAAAGTATTTCTATAAATATATATTTTTATAAAAGTTTACACATTCAATTGTTTTATCCTTTACAGTTAATGTAAAATTTCAACGACGCGCCGAACGAAAATATTTAAAAATATATATTTATTTTAATTTACCAGGTTTTGTATTTTGAAGAGATAAATTATAATGTAATATCATATAAGTTTTAATCATTATATTTTATAAGTATTATCAGTAATAAATGATAACACAATAACATAGAAGACTAAAATGTTGAGGTGCAGCTGTACATTATTATACCAGTAGCGTAGACAGGATTTTAAACCGGGAAAAGCTAACCTTTAATTTATAAAAAAATAAAAAATACTGCGCTGTAAAAATCATTTATACATCCCGAAATTTTGGGGAACGCAGAAGCCCTATCAGCCCCTCTCCTAAATATTCCACTGCATTATATAAGTATATCTATAAGGAACTATGTACATTCTGTACAAACATAATATTGAAAGTAGTCTGGTTTTAATTGGAGACAGGATTTTTAGGATTTTACATATGTCTTTATTGATCCTTCTATATAAATTGATATGAATAAGAAATGTGTACGCGTCTTTAAACATACTAAATAGTTGTTTTTTTGCATATTTAATAGAATGGTCAATATTTAGCTTATACTTCGCAATTTAGAATATTTTGTGAGTTTTATAGAAAAAAAAATTTAATTTTGTTTTTAAATCGATTTAGACGTCCTTTTGGATGTAACAAAAAGTGCTTATTAATACAAACTTAAACTTATATACTGTCAATGATCAAGCAAGATTCAAGCAAAAACACATTTATTTAATTCTACTTATAATATTAATAACATGTCAACGATTGCCCTTTCAAGTTTTGTAGACTTAAACGCAAGGTTTGGCAAATAAATAATATTATTATAATATAAGTTCTTAAGTAAATTCTTAGTTTAAAGTACTTATGAAATCAATGAATTAATAAGTTCAATTTTTTAAAACACTACCATTACCATACTGTACATCAGTATATAGATACATAGATTATACTTTATCTTTGATTTTAAAATGATTTTATTTTTCTAAAAAAATTAATTAGTTAATTATAAAGTTGGATAGTCTAATAACCAAAAAAAGGTTTAAGTAAGATTGGGAGCCGGTCTTTTGTTAGAGGTTATATTGAGGCAAATTTAAAAATCCGAAAGTTTTTAGATTCTTAACAGTAGATAAAATGGTACAAATTTGAAATTACATTAGAAAATGGGTGTTTTTGCCCGAAAATCGAACCGTTTCGAACCCTTGAAGTTTATTAAGTTTGAAGTATGAACTATTAAGTCACTAAATATTTTTTTAAATAACTATTTAGATAATTAGTTTAATCTAATTAAATTTATTAATGTCTTCTGGAACTGAGCTTACAAACGTACATAGGTAAAAAATTAAACAAAAATAATGTTTACTACAATCAAAAGACACTATTGACAAATTTCTTTTTACTGTCTAGTAAAAGCAATTGTAAATAAATTGCCATACATATAAAGAACTAAAATTTTGTTTTATTTTCAAATTTCATTTTAATCTAAAATAATACCTACTACCTTAAACGATCATTTTATTTTTTTAGACAGACACATTTCATGTTTCAACTTTCAACGAGTTAAAACCAAAAGTTGAAAAGTTTGCACTAGGTAAATAGCTTACCTTGTCAAAATACTTATCTAAACTAATATAGGTTAAGATACTTATCCAATGCGGAGCTCAGAAGAAATTGTTTTTGCAATGATGTCCATTTTTTGTGTCCGGACCCAAAAAACGTTTTAACCACTGGTTCAGTTTCTTGATACAATTAAGTTTATAAATCAAACACCGAAAATAATTGTACATTACAATTTTTTTTATATTTTAAATTTAAAACATAATCTCTGGAAGGAAAACCAAAAAAAGTACAAACATGAATAAAAAACCTATACATTTTTTGTGTAGTGATTCATACGTGCATGTTACCTAGGTATATTTTTTACTATCTATAGATTCACATCAAAGCGTTAATTTGAAAAATTAATTGCGTTTCATTTAGACAGAATATTTCTTAAAAATCATTGACCTACTCCTTCCATCTTTGTTGAAACCCATGTACCTAAATGGAAATATTTTGTTAGAAAATAGATAATAAATAACAATTTGGTTTACTTGGGCAATTTATTTTTAACCAATATGCTTACTTATTCAAAACTATGTCAAATAATATATTAGTAAATTATTTTAGTATATACCATGATTGAAACATACAAGGTTATTGCACATAAAAACAAATATGTCAGCGTAACGGGAGCCAAAATCAAATATATATGTACACAGTAAAATATTTAGTAATAGTAAAATTGATATGCCCTTACGCTGCCATTTTATTTCTGAAGATAACAATTCGAGACGATGTGCAATAACCTGTATATTTCAACCATGGTATATACTATATACTCATATTATATACTAATTATCAAATTATTTAATGTTGATTTGTAAAAAATGCCTATTATTATTATATGCCGATTGGCTTTACCAACTAAAGGTAGATTAAAATCTGTGTGTGTTAACCTACGATTAATTACCTTAAGGCTTTTTTTATTATAACAATAACAATAATAATTATAATTAATGTTATTATAACATTTTGTTTTATTACAATTTACAATCAATTTTTTTATATTAAGTATAACATGTTTGATTTATGTGTGCTGGCGAGTCAAGGGTGGCTCAGAAAGGGCAGATAATGGATTTTGCGATAAGCGGGATATCCAATAATAAATCGGTCGGCCCCACCGCGTTTTATTGTGGTTTTATCTATCGGCGTCCGCATTTGAATTAAATATAACATTTTTCACTATATTATTATTTCTGTACATTCCGCGTCTCAGTGAAGACTGAAGAGTGAAGATATTAAGGTTGCGCGAGTGATTGAGTTTCTATTCTTATTTCTATTAAAAAAACGCTCAGGTTTTCCAAACAAATAAAATAATATGAAAATATTTGAGACGTGATCGCTTACTGTATTTTTATATTATTCTGTTTACATTCAAACCTCAATTCCGTTGTAACTTCGAAAATGTTTATTAACGATTTTCCATTTATGGAGTCGATGCCAACGAACAACAATTTTATACTCAAGTCTGAACCGTTTGGAGAAGGAACCACGTACAATGGCAACGTATGGATTACAGGTAGTTATACGATATTATTACCTACGCCATTAAACTTGTGCAACGACAAGAGATATTATTATCATTTAATAGAAACATCTATTTTTAATATAACAAGTGCAGATTAGTTTGTTTTAAATCGGGACCATTTGATAATGCTTAGTAAAATTGATAATTATTTTATAATTTATATATTATGTAACGAATAATATACAATATAATAACACCCGTCGTATCCAAAAAGCGGTTTACAATACTGACAATATAATAATATATAATATGACCTTTCATGCGGCGAACCGTGTGTTTGAATTGTACTATCAGTAAATATGTTTCCTGTTTGTCCGCCACTAATTCACTGGGAAACGTGTTTTAACCGCTATTTTAGCTTATGGGTTTGCAATAACAAAATGATAAAAATATATTTCAAGTCTTTATTTTTGTAAACGTTTGACAAAACTTTGGAAATTTAGAAAAGTTTGAACTCGTTAATTAATTATGTTGTAAGTGTAGTGTGTAAACATCTTTTTTGGCGACTAACCATAAAAAACGGTATTGAGTTTATACATATTTAGAAATGTATACCAAACGTTTTATATGTATGTTCTAGTATGGGAATCGTTAATATCATTTATAAAAACTTAACTTATGTATAATCATTTGTCAGAAATTGAATGCTTAATGCGAGTCCAGAGTGAGTCTTTTAGGGGCCTCTACGCTAGCATTTATTAAGGCGCATTGTATAGGCAATTTTTCGCTAAAACTTAACATTAAGCTAACAACTTTAAACATACATATCACCATAAAAGAGAAGTATCTTTTTTACGAAATAGATTCAATGTAAAAACTGAAATTTTTTACTTTTTTTAAAACTGAAATAATTTACAAAAAATAATTTTTAAATTGTGTCACAGTCACACACACTATTAAATGTACTACAGATGCCTTGAAAATGTTATGAAGAATTCAAATGTTTTTTCAAAACTTAAATCTGAGTATTCTTAGGAACAGTTAATTTAATGTAGAGTGAGTTGTTTTTTACTAAAAATACGCAGGTGTAGAGGCGGCCCCTTAAGAGAAGATAGGAATAAAAACAGTAGTTAGAATGGTCCGTTATGATTTTATTATGCGTTTTCTATTTAATTATGTAAATTGGGTGTAGCCTAATATTCCCAACAATAACTACTTTGGATTGTTCCAAAATTAATATTGAATACTAGAAACGTAAATTATACTGTTTTCGTCTAAGCAATTTTAATACAAGCATTCATTTATTATTTTGCTGAATTAGTTTTTAAATCAAATGTTTAAGTCAAAATATTTGGCTAGATTTTGTAGAATGATACAAGGGAAATAATTAATGATATTAAATTAGGCATCGACTAATGCATCTATCAATACATTCAGTAAAAAATCATCCTTTCTATTATTAAGCAAGCATTGAAACATGTTGATATCAAATGCATTAACCAAACGTTAATGTATGTTATTACCGTAACTACTACAGGAGGATATTAATAATATTATATTATATTAATTTACCATAAATATAATAATATTTTACCCTTAAAAAAGTTTACATAATTAATAATAATTCTAGTATAAATACTGTCAAATGTTATCTATAATTTATCGCTAATTAAGTGCGGTAAATTAAAAAGACGCCACACAACAAATTTAATTAAGGAGTAAAGTATATAGACGATTTTCCGATAACCTTGCCCTAAAGGTAAAATTTGTGTACTTATGTATCGACATAGTAAAAAGAAATCCACATAACTAATTATTATTTATTTCCAACTCAAAATTACAACACAGTTGTCTGGTTATATTTGTACAAAATCATGTCTCGGAAGATGTATTTTCCTGGGAAACTAAGCAGTTAGGCTAAAAGTACATAATATACATTTTGAAGATCGAGAACTTATCTAAATGTTGACTTGAACGGTTTTTGATAAAGTTATTAACAATTAAATTGTGGGTCATTTAATTTAAAAAAAAATCGATGCTTAAAATATAATTTCTTTTAATTTACTTAACTCCTTAATACCTATTAGTTGAGAAACTACGCCTTTCTTAAAAGCAGATAGTGGCACCTACAATATAGGAAAAATAACGAATATATATTTTTACATGTTAGCCCTAGACTTAAATTAGTGCCTACTCAAAAATACTTTTTAAATACAAACTATTTGACATAAATCATAATAAATAGTTGATGTTTAAAATTTTACTAAAGAGATTACTTATACAAACATGGAAGTTCCTTTAATTGTCAAAATCGTACTGTATTGGTTTTGATTACTACATACGATACAATACAGTTTAAGTAATTAGATATGCGCACCTAGTTCAACAATAAAAGAATCATAATGTACCTATACATAATAGTATAGTATTATAGATAGTCTATAACCTTTTTTGATTGACCTCTTAAATGTTTGAGAAATTCTATATATTAAAAAACGTGAAGGAGTTGCTGATACTAGTTAATTAATACATAAATGATATTGGTAATCTAATGTTGCATACTCTGAGGTCTCACAGAATAATATCTTAATTTAAATATATTTAGATTTTAAATTAACTTATTACTGTATTAATCTCATTGCTTTTATTATTGCTATTGTGCTTACCGATATTCAATGTAATTATACAATTTAATATTCTATAATATTATTTATGGATTTAATAACACGTTGTGGTTCAACACCTATAACGCTTAAGAAAACGTGAATCATTAATCTGTTATTGATCTTAGCAAAAGCAAAGTTAGTATAGAAACGTATCTTATATTATTACGTATTATACTACCGTTACTTTTTCTAAGACTTAAACCAGATTAATTCAAGAAACTAAATCACATTAATAATTAACACATTAATTAATATTTCATATTATGGGCTACACATAACATTTCTAAGAAAACACTCAAAATTCAAAGATAACCTATTGAAGAAGTCATTTATTTTTGGAACTATTTTTTCTAATAATAACACATTTAATTTTATAGTTTGCTATTCTCTTACAATTTTTACCATCATAGCTCGATGACCTGAGTTACATTAACATGTTTATTTTAAATATAACCTACACAGATTAATTAATTAGTTAATTAAATAATCTTATAATTTATAATTTGTAAGTAGTTGTACTTCGTTCATTTAAAATTATAACATTACTAACTAATCTTAATTACCAATTACATTCCATCCAAATCCGGTTAGTGTCTTTAAATTAATAATTTAATATTTATGTATAATGAAATACAATGTCTGTTTATTTTGTTATTCCAAATAAATATAATAAATATAAGTTTAGAAAAAACTTATATATACTTTGTTAAGAAACATCATTACCAAAATACGTGTATTATTTTTTTGTATTAAAGGGTTTTAAATTTTTTTTAATTTTTAATTGTAAAAAAAAAATTAAACACGATTTTGAAACTTACAATCTAAACACGTTAAACAAATTAAAACAGTTTATTATTTTTTAATCATATCACGACATTACAAACTAATATTTTTTTAAATACTATATACTCTTATTTCAGTGTCAAATTTTAACAAAATATTTGAGAGTTAATTCGTTATGAAGTTTAACTTTTTGTTAAGTTTATACTTTCTGATGATTTTTTTTTACATTTAACTATGATATTGTTAACTAGATAATTTACGGAAATATCCATGTCTTTATTTTTGAGCTAAAATTTGAGTATATCTTCAGAGTAATAATTTTCACCGTTCCACTATCGCGACTAGACTAGTATAGTCTAGTATAGTGGATTCATCTGAAAGTTATCAAAGTTATATTCCAATCCATGAATGTTTTAACATATTCATATGGTTTTTTTTTAATGAGACATGACAATATTAGTAGAATACTAGTTAGAATAAAGAATGAGTAAATAAGAAGAAGTTAGGAATAGTAAAATATGTGAAAAATAAAACAAGTAAGTAAAATGGATAGAAATGTTGGTTGGCCGCCCTTTTTTTGTATGGGATAAGACAAAGAAGTAGGTACAAAGTTTATTTGTTTAATAGTTAGTGTATATAAAATAAACATAAATAATAAACGGAATTGTATATATTTATGTAATTCGAATTTTTAAAATGTCAAGATTTATTAAATGCTAAACAAAATTTCAAATATAACTATTAACTATTATTTCAAATATAACTATATTTTGGCTTCGGGATAATACTTGAATTTTTCAAAATGTGAACCCTTCACCCTACCCTTACACAGCCGGGTACATTCCTGGGGTTTGCGGTTTTATGATCAAGAGGTTTTTATCCTTCGTTAAACACTATAGGTCGAGTGTTTCATATCTCAGACTATAGGTACAGCATAACTCATATAACTGTTAATATATATATATATATATATATATCACTAATAATAAGCAAATCTAACATAACAATAATAAGATCTTATCAGAAGCATTTATAGGAAATTGTATATTATAATCTAAATAATTGTTTATTGTTTTGTAACATAATCTTAATTCATGTATCATATGAAACACGTGAATAGAACGTTCCTAATAAAAACCTGTAAATAGTTTTACTTCTTTATTTTATTACACAACGGACAAAAAAGAAAATAACAAGAATTGTCTTATTGTTACTGTGAATATCAACACTAATACATCAGTGTAGAAATAATTAAAAAACTTGGGTTATTGTATGCGCCATTCATAAAAATAATTTTTCAAAATGAGTTTTTATGCTTAATGGAATAAAAAAAGTGTTATTCTTTTAATTAAGTATCACTTTTAGAAACATCAGAAAACGGCAAATGCAACCCATTTTAGCTTTAATACAAAATTGAATAGTTAAAAACCAATTTCTGAATTATTAGACCTACAAAAGTGACTAATTTTTAGCTTAAGGGGATTGCATGAGTGTTATTTTTTTTACTATTTAGACCAAAAAGTCAGACAAAATTTCGACTATTAAGGATGGTCCTATTTCAATTCCGTAAAGAGTTCGTTAACAACTTTATTAGGTTATGTAAAAATTGATTTTTGATTTTTTTTACTGTAAAAAAAATTAGGTTTTAATATTGAAAAAATTGAAAATTTGATTTTTTTATTTACAAGAAACTGAATTTTTTTAATGTAAATCGACTTCTAAAATAATATAGTAATTTGGTAAAAAAGTCTAATTTCTTTACAGAATTGAAATTGGATCATCCTATTAGTCGAAACATTGTCTGGCTTTTTGGTCTAAAATAAACCAAAATGGATTTTTCTTATAGAAAAAATGATTTAAATTAAAATCCTACCTTAATGGTTATACAAGTTAACCGGTAAATTAATTAACATGGTTGACATTTATTAAAACCTCTTTTTTCTTAAGTATTGCAATATATACAATATACCTAAATACTAGTAGTCTTTGTCTAAAAAAGCCAATCTCATATAAATTAAGTTTTAGCAAATTATCATTAATGTTTTTATTTTTTATAACAACGCATGGAATTATGTTTAAGTATATAACATCTTAAATACATTTTTAAAAAGCTAAAATAAGTGTAGGTAATGGTATTATGTATAATATATACTATTTTAGCTAATAATTGAGAATAGGCTCTTAAGACCCGATGAATTATTTTCTATTGCCTACACCTAATATTGTTTTTTTTAAATCATGTGTTAGGTAAGTTTTTATCAATAAAGAACATTTTTTCCATGGGCGAAAATCCCAAGGAATTGGCATCCACCAATATTTGCTAATATATATCGTGTTCTAGTTAATGTTTTAAATTATGTAAATGTGTGTTGCCTATTCAATGTAAGGTGAAGAAGCGTAACTGCAATTTTTATGGAGCAGTTGTAACCACTAACTTTTAAAAGTAATAATTAAAAATATTATACTTTAATTTAATGATTTAATCATTTAACCACCCGTTGTTAAATATAAGATAAACAAAAATGGTTATTTTTATGTAAAACGTTGCTGTTGAACTTGCCCTATTTAACTGCAGTTATCCCATTTCAACCAACTGAGACTCATCAGTGTACCTACATATTATGTGAATTGACTATTGTTATTTAGCTCGAATTCTTAAACATTATTTGCTCCTACATAATATATGCTAAATAAAATTAAATACCTACTTGATAACAAGAGTTGTCTACATCTCACACAACACAAAAGTTTCAGTAATACAAATTAGAATTTAAAATAAACTTATACTATTGAACTACCATAAATAAATTGTCGAATAATCATTACTAGGCCAGTGTTTATATATTGTGATTGTGTCAACTGTAAACATAGCTAACCCCACCATATTTACTAGTGACGAAATATCCCTGAACACATTTTCGCAAGTCTGACCTAGTATTATAGATTATGTAAAGCTACATTAGTAGCTTATTGTGTGGTTCTATGTCATTTAATTAAATAGCTCATCGTTTAAAATAACTATTTTCAATATTTATAGGGTAATGTTATTGACACATTTATTTTTATTTATTAAAATGTATTATTATAAATTAATAGTTTTAGAAAATTCTCCGAACCGATTAAAGACTTTGGTACTCGTTAAAAAACTGGTAAGCTCGATACAGTTCGTTTGAATAAGTTAAGGCGGGACCCTCTAAATTATTCCCTAACCTAGATTTTGAAAATCCTAAAACCCAAATTGTTTAAGAATCTAAAACTGTTTTGTAGCCTTGAATTATATTTTTAAATATGGTTTAAAGTGTTAAGTAAAATAAAGTTTCTAGTTTGGGATTTTTAAAATTAAAAAATCTGAATTTTCCCTATCTCTATCCCTAAGGTAGGAATCTGTATTGTTGCTGATTATTTAACTGTATATTTCTATTTAGATTTCATATTTTAGTTTAGTTGAATTATTGCTAAGTATAATAGTATCATAATTATCAAAATAACTTTTATTTATGTACAGTTTAGTTTTAACTATTAATATTTTAAACATAGGTAGTAAAAAAAATCGGTTTGTGAATAAAACAAATTCACAATATTAACAATGTGATGTAATGTTGATGTACATAATGCGATCTATCGTTAATTCTAGTCAAACTCAATACTTCACTTTAAACTGAAACTATTACATTAGATAAAATTATTAAATTATTAGTCATTTGTATATTGTTGGTTGAATGTTTTGCATATATTATAACAAATTAAAAATAAAATATGAGCTTTTATTTATATCCCGAATAATAAATGAACGAATAGAATAATTTGACTTCCTATTTGTACTAAATGGTGGATTTACACAATTTAATAAATAATATTTCACGTGGCTTATATTTTATCACAATATAGTTAAAGTTACGAAGCAATTATTAAAATAAACCAATGACTAATTAAACGCTGACCGGTTTTTTTACTTACGTTAGTTGTACGTTAATTAGAACAAAACTGTATCATGAAAAATGATTATTTAACAAAATTAATAGTATTATGAACAGTAGCCTACTATACATAATTTCAGTGAATTTTTAATGTTTATATTTTTTGTGAAGATCATAGCTTATAGTTTTTATGAAAATTCCATTGATATCCGATTTGAAACTATTGTATTTAATTCCTTATTGCCTTATGGATATTATCAAATATCGAATCTTACCGGGATACAATTAAATGTACATTGTTGTTTTAATCTGAAATTAAACCATTCCTATCGAGTTAAAAAAATACAACTAAATAAATAAAATATTTCTATAAGTCGTATGTTTTAATTAAATTTCTATTAATGTATAATATATTTTAATATTATTAAATATATCATAACATAAATAAGTAATTATTTATTATAAAAACAAAAAATTAAAATGGCGATTACAAATTTAAATTAAATATTATGTTTATGTAGAAGTAATAGTATTCAAACATTTTTTGTTTTATTCCGTGCAAATTGGTATGTAATTTATTGTTCATTAAATCATGGTTTCCCATTATAATTTCTACGATAAAATATAACAATTTAAATATGTTTTACAATAAATAATGTTTTTTTTCAAAAAAAGGTACTTGATCTCTTAACATCTTTATTAATGTCACTCCCTGAAACTACTTCTAGATAATGTATTTATTTATACAATAATTATACAAGTAAATTATAAAAAACGGTAAACCGATATTACATTAATAATTATTGAAGTAAATATCGATTTGGTTGCTTTTAATAGTGCTAGTGTTTTAACTCAAGGGAACGTTTATTTATCTCCATACCTTAACACGATTGTTCATAATCGATAACTGCTAATCAGACAACCTTCCTTATCGCTTGACAGCAATTTAAGTATACATTTTCATCTAAACATAGATACGCAGAAAGCGTTTTACTCGGTCCAAAGTGGTTTTAGAGCAAAAACATTTATTTTAAAACCGAAAGACAGCAACATTTTGAAGACAATGACATAGCCGATTATGAAAATAAAAACGTAAAAAAAGTTATAACTATTTAAAAAGAAGTAAAAAAATGTGACTTCAAATGTTAAATATTAGGTTTATCAAGTTGAGTTAATGACATTGCCTCCAAAATCTTGTCATCTTTTGTTTTATTTTATAAGTATTTTTGATCTAAAATCAACATGGAGCGTGTATAATGTCTTCTTATCAAATTAACAATTAAAATAGGCCATCGCTACCATCTTAAAATCGAGAGAAACTCTGCAAAACATTTGCTGATTTGTTCAAATTTTACCAAAAGTGACTGGTGATTAAACCTAGTCAAATAATTTTTTTTTTAATTGCCTCGTTTAAGGACACGTAATGTGTTAAACAAGAGGATCTCGTTGTACCTACAGAATGTATAAAGATATTAATCTAGGTACCTAATCTACGGTTGTAGAAATAAAAACACCCTTGATTACACGTACCAGGATTTCATAACCTACACAGAAGTCAAGCCAATATACTCTACAAACCACGTTGTAGAGCTGATGACTCCTACAAAATGTAAGCCACAATAATACATTGGGTAAAGTCCACCGAGAGTCGTCGTATCATTTATTATTGATCGCGGCTATTTAGTTTGTAGGTATTTTGCTCATTTATCAACAATATTTAAATAAAGCGATTCGAGTATTGGTAAATACGGATAATACTGATGATGTCAAACGGTGTGTATACTTCTTTGTATAATGTTTTTATTATGATACGAAATGATTAAGTATTGATGTCCGTGATGGCATCAGTAGATCGAATAACGCGGCCCCATATACACACGCATAATAATAATAATAACAATAATAATAATAACAATGTGTTGATTCTTTTACTACATTATAGATTGTAATTAACCATTTTTTCAATATTGAGAACTATGCGTATATTATTAGTGTTTAGCCCTATGTGACGTACAAAGTTCAACCGCAGTGTTTTGTTGACAAAATTACCTAGTGAAAATGTGTAAGTCGTTGTTTACATTGCATCGCGATTTGTTATGAATATTATATTATATTGTATTGTTATATTATTACACTCAATAGGAATTTTACAGAAAACGTTAATAAAATACGTCATTATGCTTATTACTACTTCGGTACTTACCTGCGCTTGAGGTGCGCGTCCTTTGATTACATTTGCCGGTAGACTTTCGGGTGATTGTAATAATAAAATATTATATGAACGCATAAAATCGTACTACAAAACAACTAAAGCTCAGTGTTTTATCCCAAAAGACGTTCAGTATGTAAAATATTAAAAAGCCCTAGCCCCTAAAGAAAATGGTGTTACAAAATCAACCGATTGAAAACTGAGCATCTACCGATCTATGTCGCGCCATAATAATTAATAACCATAAAAAACCTGAAATAGATTTTGGTCTAAAGACTATTTATAATCTCCTCGCGTATTATATATTATTTCCATGATAAACAAAACAACACAATAACTAGTTCTTTTGTATTTTTAATCGCATTTATTTTATGACTGAAATAATTTTTCTTCCAAGCTTGTGTTTTAATTAGCAATTGCAATTAACGCTCGAGTTTTATTATACTGCTCGAAATACACATAATATATCTATAATATATTGAGAAAAAAAAACTACAATTCAATAGTTAACCTATAGTACCTAGTTACCTAGCTAACAGGGGTAGGAAATCTTGCTTCCCATAAAATTATGAAAAATATTTCAAGTATAAAATGGTGTATTTTAAATTATTTTATTCACACAATTCACAAATAAAAGGTTTTTTAAAACAATTATAATGTTACTTAAGATTTAGATATTTAATATATTTGCTCGATGCAAGTATTTTTTAGTGTCCTGGATGAAATTTAATTTCCGGGCATAACCTTATTTTCCGCTAAGTCCCCGATGATGATTATATATTTGTATGTTATATAACCTTCATATTTTGCATGTTGTAGTCGACAACAGTAACCTATAGGTAAATTAATTATTTTCTAAAAATAGCCCCTAATGGTGTCACCAAATAACGAAATTGCGTACCAACTTTTACAAATCTGATTAAAATTTACTAAATTTAAATTATATTTCTCAACTTACTTTACTTAAACTTAACTTAAATTCATTAATTATATGTAAAATTATTTATAGCAGAATCGGATCTTAACGGCATGCCAGTACATCGAGAACCGCCATACTTGCAAACTATTGACACACCACAAATCCATTCTCCACCGATGCCTGGCCAAAATCAAGCGTGCTCAATTTGCGGTGACCGAGCGACCGGCAAACATTATGGAGCAGCCTCATGCGACGGATGTAAGGGATTTTTCAGAAGGTCCGTCAGAAAGAGCCATTTCTACTCGTGCAGGCAAGAATCGTTTGATTTTATTGAAACCTGTACAATTACAAACCTTAAACGTCTACTTTACATAACATTATTTTTTTTTATAGATTTTCAAGAAACTGCATTGTAAACAAAGACAAACGCAACCAGTGCCGTTACTGCCGGTTACGGAAATGTTTCAAGGCTGGTATGCGAAAAGAAGGTATGCAAGTCGAACCCCTCATGTACTTAAATACCCCTTAAATTATTGTAACAATGACCAAGGGTTACCAGACGTCCTGGTTAATTCTAGCGTCTTTGCCGATTGTGAACTCGATAAAAAAAGGCCCACATCTACCTAGCATCTGAATAGTATATTAAATTAACAGTAAAAAAATGTTACGCTAATATTTATAGATAATTTTTTGTGAGGCTACAGTTAATATTAAACACAATAATCACAAATAAATTAAATTAAAATTAAATATAATAATATCATAATATATCATCTTTTGTTTTCAATTCGAGTAAAACCGTACACATATTTATGTTTTGCAATTTATTTTCTTAAATAAGATTTCGTTACATTAATAGTAATAAAATGTTTTTTTATTTCAGCTGTCCAAAACGAACGTGATCGTATCAACTGCAGAAGACCCAGCTATGAAGAGCAGCCGAGTGCTAATGGTTTGTCGGTTACATCATTATTGAATGCTGAAATACTGTCTCGGAACGAATCAGATGTAAGTGTGTGCATACACATTTTTTTTTTAACTTTATTTAAACTATAAACGTTTCTAAAAATTTCATAATACTCATATTACAGACAGCTGATGATACTAATTTAGCCAACAAACATGTGGCAAACATTGGTGACGTATGCGAATCAATGAAGACTCAGCTGCTCTTTTTAGTTGATTGGGCTAAACGTATTCCCGCGTTTACGGAACTTCAGTTGAACGACCAGGTAATTACTTAAATTTTGATTAAAATTTAAACTATAGGTACTATAGCAAAACACATAATAATATATGAACTGTTAAACATGGTATAATATGGTTGCAGGTGTCGTTATTACGAGCTCACGCTGGTGAACATTTGTTGTTGGGCTTGGCCAAAAGATCTCTAATGCTTAAGGACGTGTTGTTATTAGGAAACAACAGAGTTATTACTCGCCATGTGCCCGGTTAGTACACATATTAAAGTTTGAAAATTGAAGACGTCCATTCCTACCCAAAAATCTAACACCTCGTATTGTAAAATAACCAACTTATTTATAATCGTGTTTGCAGATAACGGAATACCATCGGACTTGGACATAAGCAGAGTTGGTACACGCGTTTTAGATGAACTCGTCAAACCTTTAAATGATGTGCAAATTGATGACACAGAATTTGCTTGCCTCAAAGCAATAGTGTTCTTTGATCCAAGTAAATGCATTTTTTATTTGATTGATTTGTCACTACTTATCAACTATATTGTCGACATTAAAAAGGCAATTCTGGGACAAATGCTGTTATTATACAAATATAAAAAGGCTTGTGAGAGTTAAACCCAACCCCTTCCCAAATTACGAGAATTGAGCGAATGAAAATAGGCATATCCTTGTCAAATATTTAATAACTTCCTCCCATTTAAAAATTTAGTTTAGATTCCTCCAGAGTTGTAGACAACTTACAAACAGAAAGCAGAAAAGTCTAGTTTTCTTTTGTGTAGAACATATCCGAGTCCAGTTCTAAATATCATATTTTGTATTTAATTTCAAACAAAATCTGCAATATTAGTGTTTACACACAAACTTAGATCACAATATTAACTGGGGTTGTTTTTTAAATAGATGCTAAAGACTTACACGAACCCGACCGCATCAGACGTATGCGCAAACAAATTCACCGAAACCTAGAAGACTACATCAGTGATAGACAATACGAGACTTGCGGTCGTTTTGCAGAGCTTTTATTAACGTTACCAGCTCTACAATCGATTACATGGCAAATGATTGAGCAAATTCAGTTTGCAAAACTCTTTGGAATGGCCCACATTGAACCGTTATTGCAGGAGATGTTACTCGGAGGTAAATCATTTGTCGTAAGAAACCTGCTCGTTTGTAGTGACCTTAGTCACGCCATTTTTCTTTTAATTTATTCATCTTGTTTTTTCTGTATAAACAACCAGTTTTTTTTAAAATTATTTTTACATTAACTTGATATTAAAAAAGTAGCTTATTTTAAATATAACACTCATTATTTTATGTTTCTTTTTCAGGAGCTCCAATCGATGCTGATTCAAACAATCAAGACAAAACCATAAATGTTATCAGCGCGCCATAAAACCAATTTTAAAAAATCATAATTTTTGTGTATACGATTAATTTTTAATTTTTGTGTACGAGTGAAATTTCTATTACTCGTAGTTTTAATTTTAAGATTACAAGCAACTAACTTCTAATTTTCTTTATTTAGATACTACTAATAATTATGATCTTTTAAATGGCTTAACTTATTCGAAAATCAATATATTTATAATGTTATATAAATTTAATGATAGGTATAATTTTTTAACTATTTTTATTATTGTTTCATTTTTGTGTATTTAAGTTTAAAATATAACGCTAGTCAGCGGAATTATAGTTAATATTGAAACTAGATTAGAATTTCCTATTGACAAATTAAGAGTCAAGTTATAACTGTTTGTACATAAGAAAAAAAATGTTATTTGTATTGACTATAAAATACAACAATAAATTATGCTTGTCATTACCTAATTGTCAAATTTTAAAAACTTCACTGTCATTATCGTAAGCAAGGTACATAAATAATTGTTCAGAAAACGTATTTATAGCAGATTAATACTGTGTAATATTATTGAAAATAAATACTTATTTTATTCAATGAAAATAAAATTATTTTCCAGTTTTATTTAATATTATATAGAAATTGTTATACTAATTTGACCTTATAATTATAACCTTAAGTAATAATTTACTTATTGTATTTTTTTAATGAAAATTGTATTTATTGTATACGTTTGACTTGGGCTGCAGTTCTTAACTAACCATGCAACTATATTTAGATTATAAGTGTATACTTTTAAACAAATCATTTTTAAAAAAATTGTGTAGTCTATTTAAACTTTTTTGCTTTTTTTTTACACCAATAAATGTTATTTTGAAATAACGAGCAAAATTCCAATCTAATTTTTTTTTTTTGTGCTTTAACAATAAGTTTATTATAAGTATTTATACCCTCAAGTTTCATTAAAAAAAATTGTTTTTTTTTTAAATTTTAACTTTAATTCAATAATTAAAAAAACAATCATAAACACATGATATTATTTTCTTAATTTATGTCTAATATAGAAAAATGTATGGACATATTTTTAAGTACTATAATTTTATTATGTTTGTTTCTAATCGAAATTTTATTAATTTTAATTATCATATGACCTCTTAGACAAAATTATATTTAAAACGATTAAATACATCAATAATATACAAAACATATTATATTACTTAACTATTTTATAATCACATTTATACAAGAAAAAATATATAAATTTATCTAAATTAATTTTAATCGGCAACACGTTTTTCGTGCATTTTACGCTTTTTATAATTCAGTATCATTGATGCAATTTCCATCTGTCCTGATCCTTCTAGTAAGTACGTATTTAATTGTTGCTGAGCAACACGAGCATCGTCGAATATCTTACGTTCTATACAGTCGAGCCTGTTAAAACACGGCTGATTGTCTTCAATGTTTTGTGCCCAGTCCATGGTTTGTTTAAATCGATTTACAAATGTCTGCAAATAGTTATTATATAAAATATTTATTATTTAATGTGAAGAAATTAAAAAGCAAGTTTTTTTCAATTTTACCCGTATCAGAACTTGCCGCACTTCATAAGCTTCACGATGTTCTAGTTGTGACAGAAATTTTCCAAATAAATAGAAATGTTTGCATAATTTAAATAGATCAACTACGTTTGGATCAGCTATCAATACTCCTCTAAAATTAAAATCGCACACCAATTTCTTCACTTTATATGGTGATATAAAGTTTTACCATAAGATATTATTACCAACCTGTAAATTTCATTGTACGCTTTTGGCATGTCAAACTGAATTGATTTTTCTGCTAAAAATACTTTAACCATCCATAACGGAAGTTCAACTTTAGGATCAGAATCTTCATCTTCTTTTTCTGGTAAACTAAAATCAAGAAAACCTAAAAATTAAAAAAAAAAAAAGTTAGTATTAAGTATTATTTCTAAAATAAGAACCAAAAAAATGACAAATAATGTTGTATAAGAGTATTTACTTTTAAAAAAAATATATGATAACTGGACTTGATTACTTGCAGCCTATTTTATATTTTGTTACCTGTCTTCAATTAATATAAATTTTCAAAAAGTGTAGATGGAATATTTATAACAGTCTGGTGATGAGTACAACGTACCCTTTAATGAAAAACTAACACAATAAAAGTTTTAATTTTACTTTTTGAATTTTGCTAAAAAGCCGTTCTATACAAATATAGACATTTGACACAGTTTAAAAAATTATACAGTTATAACAGTTAAAATAGTTGTTATTTTTTCTAATGATGATACTATTGATCATCTATATTAGCACACATATCGACTAAATTTATGGTAAATAACATTACAGTGAATCCGGAAATGTCAGTACCACTTTTCCTTCAATAATAATCATAAGTAAAATATCAATCTCACTTCCAATTTAATATAATTTAATTTTTTTACGGCTAAAACTTAAGATGCCGAAGTTTCAAACTTACGTTATAAAAAATAAAATAAAAAGCTCGATGTACTTACCAATAGATTCTATTTTTTTGGTGAACCTACAAGGTATTTTCTCTTGAGCTGCCATGATGGCATCAATTGAGAAATAATGAGGTCTGATATTTTTATACATTTTATGTTATATTTTTAATTAAATTAATAGTTTAATGAACACACTATATAAATCATAACAAAAACTTCTCGTTAAGCTCGTTAAATTATTTTTTTAAACTGGTATTATCTTAAATCTTACAATTGTTTATCTTGTTATGTTATCATCCAAGTTCGTTACAGTGACGCCAACCGACAGACACTAAAACGAATAATATATTGAAATAGGTTTTTAACCCGCTTCGATTTCCCATCTTGTCTTTAAAATATTATTGCCAATAATAGGATATGACTTTTAATAAATACCATAAACTTTTCAGCTTTAAAGGGGAAAAGTTGTCGATTATTAGTGTTTTCACCATTGTTTATTTTTTGGTCCATTCTCTATTGCCGACTGGTCGCTTTAATCTCTAGTTACGCCACTGTGTCACTCACTCTCTTCCTTCTACACAAATACAAGTCTTACAGGGCTGTGAGCAACAGCTGTTATAAGTTATAACAATACATAATGAGTAGTGACTGCCAGCTGACTAAATCTCTGACAAATTGCAAAGTTATCTGATCTGTTTATTTATTTTGTGTTGTTTACACGGCTACTTTTATTTTTGTGCAATTGGCCAATCTGTTATCAATTTTTTTTTGCTCACGGATTTCCTCGAATGCGTAATGATAACTACGTTTATCTGTTTGGTTTCATAATATAATATTATTGTCGTACAATATTGTTAGTCCGACAAAAATGACGAATTTGTTTGTTTCAGCAGTATTTACTTTGTAGTGCTATAATATGATATTCACTAAGTGATGTGTTTTACTTGTAATCCGTCAACAAAGTAACCCATGCATACGTCTGGATTGTAAATGAACAATTATCTTGCTTAAGTATGCCACAAATCGATATTTATTGATGTAGTTATTAATTAGCTACAATTTTTTTTTTTTATAGTTTCTACACTAAAAATCGTAATTTACATATGATTGATCTGTATTGAAATGTAGCAAAAGAACAAACCGCTTAAAAGTAATACAATGGCAGTTCCAAACACAGAAACCAATCGTTTATCGATTACCAAATCGGAAAACAGCACTACAATGGACAATGATCACTTCTGCAAATTGATTCTTTACTTGGAAATACCTTCCGTCAAGTAAATTTTAGTTTTAAAAGTTATTCATCTTGATTACGTTTTTATATTTGGAATTATTAATTTTTTTCTTTTTGGTTTCAGTATAAGAATATGGGACGTTGCTATTCTCGTTCCAAATTTGATTTTTATGGTGTACCTAGTAACAAAGTTAAGTCGCGCTAGATTAAAACTTCGAGCGGCAAATAGTCCAATTTTCTTAACGTTTTACTGTTTGGTAAGAACAACAATCACAATAAAAACATACTATAATTTTGTTGTACATAATAAAAAAAAATTTGTACTTGTATCATTTTTAGGTGTTGTTCAATGTATTTATGAGTATATTAAGATGTCTAATTTCAATGACACTCAATTACAGTAATTTGGCTGCCGATTCCATTAATATAACACTTTGGGTGGTAGTCAAATGTTTTTTTTTGGCCACTGAAATGAGCGTAATAGTCTTTGCTTTGGCTTTTGGTTAGTAAAACTTTCACTTCTTGCTTGTATACAAATTGTAATTCATAATATTGATTTGTTAATTGACCAATTATTAATTACATGTTAATAGGTCATATGGAAAGTAGAAGCAGTATAAGATATGTATTGATTACAACATCATTAATATCATTAGTGTATTCAGCTAGTCAAGGAGCCCTGGAAATTCTGATGCCAGACTCCGTTTTTAGAATTACCTCAAAGGACTTAAATTTATTTGGCCACGGAGGTGTTCTATTTTGGTTGATTAGCTCTGTAGTGTTTACTATGGTAATTACTTGACATTTGATTAACAAATACTTAAGACTTGTTTCTCACTCCAGTATTAAATAACTTGAATCTTATAATTACAGCTTTACTTGCTCATTTTGGTATTGCCTTTTACTAGACTTCGAGAGAAACTGCCCTTACCAGGTAAACTTTTATACAATACAAATAATTTAATTAACATTTTAAATTTGCTTTTAAATATCTGTTACACCTATTAATCTTATACACACCTTCAAGATTTAACATACATTTATTAAAACATCTGTTAATTTCAAGTAAATGACAAAAAAACTGACTGGTGTCACAAAACTTTGTGTTTTTGGGCTTTTTTATGTATAATCTTGTATATCTTATTGCTCTTTTATTTTACAGTAAACCGGTCATTCTATGTATACGTCTTGATGTTAGCAATGTTAAATGGTATCGGCTCAATTGGTTGTGCATTTCTACTAATAAAAATCACAGAAGGACTTTGTATAGTAGACGTCACAACATTCTTATATTTTACTTTATTCACACCTCTAGTCTACGTAACATTCTTGAGTACATTTTTTAAGTAAGTAAAATATTACAGAATTTAAAATACAGTAAAACAGCATGCACTGTATATAGATTACAGGGGAACAATTAGCCTCACTAGGGTGTAACTTTTAAATTGTTAGCGATTCAACGAATTCTGTAAGCTTTGTTTATCAATGACATAAACTGTGTTTTAATTAGGCGTAGTTGTATATAGAACATTTAATTTCAGTAAATGTTTTAAATTGCAGCAACTGGCAATGCCGTTTATATTTTTTACATTGTTGTCAGTTACTTGTGCCGCTAATTAAAAAATATTGTTGTACATTATTTGACAGAGTTATTTTTTTTCTAGTGTCTCTCAATCAAGTATCATGTTTTCTTATAAAGCACAAAACGATGATCGCATTGAAGACGATACAGTGTCATTACCTCATCAACCATCCTTTTCGTCTTTAAAAACCGACTCCGATTATATTTATCAGGTATATAAAATGTCTATGACAGTGCTTATACTTATATAAAAAAAAAAAAATTGAATCCCAATGTTTTGAGAATCATATCTTTTTTAGACGGATCACATCTACAACAATACCAGATTTTCTGTTAGCGACAGACAAATAGCTAATCCTTTGTACAACGCTTCTTTACAAAGTCCGGATAGTATTACTGGCTATAGTATGGATGAACAGACTATAACCTCCGATGAACAAAAAAACTAAAACATGTTTAATGTAGTATGTAAGAACTTATTTCCGGTGTTCCTGTGTTTACTTTTTAATAAGTTGTTTTTAATTTTTTGGATATGTTTTTGAACTATACATTTACTTTATATATTTAATCATATATGTAAAAAACACTAATAATAAGATAGTTGTACTAAGTGTACGTAGTCATATTTTAAACTTTATACTAGTGAAATTACCATCACCTATATTTATTTTATACCTATTCATAAATATTTACTATAATATTTTACTTTATTTTTTATAAACTTTACTTAATCTTCCTATTGCTTTTTTTTAATATATTGTATTATCTAGGTTGACCATTACCTTTAGAACACAAATTGTTTGGTTTTGTTTTTATTGTATTTTTATATTAATATTTATTGTATGTATGTAATTTCTTTTGTTATAAGTCTTGGAACATTTATTGTATTGTGTATAGTTTTTGTTTGTTATTTATTATAATTGGCACAACAAATTATTATTATAAGTGTAAAGTAGAGGAAATACTAGATGAATATTGAATACCATTTTGTTTTTTTAACTCTTGTGAAAACAATTATGATGATAATAAGATACCATTATATTTAAAGGAAAATTAGTAGAGAATACATTTTTTTAGTCGTTAGTACACTACAAGGTAAAAATTTTGATAAAATGATCGTAATGTTAATAAATAATTTTTACCTTTTGAGAAAATGCGTGAGTATTATGGAATAGTATTCCATAATACCAACAATTACATAATATGATTAAATTAATATATTTCAAGCCCAGGTTTTACTTTTTTAGCATACATTTTTATTATTAAAACAACCAGTTACTTATATTATAAAAATACATAAAACAAAAAAAAAAAAATAACTTTTTCAGCCATAACAATTTAAAATCTTTTTATTTTTAAAGTCTTGTATGATAACAAAGTACATAAAATAAAATAGAAATTAAAAAAAACAAATAACTTTTTCAACCTTAAAAATTTGAAATCCTCTTATTTTTAAAGTCTTGTATCTATCATTATAACAAAATACATACAAAAAAAAGAACTCATAACTTCTCAGTTTTTCTAACTCTTTCAGCCTTTGAAATTTAAAATCCTCTTATTAGTCTTGTCATTATGATCCGTTTTATTTGCTTACTATGATTAGTCAAATACTTATTATAGTACACTCCTAAAATTAAGTAAATTTGTTTTATTCTTTTTAATTAAAATTGTTATCAAGGAGTAAAGCTATACGCCGGTTTAGTTCTAAATTCCAACATCAAGCTTTCCAACAAATGATATTTCGATTTGATGAAAGTTTTATTGTAAGTTTCAAAACGTTGATCGGTTTTTTTACTGAAACAAACCACTCCTCTTCCGCCACCTCTCAAATTCTTAATCCGATGCACGTCAGAGCCGTATTGAACGCTTCTGCCGCCTCTCAAATTCTCAATCAGAGGCACAACAGAGCCGTCTTGAACGCATCCGCCGCCTCTCAAATGTAGAACCAGACCCACGACAGAGCCATCTTTAATGCTGTAATCCTTCAAAAGTCTTCCATCTTCGAGTTGTATGCCCTGGAATACTAATCGTTGCTGATCAGGAGGGCTACCTTCGACATCTTGGATCAATTGCTTTACCCGTTCGATGGTATATTTCCCACAAACATTCAAAGTATGCGAGTTGCCTGTGAGCGTCTTAATGATGATGTCAAACATTGGTTCGTTATGGTAGAGTCTCCGAAGATCTTCCTCTTTCTCCTTAGCTTGAGACGCAGCTAGCTTCTTGGCTTCGACATCGTCTTCCACGTAGAATCGGAATTGAATTCGCGAACATTGGACGGCTTCCTCTTCGTAACTACGGTCGCCATTCATTTGAGCCTTCATCGCCACTAAAATCTTCCCATCATCAGTGTTTTGACTAATGAAATGAAGGTGTCCTCCTTCTGTTTCAAGGGATTTTAAAGAATACAAACCATTATCGAGAATGTAGGAGTACGACTCGTACTCGACGACGATGGTACACCATACTTTCCACCCGGAATGGTTATCGATTCCGATCTCAAAATCTACGTCGTCTTTGTCGAACAAGGCGTGGAAGATGTTGGCATCCGAGTTACCTGGCACATCTTTGACAATCATTGCGTCTGCTTTGCTATCGTTGTTGAAAACTTGACAAATGCGGAATCGCAACGACTGACTAGGCGATCTGTAAAAACCGAAAGAATTATCGGAGAAAACCTTCGATTTCCAAACAACGACGTTAGAGGCCATTTCATGCAATCTGTAGTATTTTATTATTTTTTAATATTTTATTTTATTTTATATTCGCGTTGCACTTATTAGCAAATAAATGTAATAATATACTTAAAAAATAATTGACTATGAGTTATTTTTATCGTTTTTTCACTACAATAACACATTCGCACTGTTTGAAACATAAATAAATATGTTTATATAATATAAAATTAAGTACATTTTTAATAAATTAGCCGTACCATAATGTAAGAAATATACCAGAGATAGAATACACGATTGATGCGCAACCAATAACAATAACTAAGCCAAATTACCGGGAAAAAGTAAAAACGGTCACTAGACGATTTTTATTGGAACACGATAACGGATGCGTCTTACCGTGAACACTAAAGTCTAAACTGAAAGCGGCCTCCCCTACTACTCATAATATTATATATTTGGTGGAGAATCATAAGTTCATAACCAATGAGTTATAATTTTAGGAAAATCTCAATTTTTCTAAATTCAAAACGGTAAAAATTTAATTTATTTATTAAATCCCACGAGTAATGAAAATATTGGATGAAAAAATAAGGCATGTTACATGTGGATAGCAAAATGTTGTTAAAATATTTTCTTTGTTTTAATAGTATTTAAAAATGATAATAGTAAATTAAATTTCTGGCCAAGAAAATTATTACAATTATTTTTGACAACAGGGTTTAAGTATACTGCAATGTTCATAAAAATTTGACACTTTTTAGAACAAGAACCAAGACATTAGGCATTTTTTCGGCGAAACGGAATCTAGTCTCAAAATAGTTTTAGCACATCGTTATTTTTTAAATCGCACAGATATTTGGGCAGTATGTTGTTTATATTATTTACATTTTCTATCAGTCAGTATTAGTCAGAATTTTTTCAGTTTTTAAACATTTAAAAATATTTTCAAACTACTTTTTATCCGGAGTTTCAACGATTTGAAAATGTTATGTACAAATTATTTTCATTTTACACCTACATAAAAATATTTATAAACGCCTAACAATTTTTCAACATCAAAACCCCGGACAAAAACTTGTTTTAAAATTTTAAAAGAACATTAACAATAATTAAATAATATTTCAATTTGTTTGCTGTACAGGAGAATAATTAGTATAGCGATGAGTGGACCGATAATTTTTAAATGGCGATGGATATAAAAATGATTAGACTGGTCTTCCAGATTTGTAAATGGGGTGAGGTGGAAAGATTTTTTAAAGAAAACTTGTTGTAGTAAATATGCCAATGGATACAGTAAAAATTTCGCTCAGCCTATTATTTACAAACAAATCACTACGTCAGCGTACGTTATAGCGTGACCTAGAGGCGAAGAGGAAGTCTATTGATAGCTAATTGTTAAAAACGATTTAATCAACGCACGTTTGCATATAACTGTCGTTTATGGTTTAGAAACAACAAAATATAATATAGGTTTAAAAACAACGTTGGGCGCAAATAAAGGTAGGGCTCGTTTTTAAAGTTCATCGTTTCTGGCATAGTATACAATAACTGTCAACCCCGACTTGACATTTGAAAGGTTAAAAGCAACGTAAATGGTTTTTTTTTTTGAGTTCAAAACATAGTTAAATGCCGGAAATCAGTCAGTTCGACGTGGAAGTCTCTTCAGGCAACACTCGATTTGACGTCGTCGACTACCGCCGACTTAAGGTGTTCCTAAAATCAAATTTGAATTTTCATATTGCGACTTACAAGTTGAAAACACAGCTGCTATACAACCACGTTACCTAGTTCATACCACAGTCCACATAATATATTATTATATTATTTCGTTCTAAACGGCGTAGAATTTCGCAACGACAATTTTTTCACGCGCTATCATTTGTCAAATATTATTCTTATCATTTATCAGTTACAAAAATCAAAACCCAATTCCGGTTAAAATATAAAAATAATATATATATATATATATATACAATACATTTCTGCTGAGTTTGTATAATATTGTTAATGTGGAACGCGTACCCGTTCATGTAGCTTTAAATAAATATATATATTTTTAATTTTTATTTCTGCTACTTACAATTAATACATCGGTGTTATTTGCGCTCGCCAAATTCACATTATGGAAATTACCTCCGACAGTATTGTTGCCCTAAGGCAGTCGTTTGTGAACAAACTCGACGGACAAACCGGTAAATTCGCCGATATAATATTCTTCTACCATATTAAGTTTGGTTAATGGTTTGTGAGCTGTCGATGTTGCTACGGCAGCGTTGTTCGGTCACAGTATCGCCTCTTGCGCTAACGCCAGTTGTATATATTATATTTTTTAACAGATTAATTTGTTTCATGTATTTCAAAAGAATTATTTCATACACAAGACATATCGAGAGTCAATGATTCGGATTCATGGCTAAAACGCTTTTTGTTACACAACGAAAACAACCACGATGAGGCCTTAACGATGTTATGGAATGTATGCGAATGGAGGAAATCGTTTGGTGTAAACGGTTCGTGTGTCAACTAACAATAATATTATTCTCCTTCTGTTAATAACTTGTTATAACCATATTTGATTGATTACTCAAAATATTAGAACTGAGCGATTCCAATGGCACCGTACGAGTCGATTATCTAAAAGAAGGTATTATGTATCCTCACGGTTTCGACAAAGATGGAAAACTGATGTTTATCATCAGATGCAAATTGCACTACAAAAATTCCAAAGATTTCGAAGATTGTAAAAAATGTGCTGTTTATTGGTTTGAACGAATGGAAAGGTATTTTTTTTTTTTGTTAACTACACTAGTCAAATAAATTATCATTGATTTATGACAAGCTTTGATTTCCAGAATGACTAATGGAGATCAAATAACAATATTTTTCGATTTAATGGGTTCTGGTCTGAGTAACCTCGACATGGAATTCACCAACTACCTAATTAGTCTACTTAAAACATACTATCCAGCTTTTCTTAATTATATTATCATTTTTGAAATGCCCTGGGTTTTAAATGGTAAGATTTTTTGTGGTGTTTATTATTGTTAGTACTTTAATAAATTGAATTACTTTTGATATTTCCAGCTGCATTTAGAATTATCAAGACATGGCTACCAGCGAAAGCTGTAAAGAAAATGAAATTTTTGAACAAAAATAATTTAAGTGATTTTGTAGCAAATGAATCAATTTTGACTATTTGGGGTGGCAGTGATGACTACGAATTTGGCTTTGAACCAGAAATGAAAAAATTCGAAGAAACCAAGAAAAAGGTTTTGAGCTCATTGATTTTATATTAAGTTTCATTAGTATGGCTTTTGTGTGACCGTGTTATTGAAATACCTGCCGTTCGTGTATAAGCTGTATGTTATCGGTTTTTTTCTTTATTTCTGTTTAGGTTCATTTTGCAGAAACAATGGAAGTTAAAAATGGTTCAGGAGACAGTAGAAATATTGTTTGTATGCCTAAAGGTATATCAGTTTTTTTTTTTTAAATCTAACATTTAACAATTACTTTTATTTTAATATGTGTTTTATTTTTTAGCCTATTTCACTCACTTTCAATCATAAATATTATTTACTTTGAATCATGTCTATTTTCTCACAAAAAAAACCCTTTTTTAAAACACCCTGCTTGTTAAATTACCAATTTTTGTGTGATGATGTGATGTTGTGTTTCAGAATGTAAACTAAAAATTCTCCCCGGTGAATTACTTAATTTCTCTAAAGAAAACAGCAGTCACGGCGTTAATGAGTACATAGCTAATCTTACTTTTACAAATGACCACATTGATTCGATTGCATTTAAGGTATAATTGATAAAACAATAATTAACGGAATTTAGTTTACTTAAACATATGTATTGTAGTATTTCATAAAAGCAAAAATGTTGTTTTCTTTAAAAGATCAAAACTACTTGTCTACTCAAATACAGAGTGCGTCCAAGTTATGGCAGCCTTAAACCCCAAGAAAGTATAAATGTCACGTTTGTACTTAACACGGCATCATCAGTGAATAACTTCGACATCATACGAGATAAATTTCTAGTACTAGTTATACCCAAAATTGGTGATGATCCGGATATTGCAAAAGTGTGGAAGGTATTTTAAAATTAAAATAAACTTACACAAGCCATGTAAAAAACGTTTTACCACCTTTAAGATGATGCAAAAAAATGGTTGTATTTTGTTTCAGAATCACATTTTTATTTAAAATTACAAATCATATTTTATTTAAATACGTTTTTATTAGACTGTTTAAAATAATCTATTATTTTAAATTAAAAAAAAAGATTCAATTTAATTATTATTTACATTTTTATTTCAATAATACATTTTGTTTCATATTAAAACAAAAAATGTATTTGAGTTGATTTTTATTTGTCACTTAAATTCATTCAAATAATAAGAATGAAATTGTATTTATTATTATTATTATTATTATTATTACGTTATTACTTTTAATATTTTAACAGTTTTTATTTAAATAATGCCAACTGTTTGCAATGTTATAATTTTTGATAAATAATACTTAATCCTGTTTATGAGTTAATATGAAAATGGGTGGTTAGATGGTTTTGTGTCTTAAATGTAATACAGTATACTTTAACATTTTGCCTTTTTTAGAACTCTGGAGACATCATTGAACAACACATGTTAAAATGTAAGTTTGTTAGTGAAGTGAACGGCATAACCAACGGCTCGGATGAAAACAATTGTTATCAAAACTCTGAACTTGATGAAAAAGTAGAAAAACTCATAAACGTGGTAATGCTTTTTTACTTAACTACAAAGTGTAAAAACAAGTCGCTTTCCTATATTAGGTTCCGTTACGATTGGTGGCCTTTCCAGTCAGTAAAACTAAGGCATGCCTACAATAATACCAAACATCATCTAAATCCAAAGAATTTGTATTTTAATTTTTTTTTTTTTATAATTACAGGTAGCTAACTTGGAGTTATCGAATCGTGCACTTTGCCAAAATGTACGTTACATCAAGTGTTCGATGTATTTCATGTTATTGATGTGCGTGTTTGCATCTGGATTTTTTTGGACCATTTATAAAAACTTATCTAATAAATAAGTTCCTCGTTATTCTTGTTACCCAAATAATTATACTCTCTTTAGATATCTTATATCGTTATATCATTGTGATTTGTTTTTTTTTTTTTAGTATCTTGGTTTTATGTCACATATACATAAAAAAAGACTGATTAATTTATTAGGTCTGTTCTCTTGTAAACTAATTTAAACTTTTGTTATTCACTTATAATTTTAATTATATCTACTTGTGTAAATTTATTTATGTATCCTAGCATAGTCGGGATATCTACTCTTAAAAAATAAAATTAGTACCTATTTTGAAATAACTTTCTAACTTGTGTTTTACATTAACCTTATTAGTATTATTAAATATTAATTTAGACTTTTTGCCGGCGTAAGTGCCAAAACATCAATTGAAATCAAGTGTCAAAAAAAAAAAACAAGCATCAATAATTCTACCTTGTAGTCTCTAGAATTAAGACGTAGGTCAAAATATTAAGTTGAATGGAATAATAGTATAAATAATTGATCTCGAGAAAGGGACCTCTTGTTGGCCGGCTACAACATATCGCTGGCTTTAAAATGCAACAATTTTTCATGTTTCTGTCTACAAAGATGTACCGGGTCTCATATTTGTTAAAAAAAATTAATCAAAATTTAGACAAAAGTTTGGAAAATGCCGACAAGAGTTTATATTATAACAGTTATCATAGTTTTTGTATTAGTTATTTATATTATTGTTTTTAGCTTCGATGTGTAACAAAGATACTATTGGTTTTACTATGATGTGGGTTTTTTTTGTGTCTTTATACAATGTAACTTTTATAATACTGGACCAATTTCTTCGAGTAGCATTACTCTATAAATCACAAATTTCATCTAGTTGGGACTTTTTGGGGGGGTGGGGGGAAAGTCGACTTCTTCATACGAACCGTTTTTAAATATTTGTATAAAAAAAAATAGTACACAAGTCATAAGTAGCTGATTGTAGCGTTGCTATCCAAAAATTTGAAAACTATATTGTTTGCTAAAGTAACACCTGCACCTACACTGCCTCTTACGACAGGCAGGGACAACAGTTGGCCTATTCTAATACTGACCACCAGAGGAATAAAAATAATAACATTATATTATTATGAATACATATAGCACTTGAAGTATGTGTTTGAATTTAGGGCTATGCGTTAAGAAGTTGGAAAGTATGTCAAAATCTTTCAGTAGGCATCTCTAATCATATCGTGGCCTTAATAAAACTATCCGTCCCTCTAAACTATACTTCTTAAATTGCATTGAACAAAAATGTAAAACCACATTCCTAAATCCTAGTTATTATAGAAATAATATACATATGATTTAAGATTAAAAACATAATTTATTTTTGTTCACTAATTAAGGCGTTGCGTCGTCTGCACCAGTGTAATATCAAAAAAGTAACAATGACATTATTTAAAAATATTTCCAAACCATTTTCATTAATATTTAATTAATTGAGTTATACATCTTTCATTTGATCAAGTTTATTTTTATAATAAATAACTATATGAATAAAACGCATGTGCATGCTTGACGAGCTACTATAATACACCCTTCTGTCAACCACAATTACTCTGTCAATTAATTCAATCTATGCTAAATTAATATTAATAATGTAAAGCAAATTTTGTGTTCAAAGAGATCCTTTATTATATATAATATAATATAATATAGGATCTCCTTGAACACAAAATTTTCAAACCTTTGCTGGCTCTATGTGTGTTTTTAACTGCTGAAAACAATTCGTTTCTATGTTAACTTCTGCTTGTTGTTTGAATAACAAGACGTAGCAATTATTGTATATCGATAGTATATTAAAAGTCAAATACTTAGATTATAATATTTTCAGCGAACAATATGTGTGCATTGTGTCGAAGAGTTCTGCAGTTATATTTCACGTTAAAACAATTACTTTTTCGAACGACTTTAACATTACTGTCATGTTCTACTATAAGTTTGGACGTAACTTCAAGCTATATAAAAAAAAACCGAAGACGACCAAAAACTCAAAAGGGGTTTCTTCGCCTGGAGGCTTGATGGTAGGTATTTCGAACACGTACAGTTATTATATTATGTAACATAATACAGCAATATGTTCTCTCTATTATTGTTATTTATAATAAATGTTAAAAAAAAAAAAGAATTTTTATAAGAGCACTTATAAGTTGGTGAATTCGTTTTAGCATTTAAGAGTCCAACAGGGCGATTTCACATTTAGGCTTCAGAGTAGGTAATACAATACCCCGGCATGCTGTGTAGAAATCTCTTAATATATAATAATTTAGATACCAAATCTAAAGTCCAAATCCAATTATTACTAAACACTATTTACTAATATTATGATTTATGTTTTTTAGATTCAAGTGCAATATTTACACGTGGCGGTCGATCATAAATTTCCTATTAAGTATAAAATAATACGAAGTAACCCGTAAGCAAAACATGTAGTAATTTATTTTAAATATTAATAATAATTTAATTGTATACAGCTGTAAGGGTCCGGAATTAACTACATACGAAATAATTGTACTTAAGTTTCTTTGCTCAGTAAAATTCATACATATTAAATTCAAAATAAAATAATTGAAAAAAAATTTTTTTTACATGACTGGTTTGTTAATTCTAAACCTTTTTCTAGTGCTTGATTTAGTATAAGTAATGTATTCCTCAGACGAATTTATAAAAAGGGAGTGTAATTATTGGAAATATTTTTTTCAACTAAATCAATACATTTCTGAGTAATATATTCTGGTCTCACTTGGAAGTAAAATAAAAATACCTAGTAGGTACCTACCTAAAATATCTAAACAATTGTGTTACCTCCCCTCCCCTCTACTAAGTCAAGTACTGTGTGGATTAGGTCTATGTACGATGATGCCATTTTACTCTCAATTCTCCCTTTATAAATTATTTTGGACAATCGCACAATTATAATTTATTTATTTAAGTAGATTTACACATTTTAGCACTGTATTGTCATTTCAGATAATCGAACTAAACTACTTTAACAATTTTTTCGTTTGTAACTTCTCACTTTCGCGTTGTGGTCGTTCTCGTTATAGTTCATAAACCTCTCACATTTTCTGCTCAGTAAAAATTAATTACTTATTTTAAAATTTGCGTCCAGTTAATCAAGTCATAACATTTTGTACACCAACAAGATTTTTTTGTAAATCAAATTACCAATATCTATCCCGTTATCCTACTGGATAACCTCCTTCGTACTCTCTTATACGCAAAGTCTGTCGATACCGGGATATTTTAGTCATTAAGTTAGTCTTAAGTTAGTCATTAAGTTATGCCCGGATCGACTTCGATGCGTAAGTCCACCATTGTCTGTTGCGTGGCCGCCCAGTCTGTCGATACCGGGATATTTTAGTCATTAAGTTAGTCATAAGTTAGTCTTAAGTTATGCCCGGATCGACTTCGATGCGTAAGACCACCATTGTCTGTTGTGTGGCCGCCCAGTCTGTCGATACCGGGATATTTTAGTCTTAAGTTAGTCATAAGTTAGTCTTAAGTTATGCCCGGATCGACTTCGATGCGTAAGTCCACCATTGTCTGTAGCGTGGCCGCCCAGACTGTCGAAACCGGGATATTTTAGTCATTAAGTTAGTCATAAGTTAGTCTTAAGTTACGCCCGGATCGACTTTGATGCGTAAGTCCACCATTGTCTGTTGTGTGGCCGCCCAGTCTATCGATACCGGGATATTTTAGTCTTAAGTTATGCCCGGATCGACATCTATGCGTACCTAAGTCCACAATTGCTTGAAACGCCCCTACCACACATTTCTGGTGGTTGTACAGTAAATACAATTTGAGCATCATCGTAGATGGAGATACCACATTAAAAAAAACGAGCCAAATACTCTACCTCATAGGTGGTTTGGAAACGAGTATACAATCCCTAATATGAAGTAACCGGTAAGCAAAACATGTAGTAATTTATTTTAAATATTAATAATAATTTAATTATGTACAGCTGTAAGGGTCCGGAATTAACTACAGACGAAATAATTGTACGAAAGTTTCTCTACTCAGTAAAATTCTTACATATTAAATTAAAAATAAAATAATTAAAAAAAACATTTTTTTTATGTGAATGGTTAACTCTAGACCTTTTTCTAGTGCTTGATTTGGTGTAAGTAATGTATTCCTCAAATTTATAAAAAAAAGTAGTGTTGTTATTGGTAATAATTTGTTTTAGATAGTCAATCGATATATTAACTAAGTAATATACTCTGGTTTCATTTGGAATAATAACACTGAAAAGATTAAATATCTTAAAAACACTTGGGATACGGATGTCCGATTTAGATTGTATAATTTAAAGTTTAAAATAGTAAAATCTAATTTTTTTTCTCAAAATCCAACAACTAAATCTATTTAATGATCAAAAAACTATCATTACAACAAAAAAAATGTTGAAAATGAAATGTTCACAATTTATAGACAACGGTGCTTGATTAATAGTTCCAGTGGCGTGTTTAGGGGGGGGGGGTGAAATAAATAATACTTCATAGACTTGTGGGGGGCTTCGCCCCCTACATCCCCAAGCAACTGAACAACATAACATCAATATTTTATTTTTAAAATCCACTAAACTTGTGACTTAATTATAACACAAAATTATTAAGTTATTAACTTTAACACAAAATCCAATTTTCTATATTTTTGGAGACTAAGTTTATCGATAACCTCATCTGGCAAAATTTGCTTGACCGGCGGAATGCCAATAAAGCCAACCCATTCAGTCTGTTCTAATAATAAAAGAATAAACTATTAAGATGACGTTACAACCCCTATTTATTAAGGAGTTAAGTAGAGGCAATTTTTTTGTAAAATCGTAATTTAAAAGCTAAACTGTGATGTTTAATAATTATTAGTTAAGTAATCTTGAATCTTTTTTGATAGTTTATTTATTTTTCGAAATGTCATAGCATCCTTGACAGCGATTTAAAAAGGAAAAATTAAAGTTTTCCATAAAAACCGACGAGAGAACCTAGTTAAAAATCTCCTCTTTTAACGGTACCAACAATTTTATTCTATGACCAATTCGCTTTGACCTACACGCTTTACCGTAAACCCCTTTTGACGATTATTTTTAAAGGGTATAACGTCCTCTTATCGATCTGGAATTGAATGCAAATGGTACATTGGTGGGTCAAAAGTTAGAAAATCAATTTCACCAAAAAAATTTATCAGTTTGAGTTATTCAACTCAACTTTGACTTACTGTAACTACAACTACGTATACAATTCAGATTAAATCGAAATTTGTATGAAACATTTACTTAACATATCTCTATTCTCTATACACAAATCGCCTTAAACCCAAATTTTGTTAATCTAATTAGCCCAGCGCCGCTGGGGAGGGCGTTGTTAACATTATTTTTGGCTCAGTTTTAGGACTTGAGACTTTATGAACTTTATGTATGATAAATGATAATAATTTTTACCTGATAACTTGTAATCAAGCAGTTTATAACCCAAACAGTTTTTGAGGTGATAACGTTAAGTGAAAGAAACAATTTAGTGATAACAAAACATTTTTAATATTGATAAGCACTAACCACTGTAAACACGTGAAGTATCAAGCGTGAGTTTTTTATTTCCGAACGACTGAATTATTATATAAAACTCATTTGTTTATTGTTATAGAATTTCAAATAAATATACCATGGGCGATATAGAAGTCGAGTGAGTGGAACTGATTTTATTTCAAAAGTTTTACATTATCTATGTAAATTATAAGCAACGAAGGACTAACAAATAGGATTTGACAGACCTTATAAAATTTGTTTTATAATCAAACTAGAACAATGTTTTAACCGTATAACAGTATAATATGACACATTGTTATAAGTGTATTAAAAATATATTAACTAACAATTAAATGATTAATCAATAAAAAAAATAAGAAAATAAAACTTTTATTTTGCAATTTTTGTACTAGCAATTCAATTTGAATAAAATGTTAAAATATATTTACTAATTCGGCTTAACTGTTGTTAATATATTGAAATATCATAATTTGTTTAATATTTGAATTATTTAATAATCCGTAAACAAAGCCCTTTTCAAAAGCAAATTTGGGATTTCTTTTTAATAATTAGCCGAAAAACTAAAAAAAAATATACTAGTATCCTTATAAAAATATACAATATATATGTATATATATATATATAATTTTGACTTAAAACACACTAATATAAGTGGTGGATAATTATTCGTTCTATAAGACTAATTTGCATAGGTTATTATTGAGAAACTATCATATTGTTGAAATTTATAAGATAAAACCATTTATTTGATGTTCGTATGTGTTATTTATTTATTTTTAACAGTGAGCATAACAATGATTTGGCTGTTAGTAATAAGACAAATAAATGCAAGTTGAAACGAGCTTGGAAAGATGAGGACGATGAAACAGATGATATGTAAGTGTATTTAGCATTTTAATTAACTACAAAATGTTATTAGTTTTTTTTTTTTTTTTAATTTGAATTCCTTATATTTGTATTTAATAAAGTAATTACTGCAAGTATAAGTATTAACTTGTACTTAAGGTAGTTAAATATTTTGCTTTTGTCGGTGTTTTTATTGAGTATATACAATTTTTTGTTTTCCTTTTAAAGAAAGGAGCACAAGAAAATCTTAAGACAAAAATTTATAAGTATTGTTGGAAAACCGAAATGGGCAAAAATAGATGATAAATCAATAAACGATATTGGCAACGATGAAGACATATTAAGAGTAAGATATTTTGTTTTGGGGCAAAACCACTAAGGTTTTTGAAAATATGATAATTTTTGCCATTTTAATTTTTAGTACAGCGGTAATTTAGCACAGCCTAAAAAAGGTGTCAGTTTAGCTAAAGGTATAATCAGCATAAAGAAAGTACGTGGTTTAGATTTGTCTACATCGTCCTGCGGTAAAGTTGTGAAAGCATTAGAGTTTCATCCGACTGCTAACCTAGCATTGGTCGGCGGTTCCTCCGGTCGAGTTTCTATTGTCCAAGTAATGTTATTGAACAATTAAAAATAATTGTTATTTATATAATCCCGTTATTGAATTTAATAATTATGATTGACTTTTCATCAGGTCGACGGTTATAAAAATGAAAAACTACAGTCAGTAAAATTTGAAAAGTTTTCAGTCGATTGTGCACATTTTACTACCGATGGCCAACAATTTGTGGCCGGATCGAGATCACATCATAATTTTTATTGTTACGATTTAATGGAAGGCAGATCAATGTTTGTTCCAGTTCACCATGCAATCGGACAGAGCAAAATGAGCGTCAGTACATTCACAATTATTATAAAAGTGTTAGGTTTTATTTAGTTTAAAATTATTATAACTTTTACTTAATATATTATTCTAGAAATTTCACATGTCACCTGACGGCAAAATAATAGCTTCGTGTGGGAAATATGGTAATATTCATTTATTCACTGCTAAAAGCAAAGAATGGATAACTACATTGAAAATGAATGGTGAAGTGTCAGCTTTGACGTTCACTTCTGATGGAAAACGCATGTATTCTTTTGGAGGTAAACCACTTAATTTTTTAGTTTTTTAACACTATTTATTAATTTTTTACCCATAAACGTATTATGTTTTAGTTGAATTAATAATGAATTATTGTATTTTTCTATAGATATGGGTGAAATTTATGAATGGGATATGAACAGTCGTCTGTGTGTAAAGAAATTTATGGACGATGGATGTCTTCAAGGCACGAGTTTAGCATTATCTCACAACGATCAATACTTAGCGGCTGGCTCGTCGGCGGGTGTTGTCAACTTATATAAACTACCGTACGATGTCCATCCGAAACCTGAAAAGACTATTCTAAATTTAGTAACAGCCGTTACTCGGTTGTCTTTTAATAAAAACTCAGATATTTTATCAATGGCTTCAGACTATAAAGAAAATGCTATAAAACTGGTAATATTTAAAACTTCAAATTGTTTCTTAACAAGTAACTAAAATGTCAATTTTTTTTCATCAGTTGCACGTGTCGTCAAAAACAGTTTTTTCAAATTTTCCTACTACAAGCTCCGATGTTGGAAAAGTGTATTCAATGGATTTTTCACCGAATAGTGGATACCTTGGTTTAGGAAACGATAAAGGTCAAGCGCTTCTTTTTAAGTAAGTTTAAAATAAATCAAATTTCCTCAAAACTATTTATCTTGCGGTAAACTCACTATTAGGGAATATTTCCAACAATATTGGACACATGGCTACTTAACATTGTCTAAAAAGCAGAACCATTAATCAATTTGTTTAAATTAATAGTAGTTGTCATTTTTTTGAAAATATTTTTGTTTAGTTTATGTAAATTTTAAGCCGGGTCCGCACAGAGGTTTTAAAAAAACAAAGCTCAACTTTTTTCTGTTTGTAAAAAAAAAAAACTGTAAAAAGACATTTGTACAGACTGAATTGACAAAAAACCTCTACAAATCATGAACAAAAATTTAAATGCTATGTTTGTATTGGGTTTTTTTTTCATCTATACATTCTGAAAATATCGTTTTAAAAATGTGCTTTGTATACTTTTATACTAGTTATCCATTCACAGTAGATCTTTTCGGTTTTTGAATTGTTAGTTTTAATTAACAAATAAAATGATGGTGGTATTCATGGTGGGATAAAATTTCCTTAACCGGGGTCGATTTTCCGTGTGTGTGTGCCAAAGCAAAGACATAAAAATGTCAAAAATGTGTATTCTATAAACTTAAGATCAGTACCGGGCAGCAATGTTCAGATGACCTCAACCGCTTGCCTCACCAAGTTTACCTAACCTAACCTAACCTAACAAAAATGTAGTTTACGACCGTTTGACCTTTTAGCGTTTATATAATGCGCTATGATTTTTTTGACAATGTTTAAATGCACTTGTATAAAATGTAAATCTTAAAACTACCAACGTTGATGAATGTGAGGAAATGAAAGCTTTTTAAAAAACGACTTATATTTTCTAAAAAAAATTATTTGTTACAGATTGACACATTTTCACAACTACTGAAGTATAACATGCCATCAATTCATAACAATAATACAAATAATCACAGTTGCATTTAAACAATAATATACTACACATATTATATAAATAAAATGCGTAATAAAAAAAAAGAGGAATTACTCTTAATAATTTAATGTTATTTTTTAAAGTGTGACCGATCATTTAATTAAAATTGTTGGATTATTTCAATTTTACATAATAAAAACCGTATGTAATAATAATTGTTATAAACTAAAAATTACTATAATCATGTTGTTAAAAAAAAATATATATATTTATTGGATGCATGGAACCAAAACAACTTTTGGATAAGTTCACTTAAAACTACTATGCCGAATACCTAAACTGCTGCCCAGAGCACTTTCCCATTGCGAGTTGTCCCAACTGACAGTACCACATTTATTGCAAATATTGAACGTGCGATTTGCGTCTTTAAACATGTCAGCTGATAATGGTTTCACCTAAAATAATTAAAAAAAAAAGAAAATTTTACTCTAGAATGTTGCTTTTAATTGTTTCTTACTTACGTCTATTTCCCAATTATCGCAAGTGTACCCAGTCAAAAGTTGGCTATAAGGGTCACTAGAGGTGTTTTCCGAGGACGAAGCCACATATTTTGAATTAATTGGCGGAGCTGTACCTTCGTCATCAGAGTATTCATCGTCGAATGCGCAATAATCGTCGTAATACTCGTCATCGTCAGACATGGGAGGACCTGCTCTGACGACGGATTTGCAATTTTGTGCACTAATTACGGTATTATAAATTTTATTCATCACCAAACTGCTAACAGTCTCGTAACTGTCGCTATTGCAGCACTGAAATATATTAAATATAAAATATGTATGTTATGGAAAAAACTAGGTCTTATATTATATTATATTACCTGGCAACGACTATTTAAGTCTTCTTTTCTTACGACTATATTGAAATAGCTTAACACTTCTTGTAATTGATCGTCCACGTTAGGATTTTGAACACAGTAACATCGGCCGATTGGTAATTTTTCAGCGGCCTGTAAAATAATATAATATTATAAAGTATAAATCTTGGAGATCTCTTTTAAAAAAGTTTTACTCTTTGGAACACTTGGCCGAACGCTATGAAATGTAGATTTTCTTGTCTTATTTGATCTATAATATACTGGAAATCGTTAAGTTTTGATCGATCCACTATGGTTGTGTCTATGCCACACTTTCGCAACCGTTCGGCTAATTTATCTAATGTACTGGGAACCAGCAACTTAAAATCTTTTACACTCGAAACGTTTTTGTAGAACGAGTTGGGTTTTGAAACTGTCGCTGGCAATTTCTGTTTGTGTATGAAAATAATTAAATTATGTTGAAACTTGACTTAAAAAAAAAAATAGTCCTTTTCGACGTACATTTTTGTGTTTTTTATTTTTCAATTTGGGTTTAGCCGTTTCAGATTGATCTTTGAGTATAACCTTTTGACAGACTTCTTCAAAAGGAATGCCATTGGTATCGCAGCACGTTTTGAACACATTGTAAATTTCTAATAAGCAGTACGCATCTAAGGCTGAAATAAAATGTTAACAAAATTTGTTTATAGAAAAATAATTTTCTAACGTGTTATATTGGCGTTATATTGATTTAAAACGTCAAAAAATTACGAAAGTTTAAAAAAAATCCTAAAATTGCGTTAACAATTAACATAGGTTTTGCATAAATTAGATTACATTAAATTGCTTACCCGCATAGGTTATTTGATTAGGCCGTAATGGTATTTTTTCCCAATTGGAAAACTGTTCAGTCTTATTTAGCGGCCTACCAAAACACAATTTTACTAGATCTGAGAGACTGTTGTACGCCATTAGATCACTAGGGTCTAAAAATAAAAAACAAATAATCTATTATCTAGAATTAATATTACTTTTAAAATTAATGTTATTCAATTATTTTTAAAAATATGTCAATAACAAAATGTATATATAGAATAAAAAAACGACTTAAAAATTGTTTTTTCTTGAGAATGAACATATAACAATTGTTTAATCAGTCAAAAATCGCTCTTATTTAGAATCTAAAGTTTCGATGAAAAACTCAATGCGATAAAATTGCGAATAATTTTATCGTGTTAGTTTATGACGCGTGCAGTAAAAAAAAAAAAAGATTCTTTCCAAACTCTAGTGAAATAGTTATCGTTTCCTTTTTTTAATTAAGGGGGACTGAAAGGGATATTTATTAAGGGGCAAAGGATAGGCAATATTTGACAAAAATTTATCTAGTAACAATTTTAAGTATGCCGACTAATTTTAGTATAAAAAAATATCAAGTTTTTCTAGTTATAAGACATTTAAAGTTATTTTTCTCCAAGTTATGGCGAAAGTTTGATAAAAAATAACTCATAGAAGTCATTTTCCAGCGTATCTATTGGACGGAATTTAAATTTTATTAAGCTTCTGTTAGAAAATTCTGTCAGAAAATTAGTTACATTTATTAGAAAATACCATAAAAGTAAAAATATTAACGCTTATAATAACATTTTTAAATAGAAATAAAAAATCGGCCTTAAAGCCTTCATAGAAAAGATGATATAATTTATAATAAAAAAAGAAGTTTGAAATCGGTTCAGTAGACACTGAAGAGAGTGATTTCTTGTTAGCTCCCTTAAAATGTAAAGTGAGTTGTTATTGTGTTTATTATCATTAGAACAAAAAATTATATTTTAAATACTTTGGAACGGAAGCATGATATTCCACTGGGTTTCAAGTTCTTTCCACAGCAATTTCAAATCGAGAAATCCTAGTCCGTGTAACCGAACACTATCTATGGGTAACGTAGATTTAATTATTGCAGCGTCCCCTTTCCACTCAAACCCTAGAAAACATTATGGTATAATAAAATGTTATATTATCAAAACACTTGTTTAATATATAGCATATTACTCACCTAGTTTTAAAACGTTCATATTGCTAAATATATTCATTGAAAATTCCTGCCAGTGTAGTTTGTAACTTTCGGCGGGTTGCAATTGAGGTATGTGAAAAATGTAAATTGCATTATTGATGGCCAACTGAATAGAAGCTAAATCGCTTTTTTCACTCGTTAATTCTGGTTTCCATTCACAGTCGAGACCGATTACGTCGAAAAGTCCATCAAACGAAGCAACATTAATTTTTTCTAAAAACGCATTAAATTTTGGTTTTGAATCGACAATGTAAATGTCATTTTCCGATAATGTTAATTCGTGGTATTCTGTTTTGAACTCGTAAGTCGGTACTGTTGGCAATACATCAGCGCCGGCATTTCTGTCAAAGCAATTAATTAAATTAAATCTATACACACGTTTAAGTATAAAACACAACTTACGCATTATTTCTGTACAATATTTCCTGCTGTAACGAGTAAGGTAAATCTAACGGGTCGATAGAAAACAATTGCGCAAAATGAATTCCTTCATCTAAATCGCCATAGTTGTTTAGTATCTTTATCATTTCCAACATAAATTCTTTATTATCGCCAATAGATTCCAAAACCATTTCTCTCCAGCCGTCAACACCTTCATAAGTAGAAAACATCAAGGTATTAAGTTTACGATTATAATTAATGAATGGTAGTTTTTTTTTTACCAGTGGCACCGCTTTGATACCGATGAAACATATATTTTAGAGCTCCGATTTTTTTTTGTTTAGTAAGATTTGGTGCTAACTCGCTTGAAATATTATACTTTTTCGTGATTCTTGTTAGAGTATTTTTAATTTGTTTTTTATTGGTAAAATTGATATTGGAAAGCGATACATTTAAGCGACTATAAATAATAATTACAAAATTATTCGTGAGTACCGAGTGTTTGCAATAAATGTTTACTTACATGGCCAACTGAATCAAGCAGTCGTCGTTTTGCACCAACAAATCATCTAGATATTTTACCAATGCTTCTTGTTGGAACTTACTGGTCGCTAAAAATTCTTCAGTTACCGGAACCATATTTAGAAAAAACAGAGGTAGAATAAATTCTTCGACACTAAACCTGTTTTGAATGCCCAAACATATGGTCGCATAACATGCCTTCATTTAAAAATATACAAATTAGCGACAAATTTAATTCAGAAAAAAGTTAGTTAGTTGACTATTTAACCTCTTTAAATTTTTGTTGCCTTATCGTTTCTCCGATTAATTCAGTCATGAGATCTAAGCTCATATTGCACTTAAAAATTTTGATCATGACATTCATAGTGTTCAAACACATTTGTTTGTCTAATACTAATTTGTACGCTTGCGATTTTAAATTGTCGGTTAAAATATGTGTGTAATTATTTTCTTTGTGTTTAATCCAATTATAATATTCTTCAAATACTATGAATTACATAACATTATTATTTAAATACACTAGTCAATCAATATATTTTTTTATATACAGTGAAACTTGTCCGAGACGGGATCAAAAAAGAATTCCGTAGTTTGCAGTCTTGCTAAGTAAAACATACAGAATCATACACAAATTGCGTACTATAGGGTTTTCTAGTTTTTTCAGGAGTGCGTCTTAGACAGATTTCACTGTAATGTTGTTTTATTGGTTTATACTTGTATGGCTGATTGTTGTCGCTTTGCCTTTGATTCGGTCGCCCAATATAATGTTTACTAATTTTAGTAATGAAACATATGGATTTTGACTGGATTCAAAATAATTTTGTAATGTATCGGATAAAATTCTACTTTTCTTCCCTAGATCACATAACGAGACATGGGCAATTAACAAACTAGTCAATCAAAAAAATGTATGCTTAATCAGTATAGGAACATACATGTCGACCATATATTTTGTATGTGTCTGGCGACTTTATCTACGTCCGGCTCAGTTATGAATTCAGAAGATTGATTCCTATCGGCAGGGCTCGCATAGCTTCTTGTATTTGCCAGAGATTCGTTAGTAGATTTTTCTTGCATATTTATTGTAGTAGACTGGGCAGCACCTGCACAAATAAAAATTAAATGCACAAATCAATGCTAGTTTTATTAGCCAGTACAATATTTCAAGAAAAAAAACTTTTTGGTGTTCTTTTAAGTTTTGTTTGGGTTTCAATTTCTTTTTTAAATATTTTGGTTAGTTAGGTTTGACATAAAAAATCAAGGTTTGTTGCACCACTTATTATAATTATATATAGTTTTCTAACAACTAAATATTACAGCCAAGCAATTATAAATAATATTTACAAAATACATTTATTTTAAATCAGCAAAAGATAGTACAAATGTAAGACTGAAGCAATGTTCCACTCATATTGAGTGTCACACAAAAATCATAAAATTAGGAACACAGAGTACCTTACTGTGAAGGAAATGACCAAGAAGACCAATGAAATTAACAAAAATACAGTTAAATCGAGACCCCAAAACTAAAGCCTTCAAATGAATGGCAAAACACGCCGTATAAGCATATTAATTGAAGGGAAGCAGACCGCCCTAATTGTGATGCGTTTGTTAAAGTGTACAACATTTTAAAATGTCTTATGGTCATTTGCACCAATTTGGCTTAACATTTGAATATAATTTATAGTTAAACATGTAATTGTAGTATCATTTAACTATATTTTGATTTTTAAGCTTAATTGGTGGTAACTGTTAGTGATTTAGAGAAAATTTTATTTAACTATTTATTATACAGTAAACGAGGGCCCATACATTTTTTTTTAAGGTATGACAATAGTTATAAATCATAATACGATATCTTACCAGTAGAATGATAATTTAAGCTTGGTGATCCATTTATGAACGGTGGCGGTATGAATCTGGTGACGTTGGGATACGATGGACCGACTTGTGCTACATTTTGCGGTGGATAGTGATTTTCGCCATACCGCGGGTTTTGGTTAGACGTGTCAATCGGTCTGTACTGTCCATTCCAACGACCAGCCATTATTTAACGAATGCAACACGGAAAAAATTTGTTGACTTTTTTAAATTTTGAATGTAAATAATAATAATACACTTTTAGATTGTATTTTGACAAGTTTCTCTATCAGACTTATCATTCAATCAACATCACTATCACTTTTTGTTTGTTTGTCAGCAACAGCAGCTGATGGCTGACCATAGCTGATCAAACGGTTATAATCGCGCCACAGATTTATTAAAATGTGACCAGGGTGAAAAAAAATTATAGGTAATGACAGATCCTTGTAGTAACCGTAAAATGGCTGCCTGCGATCTCGGGTGACTGTGTACTTCTAACGGGAGAACACAGGCGGCCATTTTTGAAAACTGTTAGCATCAGTTCCCAACATACCTGTTAATTTACTTCCATGTGATATAGAATGAAGGCTGCATCGCAGTGACACAAGCCTGGCCTGGATAAAATGTATGTTTTTCCATTCACTTTTTTTTCTAAGGTATTGGAAATTTGGAAGCCGATAGTCATTTCAATATTCTTTCGCGGCACACGAATTTGTAGATTTCGTTGGAAAAATGAGTTCGATTGATTTTTTAAATTTAAGGGATAAAAATAAATAACACTATTTAGAAATGTCAAGGAAAAAATTAATGAGATTGGTTTATAGTACTGTGAATAGTCATCTATATCTTTGATTAACTGTTGATCAGTTGTTTATTCAGTTGTTTGCGACACAATATATGTTTATTATTTACAAACATTAGTTTTTCCTTTTGTTAATATTTTGAATATTTAAATAATACAAATAAATAGAAATCATCTTTAAGTTACCTAAAATTCAAAAAGTACAGGAAAAATAATTTGTTCAGATTGAAATAAATTTTAGAGAAAAAAAATCACGTTCAAGTATTGTAATTTATTAAATTAAGCTAGAATATGCACAGGCAACTTAAATTTTATATAAATTATTAATATCGATTACAATCACACTTAAATATTTAGCTTAACTAAACAATTGATTTAAGTTTAACAAGGAAATACAATTACTGTAAACAAAAACCGGTATTGTATTAAACATAAGAACAATCAAAGGTGCACTAATTACATAATAATAATTTATAGGAATTATTAAAATGCAAGGTCTGTTGAAAAATGCAAATGGACAACGAGACCACCAAAAATATGCTAAAAATGATAATTAAACACTTCACTCTTTATTCCAAATGGTAGAATTAAATTAATTTATACTATAAGGAATATGACTATATTACATTATACCATAATAGGTAACCAATATACGAACACTAAAAATTATTATTCTTTAACATATCTAGTCTACCTTTTTAGCTAAGCATTGACCGCTACACTATGTTTAAATTTATATGCTCTTAGTACAGTACGGGATAAAACCACTTAAATTTGCAATTTAAAATACATAGGTGCAGTCTTTAAAGTAAAATTTTTAACTTAAAAAAAATTAACAAAGAGGTAAACATATCTAGAAGTCACGGCATAATATATAATATATACCAATGTGAGAAATCATTATTTAATGATCGTCAATAAAAAAAGGGAAATACATTTTTTTTTTAGTCCTTTAAAAAAACAATAATTATAAAATAACTATTTTTTTTTTATTGGCCTTCACAAAATATTAAACTTATTAGTAGCTTTAATCACTTTAATTAATTGCTTAAAAAAGAAATTATAGCATACAATTAAAAAAAGTGAAATGTTTTGAACTTTTATCATTCTAATGACTTAGTTTTTACTTTTTAATAAGTAATACTTTACAAAAAAAAAACGTTACACACATTTAGCTAAATTGGAACGAAAAAGTAAATAAATTTACAATAAATAAGTGTTTGATGTAAATAATTTGCAAAATCATCAAATACATCACTTATATGAATTTTAAAACCATTATCATAAATTTAAACTCAAAATGTGTTAAAAAAAAATATTTGTTTGATCAATAAATTATTTTAACATAATAGTAAATTAAAAAAACATTTCGCTAAAACTGGATAGGCAATAATAAAAATCATTTTTAACCAAAGAAACCACAATCTATCCACCAGAATTGGTGGTTTCTTCTTCTTCCTCTTCGTCGTCAAATCCAAAACAGTTGTCTACACCATCGCCACATTCCTCTTTGACATCAGAAAGAGACGCAGTTTTCAGAATAGTCAAATCTTTTTGATCTACCGCTAGAAATTGAAAAACAAGTTTTTTTTTTTTATTTATAACATTTAACTAATATCTTTTAAAATTAAACACTTACGTGATTCGTCGGATTGCTGAATGGATATGTTAGTCGATGTGTATCCGTCCATTTGACCTTGACCGTCCAATTGAATCACTTCTAATACTACATATTGTTGTCCGTCTTCACCTTCGACTGCTACAACTCCAGTTTCGCTCGTCGGAATACTCGTATCCTCCTCGGACTCGTCTTCGTTTGTCGAATCTGTGTACTGGATTAAACAATTTGTTTACAATAAATTAACCGCAATTAAATGTATTATGTTGTTATGTGTATGTACTTCTATTCTTTGCTTCATTGCGCTGTTTCGATTCTGAGGATTGGCCTCTTGCATATGTACTTCCATGTGTCTCAGAAGATTTCCTTTGTGTCTGAACGATCGTTGGCAAGTATTGCACTGATGGGTTTTTTCGTGCGGCGGAGGTGGGATGTACGCAGGGTTATGGTACAAGTTGTGATGACGACGCAACAATTGTTTTTGTCTAAAAGACTGTGAAAATAAAATCATTATTACAACTGTAAGTGATAAAATCACTTTCAAAAATACGCTCAGAAACAAAAAAAAAACTGTAGTTCAATATCGAAGCTAAAATAAATATTTTAAATAAATACCTGATCACAGAGTTTACAGTGGAATGGTTTTTCGTCTGTATGTATTAACATGTGAGTTTCGAGATGACGCTGAGACATAGAAGCATAAGGACACAACTCGCATTTATAACATTTTTCACCTTCGTGGGATTTACAATGCACCTAGTAAATAATTGGCGACATAAATTAAGCATAGAATACAAATATGTTTACAATGTATGTTATTTAAATTTGTATTACCTTATACTTATAACGATCAGGAAAAGTTTCGCCACATCGTTTGCACTTGATAGGTTTATCTGAGGTATGTAGCTTCTGAACGTGTATACGCAAATCGGTTTTTCGACCACATGTGGCCGGGCAGTGGTCACATTTAAACACTGGTTTTTCTCCTACGAGAAATAAAAATAATAGCTTGTTTAATAATAATATTGTATAGAACAACATTTTTAATAAATAATTACCGCTATGAATAAGTCTATGAGTTTTCAAACTATTGGATTGGGTGAATCGAGAAAAACAAATATCACATTCATAGGGCTTTTCTCCAGTGTGGATACGTAAATGGCGTTTTAATTTGAATGTATCTGGACTTGCGTACGTACAATGCGGGCACTTAACAAAAAAATGTGTGATGATAACAATGTAATAACATAAAAATGTTCAACTAATTACCTGGTATGGCCGTTCACCGGTGTGACATCTCATATGGTTTCTCATTTTACTGAGCTCGACACTGGCATAATCACATATAGTACATTTATGAGGTTTTTCATGTGTGTGTTTGTAACGGACGTGCCTTACGAGTTCACCTTCATAAGTAAACAATCTCATAATATAAACTTAAGGCTTGTATTAATATTTTATAAAATAATTGTAATACCTGATGTAGTGAAAGCACTGGGACAACTACGGCATTGATATGGTTTGGTCCCTGTATGAGTGTTTACGTGATTTTGCAAAGACGTCAGGGTTTTAAAGCCACGTTCACAAACTGTACACTTGTGAGGACGTTCTTTGGAATGTGACTTCATATGACGAGACAGTAAATATCTGAAGATAAAGCATATAAATAATACGGATAATGTTAAGAATCTTGAAAAAGTATAATTTTATATTTATTATTTACTAAAAAATTGAATAGTAATTTTAACCAATGTTTCGAACAATCAATGTCAAAAGACAAACATGTTCTCAGTTGCGTTTAATTTGATAAAACAAGCACATCAAGTATAAATTCATACAAAATGCTCTCTGTTCAATTAACATGTTTACATTGAATGCATTCTTTCTAAACAATGATTTTATTGCTTCAAAGACAAAAATGAATAGCAACTTATTAGATTGGCGTTAATGACAAAATTTCTTGCCTGATTGTTTTAACTCAAGTATTGATACGATTATTTTGGGTTTTACCCATGACATTTATCTCTTTCCGCCTTAGAAGGGTCATTATCTATAATAATATTAATAGTTATATTTTTACCTTTTACCGGTAGTGTAGTTACAATAATTGCACATATGAGCTTGAGTCACTGTTTGCGACTTCTTCGGGGGTATTTTCACTATTTTTGATTTGTCGTCTTCTTCAGGAGAATCCTTGACACAAAATTTGATATCACGTTAAATGATGTTATTGACATTTTTAATTACTTTTAATTATTATTATTATAATAACATACTATAATGGTTTTCTTTTGCAAAGCCGGATCTTCGCCATCATTGAAGTCGTAAACATTACTCATATTGGGATCGTCAGGATCATCCGGATCTTCTTGAGACAGTTCCATGCTCATATTTGACATTTCAGCTTTGTCATTTTGTTGTTTTACGACATATAAAACGTAATTGTTGGCTTCAGAATCTGCTTGGACGAGAGTAACCGTTTGATACCCACTGCCATCAGCCAACGATACAATCTTAAGGGGGAGGGGGAAACATTAAAAAATACAGACATTAACGTAAACCTAAAATTATATTACTTGTGTGAGATCCTTTTTATTTTTATCTTGTTGGCCAGGAATAACTAGTTCCAGGTTAGCATCGTTTGTTTCAGACATCAATTGGGCATCTTGGTCGGTAAGACCTAATTATAATAATAAAAATGTTGTTATTATAGTATTAATTTTATTCTACTAATACTATTTTATATAAAAAATAATTTTACCTCCAACCATAACCATTTGACCATCTCCAGTCGTTGTTTGATAGTAGTATTGAACATTTTGATCAATGAAATAGGCATGTTCCACCGATTCCCCGTCTAAAAGATTTAATAAGCATAATTAAATTTGTTTGTTAATTACAAATTGCGCTAAATAAATCAGAAATTATTATACATACCAGCTGTGACGTGTGTTCCATCATTACCCTCTATTTCTTTGTTGAACGAATCTAAATAATTTTGAATATCGGTAATATTTTCCGTTCCTGATGCAGAAGCCTCGAGTTTGATGTGATCGGTTCCAATAGTCATAGTGTTTTCGGTTCCATCACTTAACACTAGTAATTAACAAATAAATTTTTAGATATTTTACAATTATAACACAAACAATAATAATTATAAGTTAGGCATTTATTTAAAACAACCATTTGAATCTTTCTTCATATTGAAATTATTCGTATAATTTTTTAATTTAGGTTTAAAATGGTGTTTAGATAATATTATAATATTATTGTAATAAATAAATTACAATGGCTAATAATAAATAAAAAATGATATCAAAGTTTCTCAGAATGCATACAAAACTTTGATTTGTATTTGAAAAACTTGTAGAAAAAAAATTCTAGCCTTGAAAAAAACTTAACAAAGCATTTCTAAAGAAATGTTTCTTATTAAAAAATAACTTGTATTTTACTTTTAAACAAGTACTTTTTGTTAATAAATAAAAAATTATTTAAATTTGTATTTTATTACCTATGGTTGTTCCTTCAGGAATAGCACTATTTTCAGACATGTTGGTAATTTCAATCACCTATAAATCAAATAGTTTCGAGTTATTTACTGTGCAATCATATACAATGCAGTTGCACATACACAATTTGGATTTTAATAATCAAAATTGAAAACATATTATTATATTTAAATGTGTAAAAAATGATTCAAATAATCATCATCATAATCAATAGGGCTGTGTTTGGGAATGGCTCATAAAATTGTAATGAGAGGTGTGCGATGACAAAATAATATTAATTCTATAATTTATAAATAATAATTAATAACAAATATAATATGGTGTTATAAATTTGAATTACAAAAATAACATTGTATACACATGCAAATTTTTTGATCTTTCAGTTTCAAATATTTTTTAATGTTGTTTTCTTTTAGAATTAAATGAAATCAATAATGATATTAACAGTTTAGCCAATTTTATTTGGGTCGCGATTTGGAAAAATATTATGATAGTATTATTATTGTGTACACTATTATTATAATAAACAAAATAATACGTCGTATATTCGTACCTAATAATTAATATTATGTATTGTATTGTAATAACTGTCTGTTTCTAAAAGAAAAAAATCATTCATCCGAGGCGATTACATCATATCATAACAGTATAAAATGTATTGATTTAATCAGAACGGGCCAACTATTCCAAGTGGCCCTGCGGCTGTGGGCGGCTAGTGTATAGGTATATACTTGTCAATAACTTTGGAACGCACACCAACACATTGGCCGCGACGGGCCAGCCAATGTGAATTAATCGAGGTGAAAAAACCCCCATGGCCGCGGCCGATCAATTCGAACGTCTTCGGATGAAAACAGCAGCAGCCATGGACAACACCGAACGGACACGGATATATATTTATAATAATAGTATTAATAATAAAACGTTGTGGCGGTAGATAAGAGGAATCGTCATCGAAAATATGTCCCAGCAGAACGCTGCCTATCGGGAATTAAGACACTATGTTTTACTTACATGTTTTGTACACAGGGGGCATTAACAGCGAAATGAAAGCGCCGCCACACGGCAACCGTACATCTCATTTGCGCGGCGATTGGCCACCGCCACCGCGCTTAACGCCACTTACCGCTTACGGCCTACCACGCTATCATTGCCACGGCGCGCACACGACGATGACAAATTATTATTATTATATTAATTATATTAATATTTCACACGATGTCCGACGGCAAAAACATAATAACAAAATCAACACTTACCGAGAGTGGGCGCTGGAATAGCGACGACAGCCGACTACGACGTTTCAACAATGGCAACCGGCCGTGTGCGCATCGATTCCAGGGACGGCACGCTGACGCCCGACGGTTCGGCTGCGGCGGCGGCGGCACGGTACGGGTGAAAAAAAACGGCCGCCATTTTTTGTCAGCCTCATGTGTTATTGTAATAGGTATTGTGTTATCGACGCATACCCGACTGGGCTACCGCGACCACAATTATGGCGGCCAGAACAGCTGTTTCGCACCGCCAGCCTACCACTACCGCGGTACCCTCAGTACGCCGCATCAAAGGCGTTCCAAATATTTTCCGCGCCGTTAAGGAATTCAAATTTTACATCGCAGAAAATATGTTTTCAATCAAATAAAAATTATTATGTAGGTAAAATAAATGTCAAATAATCTTTAAGAGGATGCCGCACGTCCGCTATTTTAATAACCGAACTGTATAGAAATTACATTGTTAGTTAGACCGTTCATCCAACTGCATTCATCTTTTTTTTCTCACAAAACTCAGTTTTTATTAATTGTCAAGTTAACATATACATGTTTGTCACCATGAACATTATTTAATAGAACTAAACCGTTCAGTCTAGACTTAAGTCGTTGTAGAGCTCATTTAATTGTTTTATCTTCTTAACAGGCCTTGCGATTGTGGTAAAATTTAGCGGTAAATAGACCCTTGGCATATCTATCAATTTAAGTTCCCATTATACACAATATCAATTCTAAAACAAGTTTTGAATTCCTTATCATCTCTTCTGTAGTTGGACGTACTGGCTTCAAGCTGTTATTAATTTCCAATATTTTAGAGTAGTTTAAAAAACAAAACTATAATGATATCAAATTTGGTATCAGCTTTCAATGTTATCCCTTACTCAAGGAGTTATTTAATTTTTTTTGTTTTAAAAATGTATGTCGCTCATCAGACATTAATTAATTAATTTCAGGATTATCGAGTTTGAATCTAGTATTCAATATTACCCTTTACTTTTGGGGTGAAGAGGGTCAATTTATTGCCTGTAAATTTTACTTAAATAAAATCGGTCTACAAAAATAGTTCCTTTTTGAAATTTAGTATATGTATAATATAGAGTATTTGTATAGGCTGTATATTAATTTTCAAGTTTGTTTAGCCAAAATAACATTTTACCAAAATCTTCATATTTTTAATAGTTTTTCAGTTTCTTAAAAAAAAAATCATAGTTGATAGTAGTTTGAGGTAATGGAGAGTGCCACTCTCAGAGTGGATATTACATTTCAATATTTGTTGAGATCACGTGCCTCTTTTAAGATTTATGTATAATCATTTTTAAAAAAATGTGTAAAAACATACATATTGAGTGGCAAGTGTATATAAGGTAACTACTAGTTTCGGTTGAAAGTGTGAAATGGTTGATAATTGCACGGGATGAATACAGTTTGGCTAGTTCCTGTACAACCGCTGCACGGCCTTTTTTTCTTTTTATAGTTGAATTTTGATCTCGTGCCATAACCATAGACATTTTATTAAATGGACCGCGCATTCAAACCAAATTATGTTACCAAGATATTATGTGCGAGAGCATAGACCTATTTTAACAGTTGGTCAATGTAATATAAACAGTTGGTTAATAGCCAATAGGTATATGTGCGAGAGAGACAGCTGCTACCTGCTGTTGAGTGTTGTTAGGACTTGGGCTTGTGTTTCAATTTTATAATATTTTGCCCAAACCAGCTCTGTCTCAATCATCCTATACTCATATTTATCAATAAACCTGGAGCGGCCATGGTGTGAAAATTGATAACACAAATTGTTAACTTACCTATTTTGATTGGTTTTATCTAATCTGTGCTCGATACGAGATAAAAATTGCATGACATCTCGTTCTTAAATTCAGATGAGTAAACTATCTTATATTTTGATTATTAATGTTTAGATACGCTGATACGCCGTATGTTTTATTACTTAAATATAATTTATAATACCTAGAATAAATACATAACAAATTACTATACAGTAATTGATTAATTAATTATTATTATTATTATTTTGATACGTATAAATAATAGCACTATTCATATCGTCAGTGTAGTATTTGTTGTTATGGTAATGATTGCTTGTTTTCAAACTTTTCAAGTGTTATTGTGTTAGTAATCTTGTAATTAAATCAGAACAAAATGAATCAATCACAAAAATCTAAAAGGAAAAAAACATTGTGAACATGTAGTTCGATATTTTTTCCATCTTTTAAATCAGCTTTCTTAATAAAAAAATCAACGTTAAAATAGAATACATAGATTTTGTACAAATGGAACGACTTCAAACGTGGCTTCTCCCCAAGGGCAAATTATGCTTACCGTTTTGGAAAACAATGTCGACTAAATGCTACACGGCGTTCAGCGCTTTAAGTGCTGGTGCTACAGTTATCACATTCTTTTTGATTTACTGGTTCTTCGGTGGCCTTACAGCACTATCATTTCTTCTAGTCAGTATTGTCGGTAAGTAAATGTTTACTCTGTTACACCTAACACTTTATTTCGCATAAATGTAGTTTAGTTCCCATTGAAATGTTTCAAAATAATTTTTTGGTTTATATGTTTTTTACGTTATAAACTTTGGTGAAGTCAGATTTTAGAGTCCAAACTTACTAATGCCAAAGTTATAAGCAAAAACTTAATTATTTTTTTTCCAAATTCTATAACTATGTTAAAGTTTTTGAAAAAGCCACAACTTTGAAAGATTTATTGCATTGTGGAATAAATAAAGTGAGTGCGGTTTTGCTTATGATTTTAAAATTAACTCCAATCATCATATTCTGACTTTACCATTGCTTTCTGCATTAAAAAAATTTATTTATTTAAAAATATAAGATTTTGAAAAGTTTTAACCGAGAACTAAACTGTAATTGTTACAAATTAATGTTTTTATATAAAGTGATTTTTGAAATAACTCAAAACGTTTTAATTGTTTTACATAAACATAGTACTTATCTTATGTTTAATTAGACATTTTACTTATCAACTTGATTATGACATATTTTTTCTAGGATTTGTGTACCATTCCGAGGACTATTTATTGTATTATCCAGATTTACCAGATCATTCTAGAGTATTCGTTCCTCAGCCTTCCATGTACGGCCTGCCCTATGAAAATGTTTTCATCAATAGTTTGGATGGCACACGTTTACATTTGTTTTTGATTAAACAGCCAGAAGAAGCCTCTAAGATAGTACCGACAATTTTATTCCTGCACGGCAATGCAGGAAATATGGGGCACAGGTTATAATAACACAATAAATGTTAAATGATAATCATAACTTTTGTTTGCATTTAGTTTATTATTATATTGCAATTTTCTATTACAGGTTGACAAATATTGTTGGATTTTATAATGAATTGTCATGTAACGTAGTGATGTTAGAATACCGAGGGTACGGATTATCCCATGGATCACCGTCCGAGAAAGGTCTCTACATGGATGCGAGTGCAGCTATGGATTTTATTTTATCCCGCACTGACTTAAATCTTAGACAAATTATTGTGTTTGGTCGCTCATTAGGTAATGACTATCCGCCTATTGTGTTCAAATTATTTTTTAAATTACACAATTTTTCTTGTAGGTGGTGCAGTGGCTATTGATTTAGCTGCGCGTGTTGAATATTCACAAAAAATTTGGTGTGTAATTGTTGAAAATACATTTACGAGCATTCCAGACATGGCAAATGTACTTATGTCATCTGAAATTTTAAAGTACATCCCTCTCTTTTTGTACAAAAATAAGGTAAATAGACAATTATTATTATTTATTTGATTAAATATACATATGATAATTTCATTCCGATACGATCCTCATCATTCTTCCCACCATCATCTTCATCCAATAAATACGAATGGACAACTGACCAAAACTCTCTTACTAGTGTGTATAGTACAGTTTAAGTTAACAATGTAGTTTTGCGTCAAAAACATGTATCACTTAAAATCAGTTCTGATAAAAACCACGATAAACTTAACATTACCTACATAACCCACCCACGTGTCTCCTTGAGGTTAGTTCTGATAATTTTTTCGACCTAATGTCTAACTTAATCCTACAATCCGTTAAGTAGATTAATACGATTCCTGTATATTTTGTGTTTTTGCATTTAAAAATCGCATGTATCAAACTTATAGACATTTTATTATGTGAGAGCTCAAGTGTTGCACCAACGGTACAATTGCTTCAATTCTTAGATAAAATTTAAGTATATATTTTTTCCAGTTTATGTCCAATTGGAAGATGAGTAAAATGCAGGTTCCTATACTGTTTGTATCCGGTGAAGAAGACACGCTAGTACCGCCAGCAATGATGACAAATTTATTTGACTCTTATTGTGGTCCGTTAAAACAAATTGTGAGGTTCAGACGAGGTTCACACAACACTACGTGGAACTGTCCTGGATACTACAAGAAAATAAGGCGATTCTTAAAAATTACCGCCAAACACAAGCCATCCGCGGAAGATCTCCATTGTGTCATACAAATTGTTTGACATTGGCTATGAAAATAGTTCCTAATTAATAATGAACAAAATTTGTAGATTATGTTTTAAGCATGTATAACAGACACAAGCTTATTTTTATATCATGAATAGTATTCCCCCCCCCCCCCAAGTGCTTTCTGCATCTGTTGTAAAATGTTGTGTAAACAGTATATTGATTTTTAAAAAGTTTATTAATAAATCAAGTTTTTGACCATCCTAATCTATTATATATTTGAGAAATAGCAAATATTTTCATTTATTATTAACTTTTAGTTTATTGAAATGCTGATATTATTTTTACTTTTACATTGAATAGCCGTTTAAGAAAAAAACAGTTTTGTATGAAATAAAATTATACAGTTTTTAACAGTTATGGTTAACAATTTAACCATTGAAAATCTTAAACTTGTTCTCATGTGCAGAAACCTATTAAATTTGTCAAAATAATTGTTCAAAAGTTAAAGGTTAAATATCAACAAAGACTATTAATTATGTTACTGTTATTTGAAGAGCTTCAATAATATAAATATGAATGTATTTTACTACAATTTTATAGTAGACAAAAAACAAAACGAACTGTATTAATGTCCAAAATAATGTATAAGCATAAATACTAACTATATGATAACTTTTTTTACAATTTTTTGTTATAATAAATTAAACTGAACAACACGATTATGGAACAAAAAGCGTAGTACATATATTGGTTTTTTGATTTTTCTCAATAAATGTCAATGTGGCCTCAGATTATTCTAGCACATCAATCTTTTTTCTAATCACTTCCAAAGTTGTAAAAAACACCGTATTGCAGTATGTTTATTTCAAAAACTTACAACAAAAGTTAATTTTTAAGTTTATACAAACAAAAGCAAATTATAGTAATGTGATTTTTGTTTTCTGGAATTACTTTATAATTTTTGGAATAATATTATGGAAATATTGAAATCTTCAAAATATATATCGAGTGAAATAAATATTATGAGTGTCTTTGGGATCAATTTTGTTGTTACTCAAGTACATATATTTTAATTTTTAAATCGACTTCCAAGCAGAATTGGCCAAGTTTCCCTCGGCAGCAAAGGCAATGGGTTCCAAGTTTTAATAAGATAACAAATAGTAGACAATTTTGTACTTATTAATAACATTATTTATAGCTCAATAAATAATAGATAATTTGTTAATTTATCGTATAAGTAATGTATAGATAAAAAAATTGTTTCAGATTATATAAAATGAATAATAAATTAAAAAATGAGATGCCCGTAAAAAGTTTTGTTTTATCTTATATAACTGGTTGAATATTGCATCTAAAATAAATTTTTAAATTGTCAAAAAAATCATCTTAGTATGGCAGCGTTGGGCCTGTTAAGCTACATGAAATATATCTATAATTATTATTTAAACATTTAAACAAATAATGTATAAAAAACAATAATTGGTGTAAATAATTAATTGCGTTTAAATAACACATAATTCGAATCAAATCGTCTTAACTCAAAATGAATAATCGAATGACTATTAATCATTCAAATTATAATGATAAAAGATAATATTTTTTTATCGCCATTAGTTTAGAGATCAAACCAAATTATTCGACTGGGCCCAACTGTGCCTTTAAGCATGCGGTTAATGAAAATATTCGCGAGAGGAATTTTTTTAAATCTTTTAGTAAACAAAAATGTCTATTTTGTCAGTATTCAAAAACAGTCCCCGTGTTGTTGTAGACTTTTTGGCCTGTTGATGTTTATTTAATTTCGGCGGCTCGCAGCTTCACCATAGTAACTATGGTAACGCTGGATGTGGGGCGGGATGAAAATCAATATAGCTTACTCACACACCACAGACAAACTTCTCATAGGTTTACATATTACACTTTATTAACGTGAACGCTAGTGAAAACAGTGTAAAAATAATTTTTTATCCGCATATAATATAATATACTCATTTCAAAATGCCCAACAATACGACGTCATTGGACATCGACGCAATGAGTAAGTCACATTCTTATGAATATTATGCATATACAATGGGTATAATAAATGTCAGAATAGCTGGTTTGGGTTTGGTACAGGTAATGAAGTAAAAATAAATAAATAGTATTTTTATTAATCAATGATGTATAATCAGATTCAAATATCTACTTATTTTGTTTTATTTTTTTTAGTATATTTTGTATCTAACTAACTTGACTTAGGGATTAAAATATCAGTAATTTTCCAGTTTTTTTTTTCATAAACAAAAAATCGCGTTATTGTAAATTTGATATAGGTAGAAGAATTTTAGAAAGGTTTAATATTTTACCATCGTTGATAAAATATCAAAATTTTAACGGGAAATAGGTGTTTTTCTTATAACTAAGTACTTTTTGTATATTGAGATTGTCGCTTTAGCCAAAACCCTAATATCTTGCCTAAAATGTGTGCCTTTAGGGCGTTAATTATTTTAATTAAATAAACAAAATAAGTATAAAATAAAAGGTGTTAGAAATCGATTAAACCATCATAATAATTATATTGTAAGAAATAAGCCGTAATTATTTCACAATACATATATAATATATAACAAATACACAACTCAAAGTAATTCTTTATACATTTTTTTGTGCATGCAAAATTTTATTTTTTCATTCAACAAATTCTTGAAAATCCTTCTTTCGATGTTTCGTGATTTCATGTGTTTTAGTAATAATTATCAGTTTTGTTAGTTTCGACGAGCTGTAACTTGATTAAATCAATTTCTTTGTGAAATACCTATAGAGTAATTTTGAAGTGTTATATTTCAGCTTTAAGAATCTTTTTTTTAATTATAAAAATGTTGATTAGTTTTCGTATAAGAGTACTTTTAAATGGAAAACCAAAAATGTCAAATGCAAAAAAAACTCTAGCAAAACACATTTTTTAATCTACAAACAATTAAAACAATAAATACAATATGTTTTGTTCGAGATCGGCCTAGTGTTACAATATCCCTAAAATCGACCAGTTTTGAACAAAAATAAGTATAACATAATTCACCACAATTCACGAGGAAGTACTTATAGAGTTAAGTTAGAGATCAGAAATTTTAGGGATTTCTTATGCAAATGGATAACTATCGATTTTTTTTTTTTGGGGGGAGGAGGGTAAAGTCTAGTATTAGTGTTTTTCGAGAACACCTGTACCATGGAATGCCACATTATATTCGATTGTGAATGGATAAAAAATAATTTTTTACATTTTTTTTTTAGGTACCGAGGAAAAGTTGGAACAGATTAAAATGTTGCGGGAGCTGATAAATCTCAAAGAAAAGTCCTACAACGAGAAAAGCAGCGGCGGTAACGGCGGCGGAACATTCCCAATCCCAAATATCTCCACCAACAACAAGAAGTCCTTCATTAGCGGCACAGTCATGTCCGTAGTGTTCCTCACCTGCTTCATGCTGATCGTGGGGATGGCCGCTTATTCGTTTCACACTCTGTATATCGCCATACAAAAGAAATATCCTTCTACGCACACCGAACTTTAATCAATACGATTCCGTCGTTGTCCGTTGAAAATCAATTGTATTAACAATTTATAATATTTAAGTATTCATTTGTACTATTTAATTTCTACCCATCATGTTTTTTTAATCACCATGATAAAAAAATTTGAAAAAAAAATAAGATTCTCAAACATTGAACTACAATTATTAAACGGAGCTATCAAAATTGTATTATATTGTAGTAACATTTTTGTTTTGTACAATTTTTTTTTATTAAAGAAAAATATACATTCAGAAAACGTTTAGTTGTTTTTTTTAACACCACAATAAGAATACATTATATTTAGATGCTTATACTTATTACTTACAGAGTTGGACGAATTGTAATTAAAAATGTATTTAAGTATAATTCAAATATAATATAAAATAATTATAAATATTTTTAATTTCTTTTTACCTAACATAAAATAGTAAAATTTTAAATTACAAAAAAACCTTATTCGAATAATCTATTATTTGTTTAATCGACTAATATTTGATTCAAATCATGATTTACCTACTTTTATAAAAAAATATTTTAATCATGCCCAAGTCTGCCTATATACTCAATCTAGTATAAATATATTATAACACAATGGTATACTTATTTCTCTCACAGAATGACCGACGTTACTTGTTTCCCGTTTCAATTAGCTTTTTCAAAACGGCCATGTTTTCCGACGCCACAGCTTGCCGATAAGCAGTTATGATTTCGGTTTTGCTGATATTCACTGAGAAAATTCAAACAATGACAATTTATTATTATTCCTCGTCTCAACTCTGCCACAGTATAGGTAACAGAATTTTTTTAAAATCTTACCACGAAGCCTAGAAGCGTTCTGTATGACGGTGTTGATTTTTTTCAGAGTCCCCAACAACTGTTGATGGTTTTCACAAGTCACCCGATGGTTTTGTATCATTTGTTTGTTTATGTGATAGACTTCGTTAAGACACCTTACCATGCTGGGCCTATAAAATCGAATTAGAAAAAAGTTTGTATGAATTAAAGAGAGTATGTCATCATATAGTTTACATATCATCCAATAATCGGTAATCTTCCGCTTGTACGATGAGATTTTTCAACAAGGCCAAACTATCGGCTATTGAAGCGTTGAGTTTGACAGAATTTTGTTGCAGCGTTTTCACCATTTGCATATTTTCCCATAAATCGTCAATGACTCCGGGAAATTCTGCGAGCGACTAAACAACGAAAACCAGTGTTTCATCGAATGCTAACACTTATGTTCCATGGAATTGGGTACATATAAAGGACTTTGCCTACTATTACACTTACATCGATTTGGCCAATGTTCAAGTCCGACGCCAACGATTGTACAATGTCAGCCGTCAGACTTATGCTTGTGGAATATATGCTTATTTCGTTGTTATCGAATTTAACGTAGGTGAGTGAAGAATTTCGAAAAGATTTTATCATGATTTTCCAATACTCTTTCCCGTCCGTCTTTATCGGCGTTTTTTGCGGAATGATAAAATTTTGACTTAACCACATATCCAACTTGGAAACACGGTAAAAAAAATCTCATCAGCTAGTTAAATAAAACCTGCAAACCTAGAACATAAAAAAATATTTACCCGTTGTACGCGTTCGACTAGTTGGAATGTAACGTAGCTTCCAGGCAATTCTTCGGATTCCGGATAAGGAACCAACGAGTACATAGAAAATCGAGGTAACGACCTGGTCAGTTCGAACACGTGAAATTGATCATTGTCCACGTTAGACCCAACGAAAGCCTAAAAAATTGCACAGAAAGTAGTTAAACATTGAATTTAAATCAGTATAGCAAAAATCTAGTATAGTAGGCAACACTAAACCTGTAAAATATAAAAAAATTAGCATAGTAAAGTCTAGCTAGTCGATTTGGCTTGAAGTTCGGATTTTAGAGATAGTATTAACTATAAAACAATTTAAATCACTATCAGAAGCTTTAATTAATGTAAGACACTGGCTGTCTTGATCTCTTCGTGTTGGTTTATTTACATACGTAGTTAAAAAATCCTCAGCACTTATTAAAGATAAAAATTCTTTGTAAATCTTTAATGTCGAAGGTTTAAGACCTCTCATTGTATCAACAAAAAAAAAAGTATTTTTCAGACGAGTCTGCAACCACGAAAGAGAATTTTCATGTCTCGTTGAAGTACCGAATAATTTTTTAAAAAAATTTAACATCCCAATTCCTACCAGCTAAATATCAGTTTGGTCGCTGAACTTGAAGGAGGGTTCGAAAATCATGAATCTCCTCCTCCCCACAGATAAATATTTGTATCAATGATTAAACAATTATTTATAATTACTCGAATGTGAATATCCAGAGGTATGTCTTTCGGCGGAAATAGAGATATTTTAATTTTCGACGAAACGTTTTCCTTCTTGGGATGAACCACGTGTGTTTCGTCATCGAAAATTCCCTCGGCAAACACTGTGACTGCTCTCAATATTGTCGAGTTGTTGGTCAAGAGTGTAAGAAGTACACAAGGTGGCTGACGAAAGAAAATAGTTGTGAAAGGCATACAATATATATATATATATACATAAATGCTCGAATTTATTAACGATGAAAACAAATAATCAAGCTTACCTCTGACGTTTCCGAAACTGATACTTCTGTTATAAGACGAGTGTCTCCCTGTAATTAAGTTTATATGTCAAATTGTATTGGTTGGCTTTACCGCCAACTGCTCAGTTAAATCTGTATACTGTGATGTTTACCGGAATTCCGCGACCTTCATTGGAAACGTTCGTATAGTTACTCAACTCTGTCATTAATATTTGCCTCTTTTGCAATAGATCATGAACAACATTGGACTGAACTCCTGACTCCACTTTGAGACTGGTGCTATCATATCCTCTAACTGTACAACGTATTACTGGGGCCATTCACATGTATATTTACATTATAAAACTATATTAGCTTCACCTTCCCCTGTTGCGGAAACGACGATCAACTGGCATTTTCCAGCCCTCCTGTAATCTCCCAGAACTACTCCTGCAATGCCCGAAGACAGTACATCTCTGAAAACGACTTCTCCTGTTCTGCAATTACGGGCGTCCACCTTACCGTTCGACCATCCGGTGATCAATTCCTCTTTTCCGTCGCCGTCCAAGTCATATTTTTCGAGACAAGTAACAGTGCTCTTTGACTGGAAAATTAGATCATCGTTAGGACTTTCGTTAGGTAGTCGTTCTATTCAGTTATGTTATTCTTATTTCTTTTATGTACAAAATAAATCACATACTGATGAAATTAATTTCATGCAAGGACATAGTGTACACGTAACATTCGTAGGTATCTGATTCAATATAATGTACCTTGACTCTCCATAGGCGCTGAGTTCTGTCGTACACACCGACCGTGCCATTGTCTAAAGCGTATGCAAATTTTCCAGTCGACATACTACTTAGCAAACAAATAGGCGAAGTTTCCGATATTTCGTTAACAATCATATCATCTTTAAACTCTCTAATTTCGTAGTCATCAGAACCCACGAGCAACTAAAATAAAATATCGTACTCATATTAAGCACTGACCAATATGAATAAGTAATAACCGATTTAGTTTTAAACGGCATGACGATTCTAATTTAACAGTGTTGTATCGGATACCTTATAAAGGCTAAAAAAACACTGATTTCTAGAAAAAATTATTAAAATTTTTTTATTATTTTTTTTAAATTTCGATTTCAATATACTATTGATTTATAAGCTCGTCTATCAATTGATCAGTGCTATCGTTTGATAGTTTAAACAAGCATAACAATATTTAAAAACTAAATAAAACTTAAGTTTTAGTGTCTTACTCTTCATAAAAAATCAATTATACTGTAAGCTTTTATTTCATATGAAATCTACATATTAACTTTTCACCTCGTTGTATCTGTCTAGGTTTATGTCCATAACGATAATAGACCTGACGTTGTCACCTGTCACTGTCCACAGAAGCTCGTTGCCTTTATAATCGAACGCTTGAACAGCACAATTTCCTCCGATTATGATCGACGGTTCTTTCATAGTCCCGAGTTTGCCAATAGCTACCGCAGACACTCCATCTGGAATCTTTCAAAAATATATTTGTATCGGTAAGGAACATTAACTGTATTGTATATAGTCATAGATATCTAGTTATTGTACAGCTTTTATAAAATAAAATTAAGTCAAATAAAAAAAAAAAATTCGTAGTGTTTTAGTAGTCCCCGAATTACAACAAAAAAGATAATGTAGTTCAATAATTTATATGTACTTAAAAGAATTTTAATTGAGAAAAGAAGGGTTTTTTACAGGAAAAAGTATGTATGATAACGGGTTCCAATCTCACCCGACAAATATTACTTATTCTTTTTCTTGGGTTTATTGGACCCTTAGGACCATCCCGTCTCACAACCAAGCCTCCACTTTTCTCTGACCAACGCTAGGTTCCTCCAATAACAATTAGAACCATCTCCTAACTGTTCAACACCCTTTTTTATGCTATCTACCCAGTACATTCTTGGTCTTTTTTCCTATAATGTTATCTATAAACCTTGATGTGATGCAACAGCGTTTATTTACGCAGGCAAATCCGGGTACACAGACAGCTATAGTTATAACATATTACAAGTCCATACTTTAAAAGTGTCCATAACAGTTATAATTAATAGATTTAAATATTTAATCTATATTCTATTCTGTGGAGTAATAAACCAAAAAATTGTTATCATATTTATACTAATTGCTGATAATTGATAACAGACCATGCGGCATTCGGCGTGCTTAAAGTGAGGCTCAACTGGTGTCCCGTGCTACTTGTCAGCTGTCACATGCTCACAATAAATGGTTAATAGTATTTCGTCCCTTAAAAATTAGTTGTAAACATTGACGTTTCTTTTTTATTTATTATAATCGTTTACTGATATAATCAATTTTTAACTGTTATTAATTAGAAGTGTTACTTATATTTACAAAACTATGAATACCGATCAACGTGGTATAATTCTTAATCTTCACGAAATTGGTGCATTGAAATTTGGCACTTTTCAGTTAAAATCTGGAGAAACGTCTACATTTTATATAGATTTGAGAGTGATCGTTTCATATCCTAAATTACTCGTTAGTACACGTATCTATATTTAATATCTAATGTAATAGATGTTTTATTTTATAGCCTACAATTTTTTTTATGTTTGTTTTACAGCAACAAATATGCTCACTTGTGTCGGTTACAATACAAAAAGACATTGATGAAAAAATTCCGACACGACTATGTGGCGTACCTTACACAGCTCTTCCTATCGCTACAGTAGTATCAATCAACACTAACCTACCGATGTTGATAAGAAGAAAAGAGGCAAAATTGTATGGTACTAAAAAACTGATCGACGGTGAGTATTCATGTGGCGATGATGTGATTGTGATTGAAGACGTTATTTCTAGTGGTGCTAGTATTCTGGAAACTGTAGAGGTCAGTCAAATGTACTATTAATAATTAAAGAATAAATTGTTATTGTTTAAAGTTAAGATATTAATACAATCTGTATTTAATTTTATTTTTTAGGATTTGGAAAAAAGCAATTTAAATGTATCGCGTGTTATAGTGTTAGTTGACAGACAACAAGGAGGATTACAGCGTTTATCTAATAAAGGACTGAACATTACGAGTATATTCACAATTACACAAGTTTGTCGTTTACAATTTACTTATGAAAATATATTGAATATTATTAAAACCCTAACGCTATCACAATGAAAATTCAGTTTTAGAAAAATATGCATATTTCAGTGTCTATGTTGCCATTGACAGTGCTAACAGCAGACTTGAACAACAGAAGATGGCAATATAGTCGCTGAAATACACGTCTTTACATTAAAACTAACTTATATTGTGGATAGTTTTAATAATATTAAATTATACAATTTTATCAAATAATCATGTTCAATGATTCATTTTCTTTCTGTTTAAAGATTGTAGATATTTTAAAACGGGAAGGTAAAATAAGTGAAGAGAAACATAAAAATGTTTTAGACTACATAAAAAATCATCAAATTAAAAATGACGACAGTGGTGATTATTTTTAAAATTAATGTTTGGGGATTCGTCAATTGTCTACATTTTTAAATCTTCTTAATAGATATGATTTTGAGAACAAAACTAGCATTTCAACAGCGAGCAGAATTGGGAGAAACGTCAAAAATTACTCAAAAAATCCTAAAGTTAATTATAGAAAAGAAAACTAATTTATGTGTTGCGGCTGATGTAGAATCAGCTGATCAACTTTTAAAAATTGCAGAACAAGTAGCTCCACATATTTGTATTTTGAAAACTCATATTGATGCAGTCATTGGAGTTACCGAATCCACTATCAAACATTTGCAACAGTTAGCTAAACAATATAATTTCTTAATCATGGAAGACAGGTATTAATGATAATTTAAATAACAATTTTTTATTCAAATGGTTGTTAATTTTACATTTTTTCAGAAAAATGGCAGATATTGGCAATACTGTCAAATTGCAGTACAAGAAACTTGTTAAGTGGGCTGACTTAGTTACGGTGCATAGCGTTTCGGGTGGATTAATGTTGAAAGGTATCCTAGAAGAGGTGCAACAAACTGATTTACTGGACAAAAGAGGCGTGTTTATTATAGCCGAACTAAGTTGCGAAGGAAATTTAATATCGCAACAGTACACTAAAGGTAAAAGAACATCTTTATTTTATTATGTTTTTTTTGTAGAGTTTTTTAATGTAGACATTTTTATCCAATTTAGATACCGTAAAAATAGCTGAAGACTATAAAGATATTGTCGTTGGTTTAGTTTGCCAAACTAACGGCGTTTTACCGTCGCCTAGTTTACTACAGTTGACTCCCGGTGTTAACATAACAAGTTCTGGAGATAGTCTCGGTCAAAAATATCAAACCCCTAGCGACATTATTTTAACCAAAGGAGCAGATATTGCAGTAGTCGGTCGAGGTATTTACGAAGCTACCAATCCCGCCGAAACTGCTAAATATTACAAAGAATCATTATGGAACACTTACTTGGAACGAGTTTCAAATCAGTGAAATTCAAGTTTTTAACTCAAATACTATTTTCGCTATACTTTTGATACAATTGTTATATTATGTTTTGGATGCTCATCAATTTATGTTTAGTTGTTATATTAAATTACCATATGACTGTAATAGGTAAAATAACATTTGTTTTGAAAAATTATTTTTATTTTTAAATATGAAATTATTTTTTGGTTGATAATTAAAACAGTTTATACAAGTTTGTTACCATTAATATATATATATATATATTATTGTATTGCAAGGGTTAATTAAATAAAGAACAAAAATAATAATCACTTTATTTGTTTTGTTTAAATACCTAGACAATATTATCCAATCACTGCATACTATATAGAAGATGGTAGTATAAAATAAAATTATTCTAAATGCTGTCTGCTCACCTCTTTGAAGAATAAATCGCTGTTCATATCTACGTTGTATGCCAATATGCTACTGACAGTACCCACAACAAGTATATCTTTGTCTTCATTTGGTATAGCTTTTCCCGCTAATATTGCAGTAATTTTTTGATTGATGTTCAAATAAGAAATTTCTTTATCTGGCTTATGTGGACTATGTATTAATATCTATTTAAATGACCAAAATGTTTAAAACTATTAAATAAGGTCAAATATCTGCAAGTCTTATTTGATAAATAGTATGAATGCAGAATGTCAATACAAATGTAGGGAAAAAATTATAAGGTTTTGTTTTATACCTATACGAGAAAAAATTCACCTTGTTTTCAGTCGTTGCTAATGTCAAACAGTGATGGGATCCATCATACTTGCCGATGGTGACCAAACGAGGTATTACATTATGCCTTAATTGTAATGAAAATAGAGGATTAACCATTATTTATTAATAAACCAAAGTTGTTTATAGTAATGTATTAAAATATTGGCCATAAAGAGCAAAAATAGTATGTTTGTTATGTTTTAACGTGTATGAAACCATAGCAACCCAATGTTTTAACCTTTTTTTTTTACGGTTGAAGCAATTATTTTAAATCATTCATCACGCTAGTTATTGTAAAGTTATTTTTGGAAACTATTAAATCTAATTACAAAATGAGATTGAATTATACAGTGTAATAATGAAGTCTCTAGAGCTCGTGACAATTTGTACACAAGCACCAGACATTGAATTTTTTTGAAAAATATAACGAATAAAAAACACAATATTATAATGTCAAAATAAAACTTTGTTGTGGGCGATAGATTTTCACCATTTACTGATCTACCACAGCAAACATGGAAAAATCAGAAGTCCCTTGGTCAACTCAAAATTCGAATACATTTTGGGAAAACAATTTAAATTATAATCTTATGCTAGGGTATGTAGAATTAGTAATTCGCTCAAAACTTAAATAATATATTTCAGTTATCAACTCTTAGGTTTGGATTCGACTTGTGAATAAAAACCAATATGATGTGAATGCATAAATATTGATGAAATAATATAAAATCGCCAATTATTGTCAGTGAAAAAATTCAAATCTTAAAATACTTAAGAAGGGTCATATCACGTGGTATAAGGTATATGGTTGACACGTTTATCATAAATGTAAAATATAAGCAAGACGGAGTGATACCATTGTAAAGATTTTTTGTTGTTCGATAGTCGATTTCAGAAGGAAGGCTAGAATTAAAAACACTTTCAAGAATCCTAACTCAGTATTTGAAAGTAAATTGTTTATTTCAATAGAAATCAGTACCTACTCATAAACGTATAAATAAAATATTTTATACTACTTTTTCGTTATTTTGTAGTAAACAGTATCGTAATAGTTTATTATTTGAATTTTTAGAGTAACAACTTGTAATTATGATTCACAGTTTGTTTATTATAAACTCTGCTGGGTAGGTCTATTGAATATTTACAAAATGAATAAATATTTAACGCTTCTTTTTGGGTTTAACGCATTATGAAATATGATATTAACAGAACCGATTTTTAATTGCAGTGATGTATTTATTGAAAAACATTGGAAAAGCATTATATCGCGATCAGTTTGCGATTACTTTTTTGATCAACATCGTAAAGCTCTCAGTCCGGAAGACATTCCTCCGGTTATTGCTACACCGCATCATTACTTAATAAGTATTTATAGATGCGGTTTATTTTTTGTTGCAGTTTGCATGACTGAAGGTTTGTTTTATTATTTTTATAATAATCTTGCTTGGTATTATATATGTACTTAAAATATTTTGTTATTACTGTTATTATATAGTGCCGCCGTTGTTTGTTATTGAATTTTTGCATAGAGTAGTTGACACTTTTGAAGATTACTTTTCAGAATGTTCTGAAAATGTCGTTAAGGATAATTATGTTGTTGTATACGAAGTAAGTTGATAGTAATTAGAATTTATATGTACACTTATTTCAAGACGTATTTACATCTAAATGTATGGAATTAGCTTTTAGATGAAATGTTAGATAACGGTTTCCCATTAGCCACCGAATCAAATATTCTTAAAGAACTCATAAAGCCTCCGAATATACTTCGAACAATTGCCAATACGGTTACTGGAAAATCAAAGTAATGTTTTTTTTTACATTTTTATAAATAAATTATACTTACATTATTGTATTAATATCGTAAATAATATTGTTTTTAGTGTGAGTGCAATTCTACCGAGCGGTCAGTTGTCCAATGTGCCGTGGAGGAGATCGGGAGTGAAATACACCAATAATGAAGCATACTTTGACGTCATAGAAGAAGTAGACGCCATTATTGATAAAGGAGGTGCTACAGTATTTGCTGAAATCCAAGGATACGTAAGCATTTTTTTCTACAATTAACACATAGTGACGAGCAAGGTTTCCAGTCACATTTCAGTTAAGTGTGACTTAGGTAAATTTTTTACGTCAGTCACACACCTATACTATGTGGCTGGGGGTACATTTTTTCCCCATGTGAGTTACTAAGAGTTAACTAAATACTTATAGGGGGAGGGGACTAAATTAACTTAGTCCCCTCCCCCTATAAGTATTTAGTATTGTCACTGAAAATATTTTAACGGGGACACTTGACACCCCGTTACCACTCGTCCTAAAATACGCTTACTGGACATCTATCAATAAGACAATAGGTAGGGGAGACAGCGAACACACAGACAATTACTCAGTTTTAACTGACTAAAACCGAACAATAATGAGAATAAGTTTAAAGTTACTTTTAACGTACAAGTTGTTTTTCAGAATATTAAGATTACTCATATTTAAAAGAAATTACTTATAATAAGTCTAAAAATATGATAAAAAATTCTCTCTAAAAACGGTGCTTTATATAAAAAGTAATTTGAGTTTCGCTACTAAAAATTTATTTCGTTCTTGCGTTTTCCATTAGTATGAGTGGTGTTTACAATGTGTACTTTAAAAGCGAATTAATAGAGGTATGTAAATGCAGTATTATTGATGCAATATTTCTCTTCACTTAAGAAATTTCTGATTCAACGTCAGATATTAGTTTTTATCTGATATGAATCCAACATTAATTCCTAATGAGTATTATTTTTTTATATTTTGTAGATAATAATTTTATGTATGTATGTATAAAATATATATTTTTTTTGTTTTAAGATTGATTGTAGCATCAAGCTTACTGGAATGCCGGATCTTTCATTGTCATTTATGAATCCTCGACTTTTTGACGACGTTAGTTTTCATCCTTGCGTCAGATTCAAGAGATGGGAGGTAATTATAGTTTTTAAACAAATTTACTGCCAAAAAAATAATTATTACATTACAACAATACATTTTTAGTCAGAAAAGATATTGTCTTTTATTCCACCCGATGGAAATTTCCGTTTAATGTCATATCATATTGGATCGCAAGGAATAGTCGCCATTCCAATTTATATACGACACATGCTTGCATTAAAAGAGACTGCGTCGGGCAGTGGTCGGTTGGACATTACAGTCGGTCCAAAACAGACATTAGGAAGATCTGTAAAGATTTTTTAGTGATTATTCAATATAGTAGTAAATTTTTATTTTAAAAACTATACTTTTAATATTTTGCAAAATAGATTGAAAATGTAATCATAGAAGTTCCTATGCCAAAGTGTGTGTTGAACTGTACTCTTATTCCGAACCAAGGTAAACATTCGTTTGATCCGGTATCTAAAATTTTGACGTGGGAAGTTGGACGAATAGAAACTGCGAAATTACCAAATATTAAAGGAACTGTAAGTTGTGGTTATGTATAATACAAAAAAAAAACCATAAAGCTACATGCTAATAAAATGAGTTTCTTTCAGATAAGTTTACCTGTGAATACGGTAGTTACGGACTCAAATCCTGTAATTAATGTAAGAACAATTATCAATAGATAGTTATGACAATTTTAACAATTACAATAAATATATTGACCTTATATTGTTTTGTTCACAGGTAAAATTCACAATAAATCAATTGGCATTATCTGGTTTAAAAGTCAATCGCCTCGACATGTACGGAGAGAAATATAAACCGTTCAAAGGCGTAAAGTATATCACAAAAGCTGGTAAATTCCAAGTCAGAATGTAAAATTCAAGTTGACTCAACAAAGTGTCAAACTATTAAACAGTTTTAAATTATACCATTTATATTGTTTTGTTAATTATGTTTTTTTTTTTAAAATAATTATTATTTTATATTTATATAGTAGGATATTAATTATACATGGTTATAAAATACTTACAGTTAACATTTAAAGTTTTTTTATTATATTCTATTTATAATGCACTTCATAGATTTTGAAGTAAATGATGTAATACAATTTTAATTAAGAATTATGTGATAATTACAAGTATGCTGTATAAGATTTTTTTGTATTATAATTTACAATGGAATACAGGTTGCTTCATTAAGGATAAGACACGTATTTACTTAGAAAATAATTACCATATTATAGTTTTTCTTTTTGAAATACTTTTTATTTATATTATTGTACATAATTATAAAACTACCAAATATTTACCTTTTTTAGAAACTTAAATGGTAAGGTATATTAATCAACTTTTTAAATAAAAAATTATTTGGTCACTGGGTGATGACTAGTTTTGAAAAATTACTTTCAAAGCTTAAAATTTATTACGAGATAAAGGGTGGAGTGTAGAGTTATTTTTAACTGGGTGCATTACTCAACCGCATTCCACCTCCCGTCCTAAATTTTAAACTTTAAAACTGGTTATTGACCCATCAACATTTCCAGCAAATTGTTCTTAATTAAAAAAGTTGATTAAATCCATAGATTAATAACCATCTAATATAATTTTTAAAAGTTGGTAGTTCTGTCGAACAAAAATTAAAAAGACAAACATTTGAATACTGTCTAATATTGAAAAACAACTAACTAAAATGTCTCTAAAAAGAAAAACTAAAATTTCAATTTTTCGTAATAGAAAATTAGAGACTTATCCTTAATGAGTCACTCTGTCTTGAATATCTTGTTTATATAATTTAAATTTTATAAATATATTTCTAAAGTATACAATATATTATAATTTATAATATTATTAAGTGTTTAAATCTTTGGGTGAATATAACCTCCTTAATGAGTCACTCTGTATTGAATATCTTGTTTATATAATTTAAATTTTATAAATATATTTCTAAAGTATACAATATATTATAATTTATAATATTATTAAGTGTTTAAATCTTTGGGTGAATATAACCTAATAAAGATAAAATATAAGCTGATTCACATTTATCTTAGATGCATTAACAAGTATTTGAATAGTTTTTTTTTTAACTATACTGTGTAGTCCATTCATTTGCAATTTTTAAATTGCCTACGAATTTTGTTTGCATACTTAGAGCTTTGTAGCACATTTTTATGCATCAATGCAAAATAAACAATGCAATGAATTGTAACAATTGGTTTTTTACACATACCAAATTCTAGTCTTAAAAACTAAATTTTACAAAAAAAAAAACGTATAAAGACACTAATTATTGTATGGTTAAAGTATGATTCGTAATTTTTTACCTACCTAATAACAATGTACCATGTAATTCTACCTTTTTTTTAAATAAGAGCCATTTTTTCGCTGGTTCCGAGTCTGGTGTCGTAATTTCTCTACCATGGCAATTTTTTTGTCTGTTAAAAAATATCTAGTTATTCATGTGGGTTAAAACAAAAAAAATCTAAAAATGCTACATTAATTCTGAGATTAGTTTTGAAGTACCAGCAAAAGATGCATTGGAAATAAATTTAAAAAAAATCACAAAACACTAAAAATTCTATTCGGCGGTGATTTTTACAACTTTGAAGGCGATTAAAAAAATTATTAGGACGTGGCCTAGAGATTCCAGAGCTAGATTCGAATTCACCAAATTATTTATTTTTCGTGGTAAAATAATTCTAAGGCAGATTCTAAAACCTTGTATTGTAACTAATGTTAAACTTTAAAAGGTGGGTAATGTTAATTTTATTTTATCAGCATTAATAAATGGTTTTAAAAAACAATATTAATAATATCAATTTTTTTAATTTTAGTATTATTTCACCCAAGACCAATGTAGGTAATTTCTAGGACTAATTCTTGTTTTTTAATTATTATTCCAAAATAAACAACCTAAGCCTAATTATATTTAGCTAATACAATATGCTAATGGTACACATTTTTTTATTATTAAAACGAGATCAGAAAAATCGTCCGTCGGTACAAAGGTAATTATTTTTTTTTATTAATGTTAGATAGACCTATTACACCTGTATTTTTCAGATATTTTTTAAAGAAGTTAGAACTTAGAAGATGTAAAAGTATACGACAGTGATTTTTTTGTTTAATTAATTATTATTATGATTTATGTGCAACTGAGAAGACAGTATTAAGACTATATGATAGGGTTTTTAAGAAGCAGTTAAAAAAAAAATTAGTAATTACACTGTGAGGTGTTTTTTTATAAATTACAGATAATATGTTAACTAATCGATCATTAAATATCTTTATAGTGCCTATAACACTGCGAGATACCCTGTATTGACTTATAATTGAATAAAATATGCTAAATAAATAAAATAAAGGTAAAAAATAACATGTATAGTTTCTAGGTACAGTACCTAAGGTAGGTATACTGTTAACAGCGCTCAAGTGTTTCTATACGCTGTACCTACAGTAAATAGGTGTAATAAGTCTCTAGGCCAAAAACCGTTAGTAGAAATAAAATTTAAATAGTATAAAAAAAGAAACGTTTTATATAAAAAAAAAAATATGTATATTTTTTATAGTTTTATTTCGAAAACGACATTATTTTGGCGAACCATGGCAAGTACTAGGTGTAAGTATCGCTCTTATGGTATTCCTTAAACGCGGCACGTGCCAATGACAACAGATGTTTTTCGATTTTTAAGTCGATATTTCTCCCATCAAAACACTTGTGTGTGCTAACACCATGCGAAAAATAGAAGATTTACAAAACAAAATTGAAAACTTTTAAATAAAATCCAAACCAAGTATTTTATTATGTGTTGTACAAAAAGCGCAAAAAGATTTCAAAAAATCTTACAATTAGGTGACCATTTTGAAAAAAACACGTTCACATTTTCGCTCCTCTTTACCCAATTCCATTTTTATATTAATGTTCAAATGTGATTAGGGGTTTATATCGAATTCTACATTAGTCTGAGATTAAGATTTTAAAAAATTTGAGTATTTTTTTTCCATTTGGATCTTATTTTAGCGTAATCTATACCTAATAATTTATTTGCATTGCAGAGCTGGTAAAGCACTCGAAAATCGGTTCTAAATCATTTTAAAAGTCAAATTTTTTTCGAATTTTTATTTCGAATCGAAACTCATACAACTTTTTGTTAAAATTCCCGCACTGAGATTGATAGGTATATCCTTAGTATATCTTAGTTAATGTAATTTTCTCATCAACCAGTAGATGAACTTTATTTTTTCTTAATCAAGCAATCTTAAAACAAAATTATATAGTTATTTATGACTAATGTCAATATTTAGTTGCAGCTACTACCGATTGATTGATTCTAGGTTAGGGAAAAATCAGTCAAATAATATCAATAGAGATTATCAGGGTTTATTAAGTTGAACATTTTTAAAATCAGAATAATTATAATTGAGACGATGTTTAGGTACCTCGAAATTATTTATTTATTGGTGCCCCAAATGATCGTTATTTTTCATTATATTTTAGTTCCAAAAAGTAAACTTCAATAAATAATTTAAATTTTGATTGTAATAAATTTAAATTTTAAATAGAATTGACCGAAAAACAATATCATTTTTACAAAATATTATATTAAATATAGAAATATGTAGGTAATAAGAATAATTTAATATTTTTCTCATGCAAGTTTTGATATTATCCTATTGAAGATAAAGTTAAATATAGTATTATTACTATGTATGTATACCTATAATAATTTTCACCAGCCTTTTTTTTTTTTGAGATTTGGGGGGGGGGGCATTGATTCCATGCCTACCCCCCTTGTATCCGCGCCTGAACGGAAGAGGAAGTGCGGACAAGTAATGCGCGCAGATAAAAATAATAACGCACTTTAACTTTTCTTCTGTCCTAAACTTCTATAACTTAAAAAAAATTATCCAAAACTAGTTATCGTACTGTCAACATTTTTAGTAAATTATTCTTAATTTTTAAAAAGTTAATAAGATTTTCCCGTTTAATTTTCAAACGTTGATGTAAAAATAATGTGTATAATTTATTTGATTTATAATTTATAACATTTGAAATGGGGTTCAAAGCAGTTAAAGTTATTGAAAATATTGTGATGACATTGTAAAAAAACACTATGAAAAAATAAAATGACTAATCACCTGCTGTACACTGCCAGCCTGCTCGATATATTTATGTCAAATTTGTTGTCTAAAGGCATATAAACCCCTTCAAAATTCAAACTAGAACATTTTTTTACCTAAAATTGTTTTCAAAATTACAATAGAGAAAAACACAAGTGTTTTAAATTAGAAAAATTACCGATACAATCGAAATGGTCTTGATTTGATATAAAAGCTTGAAAATACTATGGAATTAAACTTTTAAGAAAAGTTGCCTGACCAGAAATTTGTCTTCACCCCAAAGAAAACAATCATAATATATGTAGATATGTGAGTTGACAATCACTTGGGTTTTTTTTTCTTAAAAAAACCCGATCCAGTTAAGTATTTTTGGATATGCATAAACTTCTACTACAATAATACCCATACTTTTGGGTTCTAGTAGATATAAAACAATTATTATATATTATATCTTAAGTGGTTTTGTTTTTGCCGTATGGATAAAACTATTTAGCTGACTTTTATTAAGATCTTTATAAGTGAATTTTTTTTTTAATAAAGTAGCATTACTAATTTTGTCAACCGACAGGTGGTGAAAAGTAAACAAAAAAACCGAAAGTCTCCATTCGTTTCGGAAATATTTAAATTTAGATCCCCTCAAATCGTGTAAGACATATTTATCTAAGCATATACAAGTCATTTTGAATCGAATTTTACCTACTATTCTAACCGCGAACCCCCAATCAAAGTTAAACGTTTTTTAAATTGTATTTGCTAAGAAGATTCAGAATATTATTGATATATAGTGTACACAAATACACTATACTTCGCTTTGCGCGAAAGGGGTGTTAGCGTTCATAAAATTTGATGGATACTTCAAATTATTTATTATGCAGAGTTTGGATACGCAAGTAAATGGAACATGACACTGTGTGGGCGTTTTGCCCACGTCTTGCGACTCAGGGTTGCAAAAATTCAAGGTCTTGGCCTGTCTGAAGCATAAAAAATTTATAAATCCACCGCCGGGTCATCGTCTTTGCAACCGCCTCTGCTGCGGGTCTTGATCATATTATACTTCATTTATTATGTAAGTATTATGTTTAGTATAAGTACTCAAAAGTTCTACTATAAGACAGCCACCCCTAGATGTCGCTGTTTCGTAGAAAGAGATGAATAAATAATAATAATAATAATAACAATATTTGCAAGGACGACCACAGCGATATTCCAGACGAACGCGCCGCGTTTAGTGAGCAACATTTCGGTAACCCAAACCCGTCCCACGACTAACGGCACGACGTGCCGTGTGGCGGACGGGTGGCGGCGGCCGAGCAGCTGTTGTTGTTGTTCGGCGGCCGGCCGTCGGTGGCGGTGTTGTTGTTATACCTACTTCTATGTTATTGTATTATTGTACGTTTTGCGGAATAACATCGTACGAGAGCGGTGGCGGTGGCGGCGGCCGCGGTGCGGCCAGCGGCCGGATCGCGGGTTGGCGGCACTGCGGTGGAAAGTTTATTCTTAAGCCAATCATATGAGCGTTTCGTTTTGACAATAGCCCATTAGTTTGTTTCTCACTGCCGTCGGCCGAAGGTCAGTGGATGTACGTCCGCAGTGGTAGATGTGTGTACTGGTGTTTGTTTCGTGATAATTGTTGCTCCCGTGGTGTCCATCGCCGCCGTTTACCTGCCTTGCCGCCGATGACGTCCGTGGCCGTCAGCCGTCGTCCGTTCGCGTTGTACGTGCGCTACAGTAGCCGCATCGCGGTGGCAGTCTTTACCGCCGTTGCGCTGTGTTAGATCAATACGCAACTGCACAGGCCTATACCGCCGCCATCCTCGGGGCCTTATTCGCGGTGCCCATTGGAACCCTCAGCCGCCGACACGAAGCACGGTAAGTTCGGTGTCTCGCTTGTATGCCTGAGTTTGCATAGTTTTCGTTTCGGACGTGGTCGGTCGGCGTATCCTGCGTCTACTGGCCAGTGCGACGTGCGTTAGGTGGGGTACGGACGAGGCGCCAGCGCGTCCGCCGTAGACGACGTTATCTGCGGCCAGGGTGTTCGTCGAAGACGACTGGCCGAGCGCGCTTTGGGCTTGACCCAAATACACCCGTTTGTGTCCACCGTGTGCGGCTGTTGTCTGCGTCCGAGGACGGCGACACCTGATCGTCTGCCTGTCCCATTTACGTATTCCGTTTAATTAATGTACGATATTATTACCTCTCTCTGTGATAACAACGAAATAAGTGATAACGTGTAAACTGTCAGATTCGTTGATGGCGCATCACAAGTCTTGGGAGCCTTTTGATGATTTCGTCCCATCGCCATCCAGTCGTTTCAGCCTTTTGATGATTTCGTCCCATCGCCATCCAGTCGTTTCAAACGTACACTAGTCTACTCGGGTTGTACGACATCCTTTCCAACAGTCGTCTTCACAGACACCGAAAGTCCGCAATAGTTACCAGTTTTACAATTTTCTGAAATGTAAGTAATTTACATTTCACAGTTCTGTAATTGTCTACCTACCTATTTTTAGACTCTCCAGTGAGTATATTCAGTTGGATAGTTGTCGGTTATATGATAACCGACCCGTCGCTTGCGACCCGTCAGTGATTGTATGTAGATGCTATGGCTTTCTCTCCAGTAAAATAACGGAATAAAAAGAAGAAATGTCCACAACTGTTTCACTAAGAATAAGTTGTCTTCAATTGTAATGTCATCCCTATTATTTTGTTTTTGTTACAGTTTTTAAACGGTATCAGAAAATGTAAAACTTCAATCTTTATTATATTTTATATCGGTCAAACACATTTGAGTATGCCAATGTTTTGATCGCCGTAGATTATTGACGAACTGTGTTTGCAATACTTTGTTGTCGGTTGGCCACTTTGAGTATTAATAACGTCATATCAATCTTGTGAAACTGAAGTTTTATAATATTGTTACTATAATTCAGTTAGTTTTTATTGACAAGCCATATCCGTAAGCCTGTGAACAACTAAAAGCTTTTTAAGCTTTGTACGGTATTCGTGAGCGCCAAAATGCAGAGTTAATTTTCTTGTTCAAACCACAAATCTAAATGTCCCAGCAAATAAGGTCATCGCTTGACTCTAGAGTACCTATGTGATTATTCTCGCTATTAGTGATACATTTGTAGAGCGGACCAGCTATAATTATCCAAATTCGACCAGTCATTTGGTTAACTAGTTATAAAAATAATACTTAAACATAACGACGACTTAATTAAAAAATTGCAATTACAAAACATAGATTTAAGAGAACAGTCAAGTTTTTGTCTTTACATTTGTTTACAGTATTCGTCATAAATTGTATGCTTTCTAGCGATTGAAATATTGACTTTTTTTTATTGTTTTACAAAAAAGCCCTCTTTCTAGTCTTTATTAATTATATAATATACTCATATATATAATTGTATTGCATTGTACTTGCAACATTTTTAATTAAGCTATGAAAAATATTTATATCTAGTTAAGGTAAATATAAATTTTTTTTTTCAGATTTCCTGTTTCAGTTTGGAATAAAACAAAATTTACAATGCTTTGAGAGCAAAATGGACATTAGAGACCATAAACTAGTTTAGGTAACTTATTTTAGTATTTAATATGCAAGTTATCTATTATTTATTAGTTAAGTCAATATTTACGCAACTGCTAATGTAAAGTAGAAAAAAACATTTCTTAAGGAGACTGAAAGTGGTCCGATTTTAATTCTATACAAATATTTAAGTTTATCAACCTCTTTTCTAGATTATTGTGGGAGTACATTTTTGATACTTCAATTGAAATTGTATTGTAATCCTATTTTAATTTCTTACATTTTTAGTATTCATTTTCTTGTATTTTTTGTAATGAAACAATTTACCTCCACCATAAGCTGAAAAAAGGCCAAAGAGTTAAAATATTTTACAGAATTAATACCCAATCATTCTAAGCAGGTGTAATTTTGTTAGGCTTACAGGAACAAAATGATATTTCTCATAAAAAAAAAATTGTACAACTTAAAAATTATACCCTAAAGCTTATACAAATTAACAAAAAAAAAATTAAGATGGTCTTTTAAAAATCGCCCCATTTCAATCTCCTTAAGTTTTTTAATTATAATAAACTTGACTTTGCAACCTAAATATTCATTTTGATGATTAACATTCAATTGATCTATCAGTGTTGTGTCAGTTTTAACTGCGATACGTAGTTGAGATAGTATTAATTTTACAACGATGTGTTTTAATTTTTTATTATGTCTTCACCCACAATATCTTCTAAACTGTTGAACCCCGATTCCTTCGTGTAGCAAGAGTCTGTTGCTCAGAAATCTTACCCGAAGGTACTTAATTAGGCTATAAAGTTTACCATAAAAATCCATATCTTATTTACCATTTTGAGTAAATTTATCTGATAACAACTAACTGTAGGTAGAGTGGGGTTATAACATGTATAATTTTCTGTAGTCAAACTTTTTTTGTTATCTAAGAAAAACCAAAAAAAATTACATTTTGAAAAGACTGTCAATGAGTCTCCGAAAAATATGTTCATTATAAAGTTGATTGTCTATCCGTTGACAACTGCATCAAATTACAAACAAAAGACAGACGATAAATACTAAGGATACCACCTTTATACTTCAAATATAATTATTTTAAACATATTTTCGCCTTTACTATGTTTTTTCGGTGTTTTATATTCCTATCATTTACATCAAAGCGTCTATTTGAAAGTGTTTTTATTAAAAATTATAAAATACTAAACTAATACAAATTAATTATTGTTTTCTTTTTTAGAATTAAAGACTAAACTGCAAACTTATTTTCCTTCGGTGTAGCTGTTGAATGTTTCTCAACTTAATGGAACTAAGAAGTGTGAAATATTTTTATCCCATCGTTTTATACGTAAATGGATGACTCGGAAGTCTAAAAAGTAGCAAATTAACTTATAGTGAAATGGATAATACAAACAACTGTTTTGTAAATGATTCATCTGTATTTCCTCACCTGGAAATAGACCAAGAACATGAATGTCTTAAACAGTTTCTCTTGGATCAAGACAAGTCGGCATCTCATCCGCCTCTGCACGCGCCGAGATACGACTCATTGTCCTACAACATGTTACACCCTAACAACAATATGATGCAAGATTCGTTTCGAAACCGTCTAGAATCGAGTCAAGTGCACGGTCAGAATTATAATAAAGACAACTCAAACTTCATGGGAGATACGTACGGCGGATATACCGTGTTAACACCTAACCCGTCGCCGATGGCTTTCAATTACGCTCCTCAGTCGGTAGGCTCAACTTTTATTCCGATGGACACGTCTAGTTCATCGTCTCTTCAACTACCCGGATTCGACCCGTGTCCCATGTCGAATCAAGTAGAAAATACCTTTATGTCGACAGCTACTACGGGACCTTCTACCATGTCCGATTTCACTAATCGGCAAGTAAGAAACGATCAGTATTCTCCGGGTATTTCGCCGACCATTGCCAGTTTCCCTACTCCCGTTAGCGTTTCTGACAGCCCCAGTGCCGGTGTATTAGCCGCATCACCCATGTGTAACGGTGAAAGCTCTAGTTTAAGCGACAGTGTTATCAGTCCCGCTACCACCCAACGGACCGGTAGTGAACGGTCGATAGAAACAAACCCGCGGTCAATCGAAAGCATGTCTAGCGATCTGTGTTCGCCACGAGTTGATTTAGAATCGTTAATAATCCAGGCTCAAGTTGTTCCGGGCGTTTCTAATGGGGAAGCGCCTAAGGCTTCAATTACTCCGCCTGTAGTTGTACCCAAGTCCTCGCCAAACATTCTAAACGGCGTGACCCTCACCAAATCTGGGAAACCTCGCAAAAGACGTTCGGCCCCTAAGGAAAAAGTAGTGAAGCCCAAAAAGCAGCCTGCCGGTACAATTTACCAGAGCGAGTTAGGGGCGGTCGAAAACGGTGGTATCAAGTTGAAAATATCGCTCACCTCGATGCCGCAGAAGAAAAAACGAAAAAGCAGGAAAAGATCTGACGATATCAAAAAAACACCCGACGGCAGTAAATTGATACCTTATGTTGAGCCGGCTGAACAAAGTCCGTGGGGTGATCAGATACCGACCGACTTGCTGTTCAAAGTGTTCCAAATAGTTACTGTTACCGAAGGATGTATTCCGTTTCTTGCCAGGTAAACTTAAAAATTAAACGTGCGATTGTTGGCGATTTATTTTTTAACATTTTTTTTTATCTCTGACAGGGTATCACAAGTGTGTCGACATTGGCGGTCCGTAGCTTCCGATCCATACCTTTGGACTAATATCGATCTAGCAGGACGTTGGATTTCAAAAAATCCTATTAGAAACGACATAAACTTTAGATGGTTATGTGAAAATCGACTTTCCAGTGTACAGGAATTAAATTTAGGTAAATCCAAAATAAAAATAAAAAACTATTAAAAAATTGTTTTTAATTGGGTGGACGTTGCCGAATTATCTTCTTTGATACGCTCTACTACTGAAAATTGTTTATTATGAGAAATTTATGTTTATTGGTTTTATTAATATAAACATTGTGTATTTATTTAGGTGGTTGGCAGTTTACCGGTATTCCAGCTATTCTGGATAAAATTAGTGTCTCATGTTTAAACCTTAAAGGTCTGAGTTTAACGGGTTGGGAAGGTTTGACGTTTGAAAATGTTCGTTTTCTCGTCACCAACTTTCACAATCTAGAACGGATAGATTTATCAGGAATAAATGTAAGTTGTCAATGTTTGTTCATTAAATTGATTCACAGTTGGTAAAAAAAAAAAAAAAAACCCCATAAAATGGTTACACTCAGGAGTAACGAGTTTTTATTGAGTTGGTGCTGGGCCAGGTTTTTTTTTTATTAAAACCAGTGTTAATGCCAAGTCTATCGTCTTTTTTTTTTTTTAATTGATTTAATTTTCAATTAATACTATTTATGTAATTTAATTTATAGGCTCAACACAGCAGTGGTAGAAGTGGAGTTTCTTTAAGCTCCATATTGTTCCTGACACAGAATATGGGTCAAAGATTGACCCACTTGAGTTTGGCTGACAACAGGCTTTCAGGAATAGGACAAATAGTCGATTCGTTAGCTGTAAGTTTATTTTTTTATTATTTAAGTATGGGAAATTGCACCGATAGGAAGTAGAAAAGCCAGAAGGTATCTAGGAGGTAGAGACGGATCAAAGTGAAAGTTAGTGTGGAGATAATGGAGATGTATCATGAAGGATAAAGTAAGTGGAGAGCGTGTTGTTGTTTTACTGTCGAGTTGTGTTGTTTTACGGTTACATTGACGTTATGTTTAACTAATTTTTCCGAATTTAGACGTACTGTCCAAACCTGCAATCTCTGGATCTGACCAACGTGAGAATGGTCGGCAATACGGGACAACTTCATATCGAACGGTTGCAAGAAGGCTGTTTTAATTTGCGTGTACTACGTATGGCTACCAGTCAGCTTTGTTTAAGTACCACTACGACCCTCAAAGAACAAGGAATGTCTCCCGGATTCCCACTGTTAGAAGAGCTCAGCGTTGCCACAATTTCAAACGACATCAGTGCGACGGGACAACCTTTCGTTGACGACCACGCCCTCGAAAGGATATTGAAGACGTCCCATAAACTGTGCCTTCTCGACGTCCGAGGGTGTTCTAAAGTAACGGAGTACCTAGTCAGAGTACCGGCTTGGGATTTGACTCACCTATACTTATCAGGCAATTATATTATTATTATTATTATTATGTCATATTATGTGTATTTTGTACATTTTTTTTTTTCAAAATTAATTGAATTTTTTTTATAATTTAGGATGTTGTGTGACTCGAGTAAACGATTCTGGTCTCGATTTGATATGCAAAAAGTGGAGTCACAGTCTTATGGAGATCGACCTGTCTTGGTCCACCAATACCAACACGCTAGACGCAGCTGTTATGGCTTTAGCCGAACAAGGAAAAGATTCGTTGCTAAGGTATTTTTTATTTTTACCATTATTTATTGTGTTTTTTTTTTAGCTTTGATGCGTGTCTACTTAACATCTGAACCGATTTCTTCATGTAGCATCTTTTCTGAAAAGTACTTTATTGGGAAAAAAAGTTCACGCTTTTTAAATCGAAAATGTCCAAAAAATGTACATATTTTTTTACGTACACTCTATAAATATTTTTAAATTAGTTGATTAGTTTAAAATTTGTATAGAATTTTCTTAAGATTATAATCTCTTTTTCCTAGATGGGGGTGGAAACTTTTTCTTTATTTCACTTTTTACAACATTTACGATTTTATTAAAAACTTGTCATCAAACTTTTTATTTTATATAAAGAAAAAACAAAAAAAAAAGGGTGGACGATTGCATTTGACTGCTGTAAATTTCTATGTTGCTGTGTGTGAGTTGATCAACACACAGTCACAGGTATTTGAAATTATTTTCGTTTTATTGGTAATTACGATATATTGGTATTACAACGGCAAAAAATTATTATAGACAGACGATCAACCTTTTAATTGTAACATCCCTAACACTCAAAATTAATTTTATGCACATTATTATGGATTTTACAATGCTGTTATCGGTTTTTGTATTTCTACCATCTACACAGATTCGCATCAAAGCGTTTATTTTAATAATTTTTATATTTTCTACATTACAACTTTTGCCTTCTTGTTTGATTTTACAGAAAAATGGATCTGACCGGTTCCTCGGTGAGTCTAGATCCTGTAAAAGCTGTTCTCAACAGCTGTCCTCTTCTGAACTCGTTAAACTTGTCGTCTTGCCGGGGTCTACCTAGGGGCATCAAACGGCTGTACAAAGGCCACGCGTTGGCCGAGTTGCGGGCTCAGCTTAACGATAAGCCCGGTTCTTCCCAAGAATCTGAAGGTGGCTAAGTTTTATGTTGTTAAGGTATCTTCCATTTCTTTTTCATTTTTTACTTGTTTTTATTATTTCTTTAAATTTTAAAGAAAAATTTATTACTTTTTTAATTAAATGTTATAGTTAAGTGGTCGCGAAGATGTTGTCTATGTGATAGTTATTAAATATAAAATTATTATTTTTAATTATTTTGCCCGATAACTAAATATTGAGCAATAGTACAAATATTTTTTTATTATTATCATTTTTTTTTTTTTTTTTATTTATTGCAAGACATTAAATTAAACCATTATTCAGATAACTGCGCTGTAAAAACTGTAGCGTAATACTAAAATTACTTACAAATTTTTATTAATATATATATTTTTTTTTATAAATAAAATAATTCAGTTGACATATGGCTTGGAAAGGAGTTATATCAGTCTTAACAAAACAGTTAAATTTCATCTTTCATTTCAGGCATAATTTTTTTGTTTATTTTAGAAATTAAGTTTGTAGACAATCGACTTTATTTATTTTTATTTCACACGTTAAATTTTGTTTCTAATACATTCAATGATAATTTTTTTTATGTACATACATTGGGGAGGGTTTTATTGGCCAGGAAGTTGGATATTTGAAATAACACATTCATTTAAAATTCCAGTGACTCAAAACCATTGTTGAATTGATTCGAACGATCAACAACAATGTTTTGCCTCCTAAGTATGTATGATATTATAATTGTTCAGAAAAACTGTCAATCTCAATTAAAGTCGAAGTTCGCCTAAAAAAAAAAAAAGAATAATTATAACTTATAGCCTCGTGACAACTACACTACTGCTAGATCATAATAAATGAAAAATTAAAATTAAACAATAAAAAGCTCAAATCATTCCTAAGCTTAAGACATTACATTTTTCAAAGATAAAATCAAATTTAACAAATCTACTTGTGCTACAACAAAATGACAATGACATTGTTTGTTTTTCTTTTAATAATTTTTTTTTGTTGTATTGATTCAATTGTTTTTAAATAATCACAAATGCCTTATTTTTTACATTGTACATAAATCCCAAAATCTAGTTTAACCATATTTTCGTTCTAAGTTTAGTTAATAAGTTTTTATCGTTTTTATTATCTTGTTGTTATTTGTAAACGTAAAATAACATTTGTGATTAATTAATTTCATCTATAATATTGTGGTAGTTATTTAATAATTTGATATTATTATTTAGTTGTTTCTCGACATCGATTGACAAAATAATATTTGTATCGGCAATCGACGATCCGTTTTCGGCAATTTCTATTCGAGAGTGAACAAACAATATTTTATTAAGTTGCACGTAATGTTTTCCGAACTATTTTTCCCCGTTTTTTCTTTCTTTAAAATATTTCATCTAAAATAATTTGATTTATTTAGAAATGCAGTGTGAACGTAGATTATTCCCTAGACACAATGTAAATACTAAAAACAAAAAAAAACCATTATTGAACGTGTTTTATATTAGTCGTGAAACACAATTGCGCTCCTTCCTCCCCAAAATGAGTATGTAATCTAATATTAACTTACGCTAAAGTTGCAACTACGAATGACACACATGGTTTTTTTTTATTAGCCGCACACAAATTTTTTTATGATAAAATTATTGTATTTCTTGTTAAATAATTATGTTACAACATTAATATCTTTACAAAAACAATAAGAAAAGCAAAAAATCCATCAACTTTCAACTTTATTGATTTTTATTATTATTGTTTTTTTAAATCATTGTTATTCCAAAAAATCCAAGCCATAACATTTTTACAACACATTAAAACTAATATTAATCTTTTTTATTATTATTGAGATTATCTTTTTTTATAATGTTATCTGAATTTTGAAACCTCGGTTTTATTTTTAACGGACGAACAGTGTTCTTTCATAAAAAGACCAGTTTTTTACTAGTTTTTTTTTTTTTTTTGTCTAAACAACATTTCTTCAAAAAAGCAACTTGTATTTCGACAGCGTTTTGATTGGCCGATTTAAAAAAATGTATCCATTTCAATGATACTTAAATTTAAAATAAAAAATTCAACGATTTTATTGTAGTCATTATTGTTATATTATTATTATATTAATAATTTGAAATCTTTAAGATGATGTGTACATCCGTGTAATTAATTATCGTTCTTCAAAATGCTGTCTTTCGAAATAATCTAAATGTGTATTTTATATTATTATTGTTTTAGTAATTTTTTTGTCGAGGAATTTTTTTTTTCCCCGATGGTGAAACAATTATTATTATCATTATTATTATTATTATTGTAAGCACGTATCCGTTTTTAGGGGGCCAAATTCTTTGCATGTTTGCAAAAAAAGAAAAAAACTAAAAAGCCCGACCTAAATTTGCTTGTTTTATAATTTCTCCTTCAAATACACACCATACAAATTTGTATTAATGTCATGTTTTCATATTTTATTTGTTAAGATATAGTTGAATTATGTTGTTTTTTTATTATTATTATTATTATTATTTTTTAATTTAATTTTTTATAATATATATTATTATAAATATATCTTATTATTATTATTGTTGTATATAACAAAGGATGTTCTAATATAGATTATTATATATTGTCCATAAAAGTGTAAAATACATATTGTTGAGACTGTAAAGACCTATGTAAATGTTTTTTTTTGTTTATACGTATAAATATAATTTATTAATATTTACACACGTGCAAGGATTTTCAAATATATATCGTTATCAAAACATAGTGGTTTTCACACAATTTCGATTGAAACGTGCCTTTTGTTTTATCTTAAACATAGAGAAAAAAAAATTGGAAGTAATCAATTTTTGACGAAAAAACATTACGGGCTGTGGTTAGAAAAACAGATTTTAAAAATTAACAGTCTATCCCATTGCCACTGGATGATGGCAGCTCAGTTTTTATATTTAACAAAAAAAAATGAAGTTATTCGTATTCGACGTAACGCGCTCCGATTATTACCTCGACATATTTTATTTATTACAAACATTTAAAACTTGAAAGATGTAAATTTACATGACTTGTTTTAAATACATGTATATATTTTTTTTAATGTTAGATTATCGACACAAGTTGTGTTTATTTAAAAATAAATTCATTAATGTAATAATGCGTATATTATGCATTCCGTTATTTTATATGGGCATTATAAAGTTTTCTGTACGGAAAATTGTGGGAAACCATTATTTTGAATGATTTGTTTTGTGAAAACCGTGTAAAATTAGGTTGAAGAAAATCCGATTTTTCTTTTGCTTTTACGTATATTATTAATTTTTGTTTTGTGTAAATATAAAATCTAAGCGTCATTATAGTTTGTTTTGCTATGTTAGAATTATTGCTGACTTGATTTTATAAATTGATATCGCTCTTTCGATAAGCAAAGAACTTGTTATTTGAATAATATAATATAATTAATAAAAAAAAAATTAACAAATTTGAATTTCTTTAGTGTAATTATTGTATTTGTTGTTTCCAAATATCACACGGTGTACATAATGTTTTTTTTTTTTCAAATAAGTTATCTTTACGATAACAAGAATACTAAATGCAATATTAAACGACGATCGACTTGTTTAATTGTAAAAAAAAAAGAAGAAACAGTTGCTTTTATTATTCTCAGCTTTATGGTCAGTTGACGACCAATGCTGCTTCCACTGTCAAACATATTGACGAACTTGCCAATTGTCGTCTTGCTCTTTCCAATATCATTGCGGTTAAAATTGAATTATTTCATTTTTTGTGCATGAAAATAATAAGCGGTACTACTTAAACTTCTAAACTATATTTCCCTAATTATTACATTCAGATTCTACAACGACTTTTTAAGCGTTCTAAATGTTTTCTGTAGTTTAATGTTTTATATTTTTATACAACATTACTTTCAGCACAACCTTACTGTTTGTGTTTGTATTTATACACTTATGAAACCAGCCAACTGCCGATTTTATATTTACATTATTTACTCTGTGCAATACAAAATCATTCTAGTTGTAGTAATTCTTACAAATTAATATTTGTACTTACTTTGCACAACGTCGTTATTTACTAAGGTTGGAACAATACTGTTTTTTTACTTCTGTGTACTGTCTGTAGAACGACATTGGCGTCTAACAAAGTGTGGTTAAAGACATTAAGTATAAATTTAAGGTAGCTAAAAATGTTTTTTTTATTTACAAGCTGATTAATTATTGACTTATAATTAGTCAATACCGCACAAGTTCTAATGACTAATAATATTTATTTATAATAAAGAACTAAAAATAAATCAACAATGAATGTTTCTTTTTTCTTACGAATGTCAAATTTATTTTTTTCCTTATAACATTAAATGTTGTACTAGATTTATTCACATTATCCATTTGATTATCCAATAGTTGCGTTTTCCTGAAAAGCGAAATTTTATAAGTAATGTCGTCCATTTAGAAAATATTGTAGTCGTTAATGTTTTGTCCATACAAGCGAAATGCCGACTGCAACGGCCAGTATGGACTCGCTTTTAGTTAAAAAAAAATTATTTCTGTTTGCCGATTACTTACCAACTCTAATAAGGGAAATTTGATTAGGCAAAATATGCACAGACATGGTAACGGCTTCATTTATATTGGTAATTCGCTGATGGTTTATGTAGAAACCGCCAGCGGGTATTATCCGATAAGCGTCCTCTGAAAAATTATTTCAAACACACTTATTGGTATTATTTTTAAAACTATAATTTATTATACTTAAACACATATTTTGTAATACGCACTTTCAGTCAAAAAACATTTAGCTTTCATGGCCAATTGTAAAACGGTAATACCAGGTTCGAGGTATAATTCAACGACTACTGCGCCACTGAAAATCTTTGAAATATCATCCGGTTTTATTTTACCAAGATTTTCGACGTTATTGTCGTACAAAACGGATGTAGCCATCAACGCCTCTTCAAGACCGGCTTCTCCGTGTACTAACGTAGTGACGATTCGTGCTAATTTTTCATGAGGAATCCTTTTTTGAGGTTCAGTCTAAAAAAAAAAAAAAAAATTAGGAATATGAAATATTTATTTTCATTTAATTGCATTACTTGATGTTTTTTCATTAGTTCGGCGATTTCAGACAGCGTAAGGAAAGTAAACAGTTTCAATAGTTTTTCTATATCAGCGTCGGAAGTGCGAATTAGAAACTGATAGAATTCAAATGGAGAAGTTTTGTCTGCATTTAGCCATACTGCGTTTTGAGCCGATTTACCATACTTATCCCCAGAATCGGTGGTTATTAACGGTACAGTTATTCCTTAAAATAAAACAATACGATCACCATGGATTTCTTCGGCTAATCAACAAAATTATTTACCATAAACTTTGCCGTTTTCGACTCGGCTGATTAATTCTTGGCCTGACATGATATTTCCCATTTGATCATTTCCTCCAATCTTAAAAAAAAAAACAAGTAATAAAAATAGTCATACTAGTCAATTAGGTAAATAGTATATAAAAAGAAAACAATTTAAAAAAAAAAAGTGTTGAGGAAAAATTACGCTCTTACTACAATTTACTTACTTGGAAGTGACAATTGTATTTTTTGAACAAATACAACCAATCGTAAGCTTGAAATGCTTGGTATGTAAATTCTGTAAAACTCATTCCGTTACTAGCTAAACGTGTTTTGACGCTTTCTCTCGACAACATTGTACCCATTCTGAATTTGCGGCCGATATTATTCATGAAATCGATAACGCCGATTTCTTTATACCACGACATGTTATTAACAATACTGTTGAAATAAAATATGATTCAATATACTTAACAAAAATTTCAATACTTAGATACAAACAAAAACAACAAATAAACAAACGTACAATGCTTTGCTAGTTAGACGCAAAACAAAGTTGGTAAAAATACCTCAAATGTGCTCACATTGGCTCAGGTAGCGATTGTTTTTTATGCCAAAAGTATTTGGAATGATTGTTGAACACAGATTCTAGATTCTTTGTTATACCCTCAATGTTTTTCAATAACGCCTGAGAAGACTGTTTGTCTCGTTCCTTAGATTTGCCACTGGGGTCGCCGATTTGAGCTGTAGCGCCTCCGATCTACGGTGGGTGTTAAAATAAAAGCTTTTAAAATAATTCGACTAGTCATATAGCTGCCGATCATTTACTCACTAGAGCGATGACTTGATGATTTGCACGTTGCCAATGCAGTAAATTCATAATGACCAACAAGTTTCCTATGTGTAAACTGTCGGCGGTCGGATCGAATCCGGCGTAAGCGCATTGATTCTTTCTCGTCAATATATCAATGACTTCGTTGCTGAAAGCAAAACGACAAATTAGCTTTAGGTTTATTTAAAATATATTACTTATTTGGTTACAACCTCGAGTTTTCTGGAAATATGCTCTGGAGCATACCTCGTTCGTGTAACTTAAGCACATTTCTGGTAGTGTAGAAACGGCCAGGCCGGTGTATGATTTTCATACAGCGACGTAACATATTATCTAAAGTTTTTGGAAACGAGCAATGTTAATCGTTAACACATGTTATTTTATTGCGACCGTGTTAAAATATTATTATAAACGACCGAATGAATAGCAAAACATAAACGAAAATAGTTCTCTAATAACGTTCTAAGAAAAAGATACACTTAAATTTCCTAATACCCAAACAACTATTTAACGTACAATGGTAAATGATCTAATTTTTTACTTAACAGCTCTCACAATTTTCATAATTTACCGCATGTACACCGTAATCACTTATCACACCTCACGGTAGTTGTGATAACAGCATAGATAAAAGACTTAGGTATGTCAACAACTTTTGTTATCAATTTTTACAATATGTCGCCTCTTTTTTCCCGTATGAAATACAAGGCCATTTTGCGATTATCACGAATAGCCGACATACCTTTCTTATTAATTGTGCTGTAGATAACGGTACACCAATATTTACTTATTTGTTCCACATTAAAACAAAATAAAATATAAATATATTTTGTGTGGCCAATAATTATAATATTATAACTATAAAATACTTTCTATCTGCGGAACAAATGATCTTTGGAAAAACAGTTAACTGTGGTAAAAATGCTTCACAACTTCATTTATACTGGAAAATATGTGTTCCATAAAAAGTTCACTGAAATGAATATTCAAAACCGAACACATTTGTTCAACAAAATACTGGTGTCTCGACCAAACATTATTTGTTAGAGTGCTGAGAGAAAATAAAAAAATTAGCTTAGTATTTATATGAAAAAAAAAAACATATTGTTTATTTCTTTTTGGTTATTTATTATAAATAAAAATTCTTAGGCCTTGTGCGGTGTTAACTAAATGTACGTCAATAATAAATACAAAAAAAATTATCAACTTGTAAAAAAAAAAAAAAAAAACACTAACTACTCAAAAAATTAAACTTAAACGTTTTAACCGCACAAAAGACGCCAATGTCTTCCTAAAGACGGAACACAGTAAAAAAACAGTCTTGTTCCAAACTTTAGAAAATAAATAACAACATTGTGCAAAATAAATATAAATATAAGATAATTTGTTGGAATTACAAAAATTAATACAACTAAAAAGATTTCGTATCCCACAGTAAAATGATGTATGAAATCAGCAGGTAGCTAATTTAATTTAAACATTTTTTTTTTTTATTATGAATTTGTATGTGAATTTAAAGGACATTAACAAAAAACTATTTTTGTGTATAATAAATAATTGTTGATGTTATTATATTGTATAAACCCAATTATATTTTAGTCAAACAATAATGTAGTGGACTTAATTATTAAACAAATTTATGTTCAATACTCGTTCGCTAGGTTGAAATAAATTAGTCGTAGGTACACAATTGATCACATTTCGATCATGTTTTACCTAAGTTTTGTGTCCAATTATTTCAATCAATAAAAATGTTTTAACAATTTTTTTTTAAAGAAAAAAAGTGTTTATATATATATATTTTTTTTTCTGGTAACGTTACGATAACCATATAGGATTTTTTTCAGATTTAAATATTGCAATTTGCGAATGTCATCTTTTTTTTTTTTCTTTTGTTTAAATAGCCGTGATCTCTTGTTGGTGAATGTCTTGAGGAGAGGTAACCTTATCGACACATTTCCACAATCCATATGTTTTACCTATGGTAGTTTGCCACAAGCGTAGAGTACCGTCTTCGGATCCTGACGCATACAGTTCACCGTCAGGCGAAAAACGGACACAGTGCACGGGACCGAAATGTCCTTTGAAAGATTCTAACGAGGAACAAATACAAAAAAAAAAAAAACCATTAATATTGAGTACGATATTGTTTATAAAAAAGGCGTCATTATCGTCGTTACCTATTTCTTTTCCGCTGCTGTAGTCAAATTTGTACATTTTAAGATCTTCACCTCCACACACAAACATGCTCTTATCTCTATGCAGGGACGCTGTATTTACCAGAGTTGGCACAGTGACTTCGTTCACCTTTGTTAAACTGAAACGTAATAATAGAAATTATTTCGTTACTCAATTACGAGACAATTAATTAATATATTTAAATAATTACACAAGTCATTACCTCTCTGCATTCCAAAAACTAACACAACTGCCGTGCGCAATGGTAACGATGGATTCGTCTCTGGACACCTCCAAACTGGTCGGTATAGCGTTGAATTCCATTTTGTGTATTTCCTACATAGGAATATGAAAAAGTGAAATTACAATAATAAGATACACAAACGTGTTGGTAGTAACTGATCAACATACTTGTCCAGACGACGGGTCCCAGATTCGGACAGTCTTATCATCAGCGCATGAAATTATTCTTCTATCGTTTTGAAAAAACATGACATGCTTTATACCAGATGTATGACCACTAAAAGTAGTAACAGCTTCTAAAAAAAATGTTTGGACCATTATTTAAATTACAAAAGCGAAAAAAAGTAATTTAACTATTTAAAATAAAGTCTTCTTTTAAATAAAAATGTAATTGGTTTTTATTATTAAATTTTAAGCATATACTTATTTGAATTATAATTTTAAATTTATTAACAAGAAAGTTAAGTTTAAAATTGTTTTATTGTTTTTTCAATTAATTCAAATGATAATGTATTTGAAATTGTCAAGCCTGGGCATTACTTAAATAATTGTTTAGCTAAATAAAAATTTAAATAAACTCAAATAATATTGTATTTCATTCAAAAGTCTTTACCTAAATAAAAACCTATTTGTATAAATGTTCAGTTTCAACTAAATAATTTTTTTTTTTTTTAATAAAAATGAAAATAATAGTTGATTTAAACATGTTTTTAAATAAGAAAATAAAATACGTTTTTATTTAAAATAACAGGTTATCTAAATTTATATTAAAATATATGATATCGAAAAGTAATAACACTTTTTTTTTTTTTTGTTCAATTAAGGAAATATGATTTAAATTTTCCTAAAAAAAAAAAAAAAAAAATGTCTAATAATCATAATAGATATTGATAGAATGGGATTCAAGGCCAATTAGCCGGTGACAGATTGGCCATGTAAAGTTTATTGGCTTAGACTGTTGTTACTATTACTGTCACATAGTAGTAGGCCTTGAACAAAGACCGTATGTGCAGAAAACCATGTTTTTTTTTAATTCATCCAAACAGTTCCTGATCAACAGCATTGAACAGTACACAACCATTCTTAACGAACAATTTATAAAACGTAAATATACACATTTATACATTGTTTTTTATGTTAATCAAGTTTATACATACCAGCTGATTTATTGAGATCAAATATTCTGAGCAATTTTTCGTTGGAGCCGGTCGCAAGATAAATGCTATCCCTCGAAAAATTAACACTTTTTACTATGTGTTTGTGTTGAAAAGATTGTACTTCACCTCCTGTTTTAGCATCCCAGATCTGAAATAATAAAAAAAAGATATTGGTATGATCTAACAGTTTCCAAACTACTTTAGAGACGTCGTTTTAAAAGTCAATTTTTTTTCTCAATATTATATAAAAGTTTAAAACAACATTGGTCAGCTGCTGTTTTGAACCCATCCAACAGAGTCTGTCTTCAGAGAAACTGTTGCGACTATACTTTATGGTCACGGTATATGCGTAGTCCCTGTAATGGGTTCAAAACGTCAGTTAACTAATGACAACATGCATTGATCAGAAAATGATCAACTAATAATTCAATCCATTTAATACCGTTCATCAAATTTATGATTTTTGCTCTGGTTAGGTATGTTATATTTTGTCACACGGTTTTTGAATACATAAAATATTGGTTATTAAATAACAAAGGTGTGGGTGAAGGGTAATTAGTAATAGGGAGGGTTACAATATAAGCGATAAGATAAGCTTCCATAGTTTCCATTAATTAAAGTTGTTAAAAAAAAAAAATACTTTAAATTATTTTTTGTAAATTGCATAAATATAAAAACTCTACGCATAAAATATGTATATTTGAGTTAGAAATTGTTATAAAAAAAAATTACACCATTTTATTTAGTTTTGAAAAAAAAAATAAAGTTATGCAAAGCTTAAACCGTTTACTAAGCTGGGCATGTATGGGAAGATAACCGAAACTGTATAGCAGAATGAAAAAGGCGAAAATACAACTTTTGCAATCAAAAAGAAACTTAATTAACTTTAAAACATAATTTTAAGAGAATAAAAAAGTGCCAAATGTGAAATTGAATAAAATTGTTTACACGAAACAATAAGATTTGTATAATAATTTACATTAAAATTTGTTTATCAAAAACTACATTTATGTTTAAATCAAGTATAGTTCATCTTTTTTATCACAAATATTAAAAACATAATCTACACTAACATATTACGTACATACGGATTCCTACTTCCTAGCAATAAAATAGTTTTTGGGTATACAACTAATTTCAAAGTAAGTTTTACTATTTATACAATTAGTGATACAATAAGTATATCACTTATTTATTGTTAAATATACTCTATTTACAGAATGAAACTAAAGTATTATTAAAATTTAATTAAATGGTAAGATTATGTAAAAACAAACAACTACAACTTGTGGACATTACTGATATACAGATGTTCAACTTTTCATTTAAAGATAATAGTTAAAAGAGTTTATTTTAGTTTTGATTATAGGAACTATTTAGAAGATAATATTCCCTAAAAATAAGAACTAAAATCCTTAACCAAGTGCAAAATTAAAATGTATTTGTATCAGTTTTTAACTGTATTATAATAACATTAGAAGGAATTTTAATATAAACTAATTTTGATAAAATTGAGAAGGAAGCTCAGTGGTCAATTTTGATCAGCAATTGAGCTGTCCCGCTTCAAATTTAGGTCTTTTGACTTAATTTTTTTAAAAATGTTCAGCAACATTAATTACTTTTAATAATACCCATAGCCAAATTAAACTTCTTATACAAAATTCATGTATAGTATATTAAAACCTATTTGATTTTCTTAACATATTAAAGATACAGATAAAAAGTAACATTAAAATAATTTAATTAAATACTGTTAAGGAACAAATTGTTTTAGCAACACATTCTCATGTTAATGTTCAGATAATTAAAATCCATCAACTACTTAACCATAAAAAAATCTAAAAAAAAAATTATCTTTATATTAATTAATAAAAAAAAACTGCCTAAATTTAGTAACCTTATTAAAATAACTAAAATCGCATGAAAATACTCGATTGCCAAGCCAAGAAATAATTATATTAGGTAGAAAAGTTTTGTTAAACTCATAAAGCGAGTTTGACACAGCACAAATAAATGTATATTTTATTGTTGTTGTTTTGAGACTATTTTATTATTTATTTATTTAAACAGTTTATATTTTATTCAATGTATATTAAATTTTGAATAATGAATTTAATTTAAGCGATCGATAGGAATTTACATATTATTGTGAAAATTAAATACAAAAAGTGAAACTATACTCGTGTGTGTGTGTGTATTGAATGTACAATTTCTTATCTAGGAAATAAAATAAACAATAAACATACGAGGAAGTCAATCTCAAGGCTAATACAAGCGCTTTTTTCATTAAAAACAATACTCATACCTTAGCTTCGAAATCTGCAGCACCACTTGCAGCTACTGTTGCTTCTTTGTTCAAGGCTACCCCCCAAACGGCACCTTTGTGGCCTTCAAACGTACCAATCCAATCACCAGTGTCTCCTTGTCTTAACATGGGTTTTCCATCTAGAACGCGAACGCAATAATAATATAGAATATTGTACGAAAATTATTTACATTTACCTTTACAAGCGGATATTAAAAAATATCCACAGTCGGTGATATCGCTGAAATCCAGGTGAACGACGGGCCTAGTATGTCCACTACAAGTTAACGGCGTTTGTTTGAAACTTGACATTTTACTTTATACACAAAATTATAAACAATTAAAAAAAAAATTAAATATATAAATATATATACAGCACTTTCGAATAATTCGAACGAACTTTTATAAATAATGAACAATTTTTACTGAAGGATACATTAACAGCAACACGTTCTACAGATGCTACGCAAACGAGTTACTGAAGCAGTTAACAAAATAATAACGTGAGCAAACGGGTTGATAAAAGATTGCCGTCTGCAGTGCAGCCACGCTGCGCGAAACAAAATATCTCTTCTCTCTCCAAGTCGAATTTTAAAATACCTAAAGAACTATTAATCAAGCACCGTTGTCTATAAATTGTAAACATTTCATTTTTATCATTTTTTTTTTTTTTGTAATAATAGTTTTTTGATCATTGAGTAGATTTAGTTGTTTGATTTTGAGAAATAAAAACTAAATACTATTTTAAACTTTAAATTATATAATCTAAATCGGACATCGGTATCCCAAGTGTTTTTAAGATATTTAATCTTTTCATTGTCATTATTTCAAATGAAACCAGAGTATATTACTTAGAAATATATCGATTGACTATCTAAAACAAATTATTACCAATAACAACACTACTTTTTTTTATAAATTTGAGGAATACATTACTTATAACAAATCAAGCACTAGGAAAATGTCTAGAATTAATAAACCAGTCACATAAAAAAAATGTTTTTTCTATTATTTTATTTTGAATTTAAATAGTAAGAATTTTACTGAGCAGAGAAACTTAGTACAATTATTTCGTCTGTAGTTAATTCCGGACCCTTACAGCTGTATATAATTACATTATTATTAATATTTAAAATAAATTACTACATGTTTTGCTTTTACCGGTTACTCCGTATCAGGGATTGTATACTCGTTTCCAAACCACCTATGAGGTAGAGTATTTGGCTCGTTTTTTTTAATGTGGTATCTCCATCTACGATGATGCTCAAATTGTATTTACTGTACAACCACCAGAAATGTGTGGTAGGGGCGTTTCAAGCAATTGTGGACTTACGCATAGACGTCGATCCGGGCATAACTTAAGACTAACTTAATGACTAACTTAAGATTAAAATATCCCGGTATCGATAGACTGGGCGGCCACACAACAGACAATGGTGGACTTACGCATCGAAGTCGATCCGGGCATAACTTAAGACTAACTTAATGACTAACTTAAGACTAACTTAATGACTAAAATATCCCGGTATCGACAGACTAGGCGGCCACACACCAGACAATGGTGGACTTACGCATCGAAGTTGATCCGGACATAACTTAAGACTAACTTAATGACTAACTTAAGACTAAAATATCCCGGTATCGACAGACTGGGCGGCCACGCAACAGACAATGGTGGACTTACGCATCGAAGTCGATCCGGGCATAACTTAAGACTAACTTATGACTAACTTAAGACTAAAATATCCCGGTATCGACAGACTGGGCGGCCACGAACAGACAATGGTGGACTTACGCATCGAAGTCGATCGGGGCATAACTTAAGACTAACTTAATGACTAACTTAAGACTAACTTAATGACTAACTTAAGACTAACTTAATGACTAAAATATCCCGGTATCGACAGACTTTGCGTATAAGAGAGTACGAAGGAGGTTATCCAGTAGGATAACGGGATAGATATTGGTAATTTGATTTACAAAAAAATCTTGTTGGTGTACAAAATGTTATGACTTGATTAACTGGACGCAAATTTTAAAATAAGTAATTAATTTTTACTGAGCAGAAAATGTGAGAGGTTTATGAACTATAACGAGAACGACCACAACGCGAAAGTGAGAAGTTACAAACGAAAAAATTGTTAAAGTAGTTTAGTTCGATTATCTGAAATGACAATACAGTGCTAAAATGTGTAAATCTACTTAAATAAATAAATTATAATTGTGCGGTTGTCCAAAATAATTTATAAAGAGAGAATTGAGAGTAAAATGGCATCATCGTACATAGACCTAATCCACACAGTACTTGACTTAGTAGAGGGGAGGGGAGGTAACACAATTGTTTAGATATTTTAAGGTAGGTACCTACTAGGTATTTTTATTTTACTTCCAAGTGAGACCAGAATATATTACTCAGAAATGTATTGATTTAGTTGAAAAAAATATTTCCAATAATTACACTCCCTTTTTATAAATTCGTCTGAGGAATACATTACTTATACTAAATCAAGCACTAGAAAAAGGTTTAGAATTAACAAACCAGTCATGTAAAAAAATTTTTTTTTCAATTATTTTATTTTGAATTTAATATGTATGAATTTTACTGAGCAAAGAAACTTAAGTACAATTATTTCGTATGTAGTTAATTCCGGACCCTTACAGCTGTATACAATTAAATTATTATTAATATTTAAAATAAATTACTACATGTTTTGCTTACGGGTTACTTCGTATTATTTATACTTATTAGGAAATTTATGACCGACCGCCACGTGTAAATAATTGCACTTGAATCTAAAAAAATAAATTAACATAATATTAGTAAATAGTATTCAGTTTGGATTTGGACTTTAGATTTGGTATCTAAATTATTATATATTTAGAGATTTCTACCCAGTAGTTATTGCATTGCCTATTCTGAAGCCCAAATGTGAGCTCGCCCTGTTAGACTCTCAAATGCTAAAATTACTTCACCAACTTTTAAAATTCCTAGTGTTCTTATAAAAGTTTTCTTTTTTTTTTTTCGAAACAGTTATTATAAATAACAATAATAGAGAGAAGAACATATTGCTGTATTATGTTACATAATATAATGACTGTATGTGTTCGCAATACCTACCATCAGTCTCCAGGCGAAGCCCCTTTGAGTTTTTGGCCGCCTTCAAATTTTTTTTTGAAATAGCTTGAAGTTACGTCCAAACTTATGGTAGAACATGACAGTAATGTTTAAGTAGTTCAAAAAAGTAATTGTTTTAACGTGAAATAGGTATAACTGTAGAACGCTTCGACACAATGCATATTGTTCGCTGAAAATATTATAATCTAAGTATTTGACTTTTAATATACTATCAATATACAATTGCTACGTCTTGTTATTCAAACAACAAGCAGAAGTTAACATAGAAACGAATTGTTTCAGCAGTTAAAAACACACATAGAGCCAGCAAAGGTTTGAAAATTTTGTGTTCAAGGAGATCCTATATTATATTATATTATATATAATAAAACATCTTTGAACACAAAATTTGCTTTACATTATTAATATTAATTTAGCACAGATTGAATTAATTGACACAGTAATTGTGGTTGATAGAAGGGTGTATAGTAGCTCGTCCAGTATGCACATGCGTTTTATTCAAACAATTATTTATTATAAAAATAAACTTGATCAAATGAAAGATGTAAAGCTTAAATTAATGAAATATTAAAATATTTTTAAATAATATGATATGACATTGTTACTTTTTTTGACATTACACTGGTGCAGACGACGCAACGCCTTAATTAGTGAACAAAAATAAATTATGTTTTAATCTTATACATATGTATATTATTTCTATAATTACTAGGATTCAGGAATGTGGTTTTACATTTTTTTAATGCAATTTTAAAAGTGCAGTTTAGAGGGGTGGATAGTATTATTAAGGCCACGATATGATTAAAGATGCCTACTGAAAGATTTTGACGTACTTTCCGACTTCTTAACATATAGCCCTAGACATGAGCCTTCCCTTCTCTCATATCACCATTCACCAGACCCCATTTTCAAACATGCATCAATTTATTATATACTGTAAAAATAATATAAGGTTTTTTTTTTCAGATGTTGAGATAACAAGTAAATAGGACTCATTTATATGGAATCCCCAATACTTTATATAACTTACAAGAATTAAATAAAAAATGTATTTAACAATTAAATTGTTATGTCAAAAATGTTGTCAGATTTCAGGACCTATATAGGTCTGTATTATATTTATTGAAGGCGTAATATTAAACCTAACTAAAATTAACATGTCGTTTATAAATTAATAATAATTGTAAATACTATCATTATACAAAATATCAACAACAGAACATAAAAATTGAATTTTCATGTGAAATTCACGTAGCAATAAATGCCTGTCTATCCAAGGCAACAAATTATTGTCAATACTCTTTATGGTAGAAAAAAACAAAAAAATATCAATAGGATCAATATTTTATAGGTATTAGCATTGATTGTAATTATAGATGGGCCACCGAGACAAATTTTAGTTCTGTATGTCGACACGGTACGATAAGTGCCTAGTAGTATCATTTTCATTGAAAACGATTGACTAACGCTAAAATTTGTCTCTGTGGGTTATCTATAATATTTATAATCAACGGTGTTAGATAGAATTTGTAAAAACAAAAATGGATTTATACACAAATTACAATCGTAAAAAATAAATTTATCAGTAATTAGTAACTACATTCAATGAGAGATGTATTAATTAATAATACAATGGTTTTTTTTATTAACCTAGGTAACAAATGAAAAACATATAATATGATACATAAAAAATAATAAAGCTCATTACACAAAAATAATAGTTGAATCGTATTAGTAGATGGCGTCATTATCATCTAAACCATCATCCTCATCATCTAAATATCCTTCCCCGTTATCAAAATAATTTTTATTGTAGTCGGTTCCATCATCCAACTCATCGTCGACATCACTTTCCAACTCATCATCAATCTCTTTTACTTCTCCTTCTTTTTCATCTTCCTCTTTCTTTTTTGGTTCTTCGCTATCTTCGACATCAATGTCTTCCTCTTCCTCGAGTTCTTTAACAACACTTTCGTTGAACAATTGTGAAGTGGAAGGGCCGTTTTCAGTTTTTACCTTCTTTTTACTGGCTGGGTTGAGGAAATCGTTGATTTTGGTTTTCTTGGCAGACACGATTTGTTTTAACGACAAATAATCATGGTTGGCTACTTCGGCTTTCAATTTATCCATCCACTGCTTGTCTGTCAATGGTTTTTCATTGGATGAAATTTTCTTCTTTTTTGGTAGCAAGGACGGAGGAAAATAACTATGGTTTTCTACACTCTTGAGGTACGACCAAGGACTAGTAAACTCATCTTTAGATATAAACGACGGAGCACTATGAAAATGCTTGGCTAATTGTTGTTCGAATGAGATTAAATCTTCGTCTTCACTGTCTTCTTCAATTTCGGTAACATTGGCTCGCAGTGGCGGAAAGAGTTCAGGTGCTTTGAAATCGAGTGGGTCGTCTGGTTCAGTTCTTTCAGTTCCGATGGATACGTGTGGCCGCCCAAACCCTCCACCACTACCACCTCCTCGTCCCCGTCCTCTCGACGCGCCAGCCATAGGATCAACACTTTTCAAGACTTTTTGTTGTAACTGCTAGTTTTTGTTTGTGTGGTAAACTTTCCTAAAATAATACAAACACAAATAATTACATTATTTTAAATAATAACAAAATGAATCACGCTACAAGAAGTATATATTTAAGCATGGTGGATTTGAGTCTTAGAAATTCTAAATTTTTGAGAACTTACTGGGTCATAAATTACTTTAACAACCAATGAACAGCTAGGACAAGTAGCATCTGTCTCACCAGCTTCTAATTCATCCTGAAAAAATTAAAAATATGAACTATTAATACATAGGATATAGATAGTAAGTTACTAAGGAAAGTTAATCTAAAAAAATAATAGTTATATTAAGGCGACGCTACACCATCTATTTATTAAGGAGTAAAGTATGGGAAAATGTTTTGCAAAATCTTAATTTAGAGCTTCAACTGTAGTATATACTTGTTACTACAGTAATAAACATTCTTTAATGGTTATTCTATATCAAAAATTTAATTTTTTTTTCAGTAAACCATTTTTTGTAGATCAAACACTATGAAGTTTTGAGAGAACAGAAACGCAATTGAACTTAACACCTTTCTAACGGTATGTTACTTTTGTGTATTGAAGACTTTGTAGCATTTGAAACATAAATACATTATTTTTGCTAAATAAATACGTGTGTGGCATCTTATCAATGGAATGTACTCCAAAAGACAAGTGACTGGGAAAGTTAGGTTTGTGTCTCGGGATGGGTTATCATCGGGTAGGAAATTATGGCTCATCGCTAACTACTTGATCACTTTTCCTTATTATAAAATTTAGGTTGTTGTAATTTTGTTACGAAATAACTATGTAAAAAATACCTTAGTTATTTCAAACCGATCTCCACACGGACACGGATAATAATAAATTTCTTCATCTTCATCATATTCAAAATCTTCTATTTCTACTTCGTCGTGATATATGGACATTTGAAATAATTACCTAAAATAAAAAAATTATCAAATTAAAACTTCCTTTTTTTAGAATTATTCTGGTACATTTTAAGCTTTTGAGAACTAGAAAAAAATAACGGAAGAAAATAGAGTTGGGCATCTTACACCTTATACCTACTACAAATATTAAACAAATGTTCAGATGTAAAGTTTGGTTTAAAGTTCTAAAATTAGACTAAAGTAGATCTGATGTACAATAAAATATACATAAAAATATTACACAACAAACTTGGTACAATTAACCATTTTCAGTTTATATTCACTAAATTGCTTTTAAATATTAGTTTTTCTATAATTATTTATTATTGTAATTTTATAAGAATCACTTATATAATTATTTAAATACGTTTTACCGTGTTTCTTGTAAAACACAATATATTCCAAAACTGTTTAAAATAAGATATGATTTCATTATGCAATTATTAAAATAATTTTTTTTAATAATATGGAAGAACAAATTGTGATACATATTATTTTTAGACCATTATTATAATTTATAATTATAGAGTAAAAAAATGTACATTAAAATCTAGATATTTATAAAGAATATTTGAATGAAAATGGTTTTTAAATACTATTCGATCATGTGATACTGTAATTTCTTAAACTGAACTGATTTTTTATTGTATACAATATATATTGACTAAATAGTAAATATTTAACTACGTACCTACTGACAATCTTTTAATTTTTTTTTAACCAAGTGCACAAAAACCAATACTTTTACCAGTATTTTAAAAATAGGTAGTACAAATAAAGTGAAGTTTTTATAATACTTACTTTTTATTAGCTTTCGATAATTAAAAAAATAATTTCATAACTATCATAACTATTTATATAAATAAAGACCAAAGCATATTCAAAGTTCAAATGCAAGAATTTTGAACACGTTTTTTAGTAACTTATACAATTGACATTAACCTACAATTTTTCTTATCAGTTTTATCTGTTATCAGCATGCGCAATTCTTGTTGACAACAAGTTGTTATTAGTTGCTGGTTTGTTATGTGATGATACCATGGTAGCGAGAACGACGACCAGCCAGGTAGTCGAAACAGTAATTGATTTATTAAAATTAAATTTTTAATGAATAAACACTTTTTAACAACTTTTTAGTTAAAAATATTGTCCACGACTTACGTCCATCGGGTATGCCTTTCACAATTGTTAAGCGTAGATTAACTTAAATAATAATATTATATTGTTATATTCCGCTTCCTAAGTTTGATTATTATTTAAGATTAAAAAAATAATAATAATTCGAGACCTAAATAATAAACATATTAAACAATTTTAACAACTAATTTTTTTAATCTTTTTCTATGGATAACATTTGAACTCTGTTGATCTGTTAAATTAAATGTTAAAAAAATAAAATGTAAAAAAGCTCGATCCGGTGGACGAAACGTTTCACACCTGAACAGCTTCACCTGGGTTTCCCGGCATTTTTGTTATCAGTCATAGTAGGCGGCAAAACTAGATGTAGGCAGCTGACTTCAAAGCTGTGAGCAAGAGCTGTAGATGCCTTAAAGTTTATAGTTAAATTGCCTGATTTGTTTGAAATTGAATTTATATAGGTCTTTTCACAAACTTGCTGTAAGTAATATACTAGTAAAGGTACTTTTATTGTTTATATTTATGGTTTTGTTAACGTATTTTGTAGTTTTTTTAAATTTCATTTTATTAGCATTCAACGATTTTTACTTTTTCTACAATAATATACTATAAACTTTACAATAAACCGATACTTAAGAGGATGTCGCATCTCAAAATAATAGCATCAAAATAGTACTTTTGTGTTTTCAATGGTATTAAGTCTACATTGCACGCAGGGATATAAATTATAAATTGTTTGAAAGATGAGAACTTTAACTATGCCTTGTTGGAATTAGATTTTAATTTTAAGATATATATACATATATATATATATATATATAAGTTTTAATATATAGTTTTATATATATTTTTTTCAACTAAACATAGTTTTCTAATTCCAAAAACACGGCTTACTGGTGGTTTTAGAGTAAAAACCCCAATTATAAATATTGTAGGTGAGAACTTTTTCTATGTTTTGTTAGAAACCAATTTTCGATAGTTGGTTTGGATATGGAACAATATGGCATTAAGAAAACGCATATTTTAAATTATTTAAATATATATATATATATATATATATATATATATATATACCAACTATCGAAAATTGGTTTCTAACAAAACATAGAAAAAGTTCTCACCTACAATATTTATAATTGGGGTTTTTACTCTAAAACCACCAAGTAAGCCGTGTTTTTGGAATTAGAAAACTATGTTTAGTTGAAAAAAATATTTAAAACCAATGACAACGATGCTGCGATAGTTCGGAAAATAAATTAACTGCCTAAAATAAATTCTTATTACTAATCTAATAATTATAATTACAATTTAAGCTTTAAATTGAGATTTTGAAAATAATTGCCTATACCCAACTCATTAATAAATAGCGGTACGACGTCCCCTTAAGTTTTTTTTTTGTCGTCTACGTAAAAGTTCATGTAATTACTATCTTAAAAAACTGTTTGTCTTTTCAATTTTAGAAGCGAAAGAATTATTGTCGGAAGATGAGTGCTTTGATTAATCGCAGGAAACGTATTCGGGTAAGTCGATGATTTGTATATGAAAAGAGATCTGTGTAATATTTTACTTGTCTTCCCTAACAGCTGAATTCAGGAGCGCCCAACGATGAAACCGTTACACTTAATGTGACCGACAACAATATTCAGGACAATAATATTATGTCCGAAGACAATGCTACACCGATCAAAGAAGAAAACGATTTCGATTTGGATTCCGAACAGGACGATCCGACTGGTATATAAAATATATATATATACAATTGTTTCCACTTACCAATAATTGGAGTGCATTTAAATCAAAACTTTATAAATTAAATTTTTTTTTTTTAAATTTAATTATTTTTTATTTAGTATTGATGAAGAAGAAGAGCAAATTGTATATTGTTAGGCGTTATATTATTATTTTTTTTATTAGGTTTGGAAGGAGCCGCTTTCCACAGTCGTTTGCCTTTCGATAAGATGACATCGAATGAAGCATATTGTTTCTCAGACGTAGCTCACGGTCCGACTCAAACACAAAAGTTATTCTTGCATATTCGCAATCGCTTGGTACGGATACTGTTAATACGCTATTTGATTTTTATTTATTACCTACATAGTCTTTAGTATTAATTTATTGGTTTTATTGCAGTTGCAGCAATGGCTGGATAACCCAAAACAACAATTAATTTTTGAAGCGTCATTGCCTTTAATCGAACCGCCATACAACACCGACAAAGTCCTAGTTCAACGCATACACGCATATTTAGAGCGACATGGATACATAAACTTTGGTGTATTCAAGAGATTGAAAGTAAGCAACGTAATAGCTCAATTGAATGAATATTTAAATTAAATACTAAACTTGGTGTTGTAGACTGTTCCCTCGAAAAAAGTAGGACGAGTGGTTGTAATTGGAGCGGGTATTGCTGGACTAGCAGCTGCTCAACAAATGCAACAATTTGGCATGGAAGTGGTCGTACTCGAAGCACGGGTAAATTAAATTCTAGTTCAATAAACACCTAGATGTCTTGTAGAAAATTAACTAAAAAAAACTTTTATGTTTTAGGACCGAGTCGGCGGACGAATCGCTACTTTTCGGAAAAATACTTACGTAGCAGATTTGGGCGCAATGGTAGTTACGGGTTTGGGTGGGAACCCCGTTACGGTCTTGTCGAAACAAATCAATATGGAACTGCACCGTATTAGACAAAAATGTCCTCTCTACGAACCCGGGAAATTGAACGCCTTAGTGTCGACTGTAAGTGATCAAATATATTATTTAAAATAATATTGTACAGATAAACAATGTTTACTTTTGAGCAAGTGTTTAATACCGGTATCAGTTCTGAGCTGTAGAGGGCGTAATTATGACTAAAAAAACTATTATTATTAGCAATTAATAATATATTTACGATTAAAAAAAAAAAAAAATTACATAGGTCTAATACTATGACACTGTTTTGCTTTATAGTTTAATGATTTGTATAATATTTTTAACAGCAAGTTCCAAAAGACAAAGACGAAATGGTCGAAAAAGAATTTAATCGGCTTTTGGAAGCTACCAGCTACTTGTCTCACCACTTGGACTTCAATTACTGCAATGGAAAGTCGGTTTCTCTCGGCCACGCACTCGAATGGGTTATAAAGTATGTATACAAGTTGAAAAAAAAAAAAATTAGTTAGACATGATATTTAACTAGAATTTATTTCTTTAAAGACTGCAAGAGAAACACGTAAAGGAAAAATTAACTCAACACATGAAAAATTATGTGAATTTACAAGAACGCCTAAAAACTAACCAAAAAAAGGTTAATATAAGTATTTATCTCGAGTGTAAATTGACTTTCACAAATTGGTCTTGTATGGTAATAATAAAAAAATATTTATGCTTTAATTTTTACAGATGCTTCATGTGCAAGAAGTCCTGAAAGATTTATATGCTCAGCAAAAGGAAAACGCCGAAACAAAAGATAGCGATATCAACTCAAATTTTGCATACAAGGCGGCCACGAGGGAATTGGCAATTAATATAAAAGTAAAATTTGGTGTCGTTAAACTGAGCATTATTATTTTGTTTAAATACAAATTCTAGTGATACATAGAATTCATTTTTGATTTAACAAATGGTATTTTCAAAAACATTTTTTCAATTTTAACTTTAATTAATTTAAATAATATTTTATTTAAATAAAAATGCAAATAATAATTATATTGAAATAAATTTTCAAGGAATATAATAAAAAAAATGTATATTTACATTTGTGTAAAATATGATTTAAGTTCTAAATAATTAATGATTTCAAATAAATAATTATATAATGCGCTAAATTAAAACGTTTTTCTAAATTTAAATAAAAAATTACCAAGTTGCCATAGTTTATTCATTTTTGCCAAATTTTATTATGTCTTATAAATTTTATCTCAATCATTTTCCATCTAATATTCTATCCATTTACAAAGAAACCTGGGCAGCTTATAATATTTAAATAACAAACAATTATTTTAAATACATTTTTATTTATGGCTTCAAATTATGTTTTAAATAATTTAATTTGACCGTTTTAAATAACCATTAAAATTAATATTTTGATTCAACTATTAAAAGATTTTCTTAAATTATAAATTATTATTTGGATATTTATTGAAATAAAAATACTATGTTATTTATTGTTCGTGTTTAGCCTAAATACATTTTTAGAATTTAAATTAAATCTAAGTGTGTGTTAGTACAAATGGATACTATTTTGTGAATACTTAATAATTAAAAAAAAAAAACATAATGACATTGGATTTTACATTAAATTATGATAGACTTATTCTTGATTAGATGTTCTTAACACCTTAAGTTTTGTTTTCATTTGAATTTCTGTTAAACACAGTATGAATGATTTTATCTGTTGTATAATAAAAAATGTATGATAATTGGATAACCTTTTAATTTTTAACAAAATTTTACACATATAATTGTACAATAATACTTACATTTTTTTTTTGTCATTGTAGCAATGGGATGAGCTTTTTGAACAAAAGAACGAACTTGAAGATAAATTAAAAGAAATGGAAGCTTCTCCGCCGAGGTACAACGATTAATTTTTTAATAATTTAATTCTATTATGAACTATTGACATATTAGCAAGGCTGGACAAAGTTACTTTTTTATTTTAAACTAATTTGTAAAGTTTGCTTGAAAAAAAAAATATTTATATGTATACATTTTACTGAAAGAAAGAAACACTGTTTTTTTTTAAGCTTCGTGTTGTACATATTATTTCAGTATAAATAATTAATCTTTTATAAGTGTAACTTGTTTTAAATTTTCTAACTCTTTAATACATTTATAACTTAGTAATTATTAATTAATGAATTTGTGTAACTGTTGTACATTTTTAGTTAATATTTTCTATATTAAATAGATAACCGATGCAGTGCTTTTAACTTATGATGTTTTAATTTTTTTTTTTTTAAGCGATGTGTACTTGTCATCGAAAGATCGTCAAATTTTGGATTGGCATTTTGCAAATTTGGAATTCGCAAACGCTACGCCGCTGAACAATTTATCACTGAAGCATTGGGATCAAGACGACGACTTTGAATTTACTGGAAACCATCTAACAGGTTAGTGTCATTTACTTGTATCTATGTGTTCAAAACCATTGGGTTGTCGTTGGCATATTTTAACTGTCGATTAGTAAACCTAAAACGTATTCCTTTAATTTGACAAAGTAGCGTTAACCAAGATTAGGTGATCTTTTTAAAGTTTTAATTTCATAATGCACGTAAATTTTGATCAATCGACAATGGACACAAAGAAATCAATCCAGTTTATTAAGGTCAGTAAATGATTTGAGAACAATCTGTCAATATTTTTATCGGCTTATCCAGATTTATTTATCGCTGTTGATCTACTTGAATTTTTTTCCCCCCTCAAGTTACGGTTAGTGATATATATATATATACATATAGTGAATACAAATAATAAAAAATCAATAGTTTCACTTGTTATATCGAAATTGCCGACCTAATTATGAGAAGTATTATTTTTTAATATTTTTAAGAAAGTATACAACCCCCGAGGAACATTGTTTGCTTTTGTGTGCAAACTTAATTAACGTTGTTTTATAATTAATTCTGTTGTCACGTTAGCAGTAAATATATTATTTTAATTACCAGGTTCATAGAGTAAAGCCTTGCAGAGTCAGTGATCACATAAATAGTATTATCTTATTGTTATTTAATCATTTGATTTTCTATTTATAAAACTCATTGTAATAGACACTATGTTTTTATTAAAATTTCTAAATACTACTAATAAGTAGTAATGAATAGTGGGGATTCAATTCTGTGGTTGTACTTTTTTTTATATAAGCTAAATACATTTTTTTTAAGTGTAATTATTCTTATAAGACTTATAAAATATGACAAAAGTTTAATGGTGAATTTATTGTAGGGCGCATGATTTTAAATTTTGAACTGACGTTTATAAACAACACATTTTTCTTGGCTGCAATATAAGACATACAAAACAAGGTATTTTACTTAATATAGTCAATATGGTTGAATTATAACTAAAGGTAATAAATCACCACTACATTGTTTGTAATTTTTTCTTCGCAGTGAATTTTATTTTATAAAAGTAAACTAAGTTAGTTAACCACTAGCAAAGCAAAAAAACGCCATTAAAAATGTAACCAAGAAGGTAATTTATTATAGTTTAATAATAATTTACCTTTTTGACTAGACATGAACTTTAGAGAGAGGACTTTTTTCCTTTAACCTAAAAGTTTTTTTTGGATTAAATTATCGATTTAAATGTTTAAACACCGCCCTTGTGTCTCCACGTCAACGCTATTCTATACCTACTCGAATACTAATTTTATTTCCCATCTAGTACTCCCAGTAGGCGCTTGTAATTTAATTTATTTAAGCGTGGTGAGACTTTTCAGTGAGTTTCTGTGTAGAAGTTTAATAATGTAGCCGGGAAACACTTAAATATTAATGTGGAAAAAAAAACACTAAACCAAAATATATAAAGCAGCATAGATTTTAAAGGCGTAGTGAGAATTTATGTTTTTTTTCTAAACATTAAGCAATTATTTAGGAGTGCGATTGGAACTTTAATTTCAAATATATTTGAATGTATCAAAGGTTTACATTAGATCTTTCTTTAGTCTAATTTCGAGATGTTAAATGCTAAAAGTTTGACAGGAAACATAAGAACATTATATTTAGTAAAAAGATAAAAAGTAAAAGTACGTCGAACTAAATTTCTAACTATAGATTTTTTATAGCAATACAAACTTTTGGTGATAAAATTGTCTTTTTATAATTGTCTATTATTATTACAAATGTCATTGACAACACAATGATGAAAACTTTTAACTACCAAATATTTATCCTTATCCCATGTCGCGAAAAAGGTCTTATGAAATTGATGACGCTTATTTTTGAATGACAAAAAACATATCCATCATAATTCTCCATGTACATCATCCAATCATATTATACATGTTAAAAATACCATATCTTCTCTAGGACAAATAAAATTGGGCTTTAAAGTTGTAGTTTATTTAACAAATCTAAATAAGCAATAGCTTTTTAGTTTTATATCAATGCTACATTTTTTTTATTTGAAAATGTTCTCCATACACATGAAAATATATCTTAAAAGCAATAGTCTAAGTAAACGCTTCGATTTATTTTAACTACAAAATTCAAAATATTTTTCTAATGATTAATTTGAATAACTACCCATTTATTTTTATAGTACAGTATTGAAGTAGATAATATTATAACATTATATAATTGATACTCAAAATTCCAAAATTGTTTTGTTGTTTCTATAAAAATTTACTTCTCACGATACCACACATTAAAAATTGAACCGAAAATCTATTTAGACGTCAGATGAATTTATTTATTTTGACGAATCTACATAGCTCATCGTCATAGCTTGATAATTCACCTAGTACATATTATATTTTGCCACTTTGTGTATTACGTATACCCATTTAAACGTGTCCGGTATGATCACACCAAAACTGACGAATAAAATTCTGCCATCCTGCCAAAGAAATATTTGTAAACTGTTTTATCCGAAAAAACAAATGCGTTTGTAAACGTTGGCCGATGATAATTTTGAGTTATATCCTTATCCGTATCGCTATAGTGGCATAGTACAATACACAGTATACACAATGCCTTGGCTCATTATAATTTTCTTCCACACAAATGGGTTTTCGTTAGTTACGCATTTCAGTAGGTGTAGTACCGTGTGTATACGTTATGATAATAATACCACAGGGCCGTCGCTTGTACCGCTGTAATATTATTATTATTTTTTAAATTTATTATCATTTTCCGAGTTTATGATATATATATATATATATGTATTTATGCTGACCGATTCGTACACAGCCGGTAAATCATCCGAGCTAAGTGTATATTAATTTGTATTTTTAATTTGTGAACGTGTCCCGGCAATAATATTATTACCCACTACGGTAAGACGCGATCCGGGAGAGTAAAAAAAAAAATGAATTAACTGACTTTTCGGAATCGTGTTGTTTGGATATATTTTATCTTGTTAGTGGTATTTTTTTGTGAGTGTTTGAATAACAAATAGCGCGTGTAACGCACCGGAGTGCCGTGTATAATATTATGCATATTATCTCAGGCTCAGAGGGGGTTCGTATAGAAGATGTACCTACACACGTGGCCGGAGAAAGTGGCCGTGTTAAACCAATCGTAATAAAGAGCTTAACATTGACTAATTGTTTACCGTCCGAATGTTATTAGAATCCCGGCGTGTGTGTGTGTGTGTGTATTTTACACTTGTATTGCCGAGTACAAATTTATTTTTCATTCGGTTTTTTTTTTTTTTTGTATCTCGATTCTCTCCAGAGGCGTGCGCTTGATAAAGTACATCTTATCTCGCGTGTGCCTACACTCGTTGGACGGCGGACGAAGAACACCGGCGTGTGTGTAGGATCTTCTTCTCGTGATGGTTTTTAAAACCGTTAATATTATCATTTTTCACAATATAATGTTATACGTCAATGCCCCCCCCTCCCCCCACCCCCGGGCGGTTGCACCAACGTTGTCGCCGTTAAAATCTAGTCAAATCCGATAGGTGTACTGAAAAATAATAAATTATAACCAGAACTTAAATTTGCGATTTTATTATTGATAACGCGTCCACGAGGGCCTTGTCGATATTCGGGTTTCTTTAGTAACTCGAATTAGTCGCTTGATCGCTGTCTCGTTTTTGGTTTATGCAAAAAAGGTATTGTTTACTAAACCTGATACATTTTTCATTTCCAAATTTGCTCATAGTTGGCGACGTTGCAATTTTCGGTACCGGAGCCCTTAGGTTAAACTGTGAATGATTAATCAAACTACAATTGATTTAGAAATACCTTTATACATTTTTTTTTCTTATCAAAACAGCCAACAGAACATAATCTATGCTTGATGTTTCGTGGCATAAGTTAACAAATCAACCAAAACGAGACAGAGATTAAGCGACTAATTCAAATCATTAATAAAAACAAACTGAAAATCAAATCCAAACGTTAACACACTTATGTAAATTTAAATTTGTTTTACAAGTGTAGGGACTAGTCACAATTTGATATTGATATTACAAATTTAAGTTTAAGGTTTTTTATTTTATTTATTAGAAGTATACTTATTTAAAAACTGTATTATTATATTTTTATTATTTAACTATTTTGTACGTTAATAGAATTTTTAGGTAAACAATAGAGTATAATGCATATTTTGTGTTGACGTGTACTGTATAGAATCACTGTATTAAACTTTGATGCCAATAAGCAACCCCTAAATATTTGTGTTGCTTACAGTATGTATACATATTATTTGTCATAGATAAACAGTAGTTTACTTTTAATAAACGATTATTATATTATTATAGGAATGGTTCGATACCGCGAGTCCATTGACTTCCTTAGAGTAAATCGTCGACTATTATACAGACGTTCCGTGTAATAATCAACTATGTAATATTTTCAGTATTTTTTTTATGATTATATTATATTATGCTGTTTATAAAGCCGGTATAGTCGGTCGATTGTGTGTACAGTACTGGTACTCGTGTATAATATTATTGTGTGTATTTTACATGTGTCTCGATTGATGTTTATATATTTTTTTTTGGTATCTTTAGCGGAGAGAGAGCCACTGATTAACGACGTGCGATTTATCACATAGTCGGTATTTACCACGTCTTATTCCTTTCTTGTCTTAATTTACAATAAGAAAATGTATACCGATATCATACTGTTGCAGTTCATATATGTATGTAGTTATAGTGCAGATAATGTGTGTGTGTGTGTTGTGGATATCTACTTGTAGGTACGATTCTCAGCGTGTGTTGTGTGCAACAGGGAGTTTAGTGCAATGATAATTATCATTTAATTAACGTTGTTTTACGCCATAAATTCATTTACGTCGGATGGACAGTGCCAGTCGGATCACGCCCACTCGTTTTAACTAGCTAAATATTATGTTTTTGATCTATTATCCCCGGTTTGTGTCGGAACAACGTTGTATATAATATGCTATCATCGGCCCCCCCAAAAACGCTTTTAATTATA